GCCAGTTTTTGTTTCAGATGCATGGACTTGATGGTAGAGGAATCCATAAACGACCAGCGACCACGTGAACCACACTACGGCGGCGAGGAGTCCAGCAATCCTTTCGCACATAATCATCCCCAACGGGATGTGAACCTACGAACCGACGCAGGGTAATCAGAGGTGCGTAGCGAGCGTATTCCTTGACGGGTAATGCAGAGCTTCAGAGGCACTGAAATGTAATTTATAATGTGATTGTTCATACTTACAGACGTGGGTATTGGATATGTACAGTGTAAACAGTTCTAAAACTTTGTACATTGATATTCGCACGTAACACTTACAAAAGTCATTCTCATGTTGAATTGGCATTTGTTCAATTGCGGACTTTGTAATATTGGCAGACAGACAGGCAGTAGAAAGGTTTGCTGCATTTATTTATGTCACATGTTAATGTCGATTTTCGTTTTTGTAATTTGTTACATAACTTTTATTTATTTCATATTGTATATTGGTTTTGCACCACGAAAATAAATATCTGAATCAAGGTCATCATTCTATTTCCTAAAACATAATTAGTTTAGTACTAGATTTGAATTCACAATGCTTCTCAGAATTATATTGGTATATTGTATGCCTCATGTTCATTAAATTCCAGTAAGCGTAGTAAACAACAGCCTTCCAATTATTGTATTATGCTTTATCCATATTGTATGTGATTTCCCACGCTAATATACCCACGCTGATGCCACCCACATTCTAGGAATACACATCTTATAATACCCTTTAAAACGAATGACACTTACATAACATCTGCATTGTGCTAGTGCATTTGTATTTCAGAAATGTTTTTGCAAGCTTGGTTATTGATTGGCCATACATAAATATTCCAGATTTTTCAATGGCCCAAATTTAATTTGATATTAATGTTTGTTTCATAATTTTGTTTTCATCTAAATGTTAAATACGTATTATTTAAAAAACAGTTTATCCATAAGTTGAAGTAAGTACTTGTCTGAAATCTTGTTTATAGCCTATTAGATTCGTACATATACGTTCACATCTATTGGTTTCAAATCAAGGTTTCAATGGTTCACGTTCTTGACCATATGTTGTCCTGGTAATTTACGTAACGCTTAGCAAAGCCGTGATTAAACTCTCATTCTGTTCTGGTTCGAAAATTGTTGTTGGGTTTTTGTAGCGGTTAAATGTCGTTTGATTTGCTCTATAGCGGTCGAATTTGATTTTTCTAGCAATGTTTATTTTTCGAACGACTTCTAAGTAACCAGGGTTAGGAGAAAGTGTGGTATTACACGTTTTTAGCGAATGACAGGAACCACCTTTGTCGTTTGCTTTATGATGTTGCAAAATTTCATTGTTAGTGTAGTGATGTCGCAATCTATTCTCCTTTCCATAAACAAAAAATCTTTGTGACCACGGTGGCGTTGCGCTGTGTTTGTTGGTGACAGAATATTCCTGATGCAGTATTTACTAAATTTAAGTTTGTAAGATCAGTGATATAACGAAATAAGACGCCTGGATAGCAGATTTAGAGCGACAAACAGCCAGAAAATTTTAATTCCTACGAAAGCTGACGTAGCTTGCGGTGCAGGCGATCACGCGCACAATCAGACGTTTCGTTCTCCTCTCGCTCGCGCTCTTTTCTCTCTTTTATTATCCCTCGTCTGCACACTCTCGTCTGTAGGCGTTTAATGTTTAACGTCTGCTGCATTCCTAAAACGTGAGTAAGCGCCCGCGACGCTTTTGTTGCGAATACCTGGACGTAAACAGGCGAAATAGAGGTCATGTGATCGAGTAGTAATAGAAAATGACATTTGTGATTCTGTAAGATGTCAGTTCGTACAATTATTTAGGAAATTTCGAGAAATAATGGCGCGTTGCACCTTGGGATTAACCGAAATAATTTATACAGTACTGTTTTTAGCGCGGGTTTTTAGTTCTCCAGATTTGTCGTTTACGTAATGGGACAAAGAATGTTCCCTCTCGCAAACAAAGGCCGTTGTTATCACGTCCGCGTTTTGTTTTCCCCTGGTTACTAGTTTCCCTAAATTTGAGATGACTGATGGGGGAGCACTGTCTATGTTTGGCTCGTTATTAAAGGGGCGGCATTTCATTGTTCTGTCCTGATGAGTGTTCTTGGTAACAATGAGTTCTTCATTGTATGGCATGTTAAATCGGAAGTAAAAATGAGGTTTTATAGTACAGTTTAGCAGCCTCAAGAGGACTAAAAAATAGGCAGCTAAGTTTTAGGCTTTGACACATTATATACTAAAGTCTGTAAGTGAAGGTTTCTATAACAAATAGCAAAGTATATTTTTTAATATGTAATATTGTTAAAACCTAATGGATTGTATATGGAAAGGAGTTCAAATACTTTATGTATAGAAGTATGTTGAGCAATTTTTATAAATAAATATAGTTGCATGGGTGCTCCCGAAGTATGCGAACCAAGATGGCGGACATCGGAACGTAACATGGGTAACAGGTTAGGGTTAGGCAATAATTTTTTTCCAATTTTCCTTATTTTAGTCCTATTATCAGTTCGAAGACTAGTTAAGAGCCTCCCGTAGTATTTATAGCTAAAATTATGGCCTAACCCTAACCTAGTACACATATTACATTCCGATGTCCGCCATCTTGGTTCGCATACTTCGGGAGCCCCGTTGCATGAATGCTGTGATATAAAGAACATTTACAATTGAGGATTGACAGATATTTAGGAGACATGTGATTGTGAAACTTGATAAAAAAAATAGTCAGTAGTGACTGAGTATTCCTGAATTTTCCTCTGTAGACTGGTAGATATTTAAAAATGCAGGGAAAATTTTATATCATAGGCAAAAATGTTAACTGCACATAAGCAGAGTTGATGCAGACATGCTATTCAACTGTAAACATTTATTTGGACTTAATTACTATTTTAATTAACTTAATTGATTAGCATTTCATTTATACGTTTGCGAGGTTGAAAGGGTGTTGTTTCAATTGTTAACATCTGTGAATAACTTTGGTTTATGCAGTGCCCTGTTTATACAAGCTTACTCATGCAAAGTCGCCTGCTCAAAAGCATACTAAAACCGGATATTATCACTTCCTTTTTATTAAAATACAGCATTGTATATAATATTTTGCTATAGATTCGTGTGCAACCATCTGCTAGTGAAGTAACCTTTTCCTACTGTCTTAGTTGAATAATGTATGTTATTGAAAGCTAGCCTTTGGCGTTTCCGACCCTTCTCAGAAAATTTTATTTTTATAAAAGAAAATATTCATCATGCATATATGGTTATCATTGTCTATACTTGCGGGATTTGAAATGAACTCTGTTACAATTTACTCGCACAGTGTCAAGTTACAGCACGAGCGTTGTTGTCATTGTCTCAAGCGAAAGGATTTTTCATTGAATGGGAATTCCTAGGTTGGTGAATACGTTATATGTTGCCACATATTTGGTAACGCTGAGTTCAGGGCTCTAAATTTAACAGCTCTGTTAGGATTATGTATGGCCAGAGTATGTATTTCCTTCATTTCACATTTCATTTGTACTTGTAATATTTATTCAGAGCTTATAAAATACAGAAACATAATTAAGTGAAGTTAACTGTTATATAAAATTGACAGTTGTCCTATTTGAATACACTATGTATCTTATACAACTGATTATTGAAATTTGCTGTTCAGATTTGAGTTTAATTAAGTATGCATATTTTGTGTTATGCTGAATTAGATATAAGTTTCAGGAAATTGCTTTGGCAAATTGTCGGAGAGAGTATTGATTTGAAGAAAATTTGAAAATATTTTTAGACTTTTGAATAATGGTGTTATTAGCTGATCAAAAGATGCGTTCTCAGGTTCAAGTTTGTAATGATGATAGAAGTTCATCACAAATAATTCTGACTTGTTCTATTGAAAGTTATCTCATCAGTAGTGGAAATATAAAGTTTTTGTTGAATAAAAAAAAAACTACATTAATACACTTATGGGAAATATGGGATATTTTGTATCTGTATGTTTTGATTCTCTGAAGAGTTTAATGGATAAACATGCTAGAACTAATAAATTGGTGTTCTGTTTCACATTATAGTATCTAGTGTACTATGCAGGACATATGCAGTTGTTACATACTTTTAGTGCAAAACTATTTGCATATATATATTATTATTATGCGTGTATGAAATTTTGTAATTGTTGTCAATTTTGTTAATAGAATTCCAGAATATGTAATTTTTTGAAGTAAAGTTGAACTACGAATATTATGATCATTGATATTAGTACTAGCTTTGGGTTACTCCATTTAAACATTTTGTCCATTTAAACATTTGAGTTTGTCCAACAACTCTTTAGCCCTCAGAATACTTTTAATTGATGGTTTCGTTATGAAATATTATATTGTGATCTGAAAAAGTCTAAACGAGTATTGGAAGTTAATAACAAGAGGGTAATGCCTAAATATATGGATATTAAGCTCATAATTATGACCAACGCAGTTCAGCAGCATCCTATGCGGCTTATAAAGAAATTTACCACTGTACATAGCGATTCATTTCGGTACCGAGATGGCCTTTGCTAAGCATTGAGTTAATAAGATGGCAAACTGATTTGATGGATTTCTACATGGTGGCGTTAGGTGTAATGTGCTAAAAATGCAAAATTTGGCCTGAATTATCCAGCGCCATGGGACTAAAAATTTGAAAATAAAATAAAAGCAATAGCCTTATAGCGACTTCCATCTTGAATTAATGAAGATTTGAAATTGATTGCTCCATTAGTTATGTAGATAAATCAGTTGCGACCCCAACAATAACAATATTTCTATATATACAACACATTGTGTCCTATAGTGATATATAGTCCTATATATTTTCTAACAACATTAAATGATGAATGCAATTTTTCAGTTAAATTTAAGGTGCTAAATATAAACACCCTATATTTGAGACAAAAAAAAATGAAATTTTACCTACAAAAAATGTTGGAAAAATCTCGCAAAAATTTTTCAGAACAAGGATGAGAGACAGAGAAAGGCCAGTGGAAGCAGTAGCGGAGGCAACGGATCAAAAACACCTCAATCATTGTCTTCACCTACGACACCTACGTTTAATAATAAAGTCACTCCACCAACTTCGATGTATCAGAACGCAGGACCTTATAATAACGTGAACGTACCTGCTTACAATAATACTTCTACTTTATATAACCCAACGCTGAGTAACATGGAAGGAACTGTAAGAGACTCACCGCTTGTTCACAGACTAACTCCTGGATTATATCCATATGCGTTGCAACATGTTCCACCACCTACAGATGCATTACTAGCCGCAGCAAATCTATTTCGATCAGAAACAGACTTAAATTCGCCTTATATGCGTACCACAAGTCAAGAGGAATATCAAAGGCAAACTGGGAATTTACAAACTGTCCCAGATTTACAAAATATTCATTTATTGGCTCGGCAGCAATCTGGATACCGATCGACTCCACCTGGAATGATTTTATTTAACCAACCAGGAACTCTATTGCCTTCTTACTTACAGCAAAACGATCACTCGCAACCTCAAAGTATAGCTACAGTACCTTTCGTAACTTTACCTATGGCGGCTACTTCGATCGCTGTCGGCAGACAATCGTTCCCAGGAAGTCCGCAAGAACAGAATTCTGTAAACTCAAGTCATTTGGAAAACGTTCAGTACCTTCAACAGCCCTTAATTCAACAAACGAATCACAGAAGCACTCCTCTTGCGGATTTCGCTGATATCGCAGTCTTGCACAATCAAGGACAGTTGTTTTCTGCTAATTCGATGCACAATACATCATCTGGTTCTAACTCAAATCAACAACCAGATAATGCAACACAGCAATTGGTAGAACAACAAACTCAACATACAGAACCAATACAGATGCAAGTTGGAGTGAGTTATCTTTATATTGATTTTATTGTTTCAGAATCTGATATTTTTTGTATTTTTTATTTGAATTGGATAGTATATTTATAATAATGCAGGTAAACAGATTGCTCAGTCATTACGAGGGTTTTTTGACAGAAGGGCAAATGTTGAAATTTCGAGAAAAAAAAATTGGTAATATTAAAAAAAAACAGATGGTAACTAATCAAAGTTTGGAGCAATATTCACATTTGAAGCAAAGTGTTTAAATACAAAGTTTGGGGAGTTCAAAAATCAAAAATATATGTTCTACTCAATTTTCAAACAGCTTTTCCAAATTTTGCCTTTTTGAGTGAAAGCCTTCGATATGATGAATTTATTTATAGTTGCTGGTAGAGTTACGTATAAGCTAACCTAACCTGTTATTGGCTCCCGTATGGATGGGAACGGCTCTTATTAATAAGCATTGTTATTAAATATTTTCGCCTACTTTACATCAAGTTGTGTAAAGGGACTGAAGCCTATGGGAAGGGGGTATATGCTTGGCAGACAGTCTCCGAACTCGTAATAGAACTAAAAAATCGGAATAAAATTTTGGCCTAACCCTACGGGAGTACCGATTGCCCTGTGTAGGTTCACAAATTTGAATACCCTGGGCCGTAATAATATGCTGATGTCTCATTTTTTATTTTATGTTGTGTTATAATGTCCAGACAGAGAATATTTATATTCTATGTTTGGGCAATATAACACTATATAAACGATGTCTTATCTTTAATATTCTTTCAGTATGTTGTTAATGTATTTTTTAATATCACAGGATGTATCTTCCGATGCCGTCTTGCTTGATTCAATGTCGAAGGAATTATTATGGAGACCCGACGCCCACTCCCAATCAATGGCAAAAATGGAAAGAGACGGTTCATTACCATTAAAAGAAGATGATTTTCTACCGTCATCTATGGTTCAAATGCACAAAACGAGTGAGCAAATGCAGCAACAGCAAAATCAATCAGCAAATCCTTTCATATTTCCCGTTTCTGTACCGGTACCTTGTTCTCGTGATGATAGTGCCCCAGTGACATCTACGACACATAGTTACTATCCGCAACACTTTGATGAATACTCGAACAATATGCCTGCTTTTCATGATGATCCACTTATGCAAGAAGCTATTAATGTGGCAAATCCCAGTACGATTCTCCCTAATTCAATGATGGGAGGTAATCCAAGCGGACTTTCTTTTAGGTCATTTCGTCAAAGGCACCACAGCGAAGGCTCTATATTAAAAAAGACTTGGCAACCTGAGTTACAATCAGCGAATGAATTAAAACCTCTGAAATCCGAGATGCTTTCAAATTACGCCCCTTTTGCATCAAAAACACCGCCCGCAACTGCAAATATATCATTTCCCCAAAACAGTCAAAGTTTTATCATCTCAAGCGGAGATTACAAACGAAAGGGTGGTAATGTAACAGGCATGGACCAAACCAAAAAAATTAAACTTGAACATACAGAAATGCATAAACCGATAGCACCCGTGACAAAAACCGAAAATCCAGAAGTTAAAAAAGAAGTGTGGACTGTTCCGAAACAAGCACCACCTAACAGACAAAGGCATCGTAGACACTCCGCTGACAGTAGATTACCATATAGATCTGGTTCACTATTCTCAAGGTCTGCTTATTTATCATCGTGTCAAATGAATGCAGTTATGGCTGCAAAAGGTGCTATGACAGGTGCAGAATTGAGAGAAAAAAGACGCCCACCACCTCTGATCATACCACCAAGCGTCAACGCATATTCTAATGGAACCTTGTATACTAGTCATCTGCATCATAGAAGGAGGTTAGTATGTTGTGTTATTACAATTGCTAGTTGGGCTATTCTAATTAGTATCTGTTCTGTGTATGTAGTTTCTTATGTATGGTAAATACAACTTGGCTTATATTTATACAGTAATATTCAGCATATTTGGATTTGTTAATTCTATTTGTTATTATCGCAATCAAACTTCAATTCAATTTAAAAAAAGAGTTAAATGGTGCACTAGAATTCTGTATTGAACTCAAAATTAAATACACAAGTGCTTTTGTGTGAAACTCATTAGTAAGGTTTCAGTGTTGAATTTTTATGGAAATTCTTTCAGGGTGAGTTCATATTGAAGATCCTATTTTTTCGTGTATACAGTTATGCAATTAGGTACATCACATCTTGTAAATTGTATCTATGTTCCATCTTATATATCTACTGTTAATGAAAATAATTAAAATTTAGTCATTTTCTGAAAAAAAAATAACTAGGCATGGTCAAATGTACAGCCCATGATAGTACATTTGTATTTTTTGTGTATTGGTAACAGTTTAATTAACACTAGCGTATCCTGATATTAATAAGTGGTAACTGCAAATATAAATATAATCAATTTTGATGTAAAATACAAGATAAAAAAAAAACTATCCATAGCCTTGTTAATCTTACAATCTTATCAAAATATTGAAAAAAAATTTTACTATCTTCATTTGGAAGAAGTGTATTATTTTTGAAATACTCCAAGTGGTAGTCCGTGCATCTGAACCAAATAACTGGCTAACTAATCCCACACCTGATATGGATTAGCAACAGGATGAGAGGCTGTGGTTTACCATATGATCAAGCTGTCTTATCAGCTTTCCTCTCGCCCAGGATAATTCAAAATTTAAAATTGAAATTAAAAAAAGTAGAGTTTATGGAGTATTCTCATATATTGGTAATAGTATTGAAGTAAAATCCTCCAAAATAATTTTATCACATTGTTAACAAACCTCAATTTTATTGATAAGGAAACAGACTATTCCTGCAATGTGTTTCACTGATAAGATAACATTGATATTGACTGGGATGTTTTTTTATTTGCTCTTAAAGCAAATAAAACTTTTCTGATAAGATGCAAAGATAAAGTATTTGAATTTGAGCCTTGCATCCATTTTCTGGTATATATATATATATACTAATTTCAAATGCTTCTTACTATTTACCTAGAAGCTTGAAAAAGTATGGTTATATGGATATTTGTAGACTATAAACATACAGGGTGGAAATAGAATCCGGGTTATTTTGAACATATTCCAGAGAAAACATAACTTTTCTGCAAAGCGTCCTAGGTTACTGAAACTTTTGTGTGCAAATATGCATAAATAGAAGTTGAGAAAAACAGGACCCAGAATATTTGGAACTTAGTCTAGAGAAAACCAAATTTGTCTTGTATTTCTAGTTTCCTTTTCAACCAAATTTGTCTTGTATTTCTAGTTTCATTTTCATTTAGAATGCACAATAACAATTCTTTTTATTTTAGACCAAGTGGAGACAGTGCTTCAAGTTGTGGGAATGATAAGATACCCCCATACACACCACCACCCATGCTTAGTCCTCTACGTTTCGGTACCGGATTGTATTATACTACACCGGGAACACCATCATTTAAGCCTCTTATGAGACAAAGTAAGTTAAATTTTCTATGCTGCAATGCTTTTCATTTTACAGAATTAACTCTCAGTCGTTTAACTTAACTTAACACTCATTTAATTTAATCAGTATATTAATGTCATACATTTCTGTTTATTTTTAGCGAGTACAGATCATCATGGCCCAATAAGTACAATACCAGAAGAAGATATTGAAGATGAAGATTTAGTGAGAAGTGCTGATCCGTGAGTGATTTTTCATTCTATTAATGGAAAACTAAAATAGAGAAAAAAATTGCCAGATCACTTGATAAATCTCCGTAATCAAAGATAATCAATTATAAAATTTTTGTTTCTACTGGTCTTTGTTGTGGTCATTTTGAAAAGATGAATAAATATAATTGGTCATGCAACATAGCGACACTTACTAAGTTGTCTATAAGTTATACTGGTACATATTAATAAAAAAAATTTGAAACCCCTGTATTAGATTTTACTCATTTGTACTTCTATTTACACTTTTTTGGGAAGAAAGAAAAGAAACTATTGGAAAGTATTGAGCAATATTTCAAGAATTGAGCACATTTTTAAATCTACAATATATATTTTTGCAGGAAAATCAACATTGGATCAGAGTATCAAGCAGAACTTCCTAAACTACGTAAGTATTTCATTGAGATTTGAGAGCAGATGCGATTCGTTTAAAATGTTCCACAAATCCCATATTAGTCATAGATAAGTCGACCATAGGTCAGGTGCTTGAAGTTAATCATATTTCAAATGATCGAAAGGGTTTTAAACTGAAGTTATTTACTGGGAAATATTATTCATTTTAAACAATGTTCATATTTACTTTCTTCATTTTATATTTTATCGGAAACAAAGTTTATAAATGGATAATTTTACTTAATTTTTTTGCAATCAAATAATAGATCATTCGTTTTTTATAATTTTTAGTACTTGGTCGAGGGCCACTCAGAAATCCCTCAAAAAATCTTATTTTTTCCAAATTTTCTCTGAGCCCCATATATATACATATATGACCTAATATTTTTCTGTTATTGAATATAGGGAACACTCTAATTTTTAACATATGGGAGCACATTTTATATAAACTCAACTTCTATTTCTATATATATATTTGAAGTGTTGTTTTGATTAACGTGGTCTAGGATTTATATTTCAAAAAAATCACAATCCATGTCCTACCTATTCATAAACCATATTCAAATTCTAACGATACCCAAGAATAGGATTTGGGGATTTCCAAAATACCACGAGGCAATTGCATCATACACCTCATACAGTCAAACATTTCTTTATCGTTGGCTAATAAATGAGGATATTTATAATATAGCTTCAGGGATTATCACTAAAGGTTCTTGGTTAACTATTTTATGTACTATATTTACATTAGGTTGTTTACTATGATGTCATATTAAAAACCATTTATTAATTTGGTACTTTTGAAAATGTCGTTTTGTTTTCCGCGTGTGTTAACAAGGTGATTGATATTCAAATAGTTTGAGATATTACGGATTTTGGGTTTAAGATATATTTTGAACTTGAACAAAAGTAATGTTCTCTGTAGAATATGCCCCAAACTACCTGTTTTTTTATTCATTTATTATTTTTTTGGAGAGGGTATTTCTCCTTTATAACCCTATATTTCTCTTTTATTGAATCATTGACTATAATAATGATTTACAGGTTCACGTCGAAAATTAAAACATGATGTCCATAAAGCAGAACTTATATGGAAACCAACAAAAGAAGTAGCAACTGACAATAGTACACAAAGCAGACATGGTTTGTTTTATATGCTATTTATTATTAGAGAGTTATGTCGCACAAAGAGAATGTGACTTTCTCCCAGAATAGGAAAGTTTTATGTATTTTCAATGTGGTTACCTCAAATGCCTTAGATTTTACTTAACCACACTTGATTTGAGTGAAATGCTTGGACATGGTATCTGGTCAAAATTTTTTATTCAAGTGTAGCTTTCGATTAATTTTCATTACGAAGTAGGGTTTCTTAATAATTTTCTGTTCCCAGCTTTTTACCTAGCTTTCTTGTTAGCATTTCTTGTGTACATTGGAAAAATCACATTATTTCTTTTCAAATTTTGGTTTTGGCAAAACGGGGCGGAGAGATTTTCTCAAAATCAGTTTTTTTGTGGGAAATCGTAAGATGGAACTATTAGTATAAAATATTCTGGTGGTATTTCTTCATGTTTTTTATATTCCAGATGTATATCTTATGTTCAATGTAAGAAATATTGAAGAAATTGATATAAGCACATCTTAAATATCTTTTTAGCAACTAAAATGACTTGGAATTAATCAAAAAAGATGTTTTTTTCCTAGATTTTTAATAAATTTCCCATAATAAAATTTCACCCTTTTACACTGTCGCAGCATATTTGATTGTAAAAGTGTGGTATGAAGACAATGAGTTAATATTACTACATATTGGGACTTATTTGCAATATGAACCTGGACTATAGTTGGAAATCTAGGAAAAACACTTAAAATAATTTTAAGAATTCACCTTTTTTCCTACATCTATTTGCAAAATAATTTGCTAATATTCGTTTATATTTTAGTTGAAGAATACATGAAGTTAGCATGTTCTGCTGCTGTACCATATGGTGGATGTAATAAGGAATTTGCTCTTCATTTACTTCATAAAAATAACGGCGATATTTTGGTAAGAAACTGGAATGTGTTGTTCAGAAAAAACTGTAATTTTAATAATTAATAATTTTAAGTTCAATGTGGAGATTGTTTATAGACGGGAATTTTGTGGCCCGCCCACTACTGGAAATGTGTACATTTGGCTCAGTAGTACATAGAGTTTGCCGACCATCCCCTTGTCTACTCATAATAAAATTATTACTATACCTCAATAAGTTTGATATTTATTTTGTGATTTTAGTTGTATGATTTTAATCTCAATTTATACAAGCATTTTAAGGTCAAAATTCTGTTTTGAACCATTCAAAAATATTTGTAAAGGACATACTACAAGCCCCGTCTTTTCCTGCATGTTTTGGCTTTATTTCAGTTGTTGCAACTAAACTAAAACACATTTAAATATGTAATGTCAGCTGGAATATTTGATAAAATAGTCATAAAATATACTGAAAACTACGAATTATCCATGCTTATTTATGTATGCTTGAAGAAAAAGTGAGAAAAATATTTTAGTTAGATTTCAACATGATACTAACTAAATGAATTTTTATTTTTCTGTTGCAGAGTGCTGTAAGACAACTTCTGAAGATCAATGTTAAAATCTCTTCCAACCATTGGATGTCAACATACAGGTATACAGGTTCATCTCGGTGGCAACAAAAAGAACGTCAAACATTTGAAAGAGCGACAATGCTGCATCATAAAGATTTTTATCAAATTTCAAAAATTGTAAGTCTAATATGAACTGTAACTTCGTTTTTTGTAAACTTATAGGAATGGAGACTAGAATTGGAGTTATGCTCAGATTTTATTCCAAATTCCTGAACGACGCAGATTACTGTGATTCAATTATTTTAAATAACTAATTTTCCTAAATAAAATGTGTCCAGTATAATTGACTATTATTTTACAGTTATTACATAATCTAGCGTGAAAGTTTTTGTCTTGTCTAGAGACGTGTGTAGAACAGTGGTTGTCAATTTTTTTTTTTTTCGTGGCCCATTTTAAGAGACAAAAATACTGTGGCCCATTAACTTTTTATTCAAGGAAAAAACTACAAGAAAAATCAAAATCTTTCAGTGAAAACAGACACTTTCGTTTTAATAATTAGAATGAAAGTTACTGCTCAGTATTAAAAAATATCATCATCATTTATTGCTACTTGAATCAATATTACCTATAGTGACACAAATAAAACTAGCAATGTTTGGGCTTGTGGCCCGCCTCTAATTGTTGCTTTGGTCCATTGATTGAGAAGCGGCAGTTTATCAAGACACAAGTATTAGATGTATTTTGAAGGTGAATGTGTTAGATCTGTATAATACAATAAGGTTTTGCACTCTTTCACTCTTTTTTATAAATGCCATTGAAATTCACTATACAACAAACACAGGTTTTCTATTTATAAAAAAAATTGATGAATTGTATAGTTTTCAACTTTCTGTCAATGAATCAATATATTTTCACAGATTGGAACAAAAACAACGGGCGAATGTGTAGATTATTATTATCATTGTTTAAAACGAAGAAAAAGGAGAATTCAACGACCAAGAAGATTTCGACATGATAGCGAAGAAGAAGAAAACGTTAAAGTGAGGATTCTTTTTTACAATGATTCACCAATTTAGCTTTGATCACAAACTTAAAATTGAAAAAACCTGCTTTTAGTCTTGTCTGTGATGTGTCAATTTTGTTAAACTATAACAATATATTACAACCGTTATTGATCTTGGCTATGGAGTTGGCAAATATTTATACTTTAAATAATTTATTTTTTCCTCCTTTTGACTATGTAAAAAACTTTTCTTGCGCTATTTGCAACGGAATTGACCAATTCATTATTTTAAAATAGCATGATATTATAATATTGAATAATAATAATAATTGGAAAACTTTGGCGTATGCAAGTCATCTTTATTAATACACTGTTATGAGCGCTTATTATAATTTATGCATATTGGATTTTAGTAGGAAGTTTTGAGTTATTTTATAACAGGCAATTCCCAGTCCCAATTCAGGAATTTAATTCGGACTCCCGACTCTGCGCTGCGGAGTTTAAAAATACTACTCCGACTTCACAACTCAGGTGTTATTTACAGACCATACTTAGTGTGATGTACTTTGCATTTTTGTTTGAATTTTTCTCAACATTATCTTTTATTTATAGCCTTCCATCCCATCACCAAATGAGTATGATTCAAATATGAGCGACGAAAATGATTTCATGCAAGATTATGTTGTTCCCAAGAAAGAAGAAATAATTTTGCAGGTGAATAATTATAAGTTTCGTATTTAATATACTTGTTTAACAATGACCGCAGAATCAAGAAGAAAAAAAAAAACGTCATGTGTTACACCATGGGTGTAATCAATTGGGTGTACAATGTTTCTTAAAAGATATTTGTGGATGCTTGTATTAGACCTACCGCTAGTTTATAGTGAAAGGTGATAAAATTGTTGTATATAAAGAACCCACGTTGTAATAAAATTTAGACAACTTTAAAATGTTTCAGGCGTGGATATCCGCATAGAATGCAATCACATAAAAATAGATCATGTTCAATAATTGGAATATTGTGAAAATTTTCACTTTGGGAAATTGAAATTCGAAAGTCACAGTGTGGCTGAAATGCCTTTAAAACTGTTTAAAATAGAGAACAGATAAAGTCATTGTTTATCTTAATAACATTCCAGCATACCCAAGCTTATTGAAGATGCATTGAATTTTAAATGCTTTCTTTGTTGAACATGGCCTTCTTTAGAATACTTATTATAGTCTAATATTCGATATTCTCAATTCAAAATGTGTTTTTATTTAGGATATTCAGTTTTGGCCATCTTCTTATATGCTTTATATATTTGTGTACGAATCCTAGCTCCGTTTAATTTCATTAATTTTATTTATCCTTATACTAACATATGAGATTTTACGAAATTTTTAGATAAGTCATTTCGTCAAACGTTCTCGTTTAATAACCTCAAGTCTCGTCTTAATTGACACTTATTATCATGTAATGCACTTTGGTCATTTCATAGGTACCTGTAACTTTGCTCATAGACGAGACTTTTCTACTCTTGAGCGAGCAAGTGTTTGTGACTTTGCCTTAAATTTTTCGAAAAACTACTCTCTAGTTGAGTAGTTGAATAAAAAAGAGTTACTCAAGTCTCACCACTGTTGAGTCTTATTCATATTGTACCTAATACCCATCATCCCAAAATTGTAAAGCATGCATTTTTATTTCATCACATCTATATTTTCAGCCGAATGTTGAAATGCAGCAAGAGCACAAGAATTTAGAAGTCATCAAACGTTCTCCTCCTTTGACTACTTTTATTAACGCGGCTCATGTCAATCAAATATTACCTAGAGGAATTTCTAATAATACTTCCCCACCTCAGGCCACATACTCGCAACCTTCTCAACACATTCCTCAGATGCATACTTACGCAAGGTAACTCAATCAATCTTAGTTATCACCATTATTTGCTGTTTGTTTTATCAATGAATAGTAGAGATGATGAAGACACAGTATCCTGTTGAAAATGTACCAATTTGGAACGTGAATAAGAAAATAAAATCTTTAATGGTGGATAGTTTCATTTTTAATACTTTGGGGGGGTAGTCGATAAACGGCTTAAATTATACGAACGACTATTGCGAACAACTGCCTCTCATCTGAGTTATCCAATCATAGCAGGCTAGTGCTTACATGAACTGTGATGGTGATATATCCAGAAAAACTTGCGTGCATAACTCCCTTTTCGCTTTGATTTCAAACCCACGAATATGTAAATTATGTCAACTCAATCCATGATATTGATGCTTTTTTGTAGGCATATTCACTTGTCACCTAATGTGCCTACTTAGTATCTCAAATTTTTCTCAAATGAGTGAGTGTTTCTCGCCCTGTTTTTTGAGCTGATATTCATAAAAAAAAGATATTTTATTCTTATTTATATATACGGTGTGGTTTTTTCCATCTGTGATTATCTATTATATGGTTGAATTTCAGGAATGATAATCCTAAATTCATCTCTTGATTTACTATACCTTTGTATCAAGTTTGAATTATGCTTTCAGACTTCCGGTACATTTGCCTACGGAACAAATACCACAGCAACGACAATTACCAACATCCAGGCATTCTGTTGTTTTGCCGTACGAATGCAAGTTTCCTAACTGCAATTTCTCGTTTCCAACTTCTGCTCTGCTTGCTCAACATCAGAACGTGCATAAGCCAGTGAAACCATATTTAGGTGAGTAATAATTTCGCTGCAAGAAGATTCGGGGCAGATGATTAAAATTGGTTTCAATAATAACAGTTGTTTTTCATTTGAAAACCTCTGATTAAGACAAGTAATGAAATAACACTCAGTCAATTATGGAAAAAATTGCCACAATCCTATGTGACAAACAATTGCTGCTCAGACTCTGTAAAAAATTGATTTGGGATTTTGTCATCAGGGATGTCAATACCGAATAATCTGTTCTTCCAAATATGTTCTAAAATAATATATTCTAATATGGAATATGAAAAATTATTCTAAGTTGGATTATGTTGAAAAAAACAAAAAATTTAATGTAATTTCCATTTTAAATTTGTGTTCAATAAACAATTCGATTGGATCTCCATTTTGAGTTTTCAGAAATTAAAATAACCTTTTTGATTATACTGTGACTGTGAGACTTCCCATATCAATTAAAGTAGAAAAATGACTAACTTGTCTCTAATTTTGTGGCTAAGATTGATTATGTCTTTTAACTTGTAAATGATTATATATATATCGTTTATTTTTAGATCGAATTAATCAGGCAAGTCCTTCTCCAGCAAGTTCCCCCGGTTCTGTTGCATCAGCTGATACCGATGCTCCTCAGTTTCAATGCCCAAGATGTGGAAAAACATTTGCAAAGGTATGCTTTTTTATAGATAGTCACCTTCAATGGCAACCATCGGTCCAATTGAGATTCGTGTATACATGGCTATATTGTATTTTGGCTATGTTCTCTTATGAATGGCATGTTCACTCTTTACGTTCAAGTCTGAAACAATTGAACCGTTCCATTCTAAAATGCAGAAATTTTTCGTGATTGAGGTGTGGGTGATCTCATTAGTTAGACTACTAAAAATCAAATCTAAGAATAGATTGGATTTTTGGTATCCCGTAGTATGTTTACCAGGTTGGGGTTGGGCCTTAATTCTATTCCGATTTTCTATATTTTAGTTCTATTATGAGTTCGGGGACTGTCTGTGTTAGCCAAGTGAATACACCCCCTGCCATAGTTTTCAGTCCCTTTACACAACTTGATGTAAAGTAGGCGAACAAAATTAGTTACCTCCATATTGGTACACATACTTCTGGAGCGCCGATTTTTCTACATTTTAAATCATGGGGTATGAATGACTTCTTATTCGTATGGGTGATCTGTGGGATGGGAATTGCTAATCAGTGAATCATGGGGCCACCAGTAAATTGGTTTGATGTAGGAAGTCCTAATCGGTCAAATGCCCAGAGGTCTAATTCACAGAAGTCAAGTAGTAGTTTACTTTGTGAATTGATGTCATTATTTTTGAACAGCTGAACAAAATTGAAAAATATTCAATTCAATTCAATTTTCTCTGAAATTTTCATTTATATATATATTTTATATCATAGGTGAAAAGTCGTAACGCACATATGAAAACACACGGCAAACTAGCACAAGAAAAGAGAAGACAGAAAGAAGAAGAACAAAAGAGGAAAATGGAGGAAGCAGCGGCTGCATGGAGGAACAGGACTCAACCACCTCCCCCACCTCCCATCCTTGTTCATCATTCTTCTGGGAAACCAAGAGAATTTGTACAATTTCAAGCTGTTGCTTCACCGTTGACAAAACCAAATGGAATGTGAGGAGATTTCTCACTCAAGTTGAGGAATAGTTGCAAATCAGGCCGAAGGTATCACTGATGAAGGAGAGAGATCCCAACAGACTGGGTGGACGAACCTTGCGAGGACCAAAGCCGTTATAGCAAGATGGGTGCTCAAATACAATCAAATAAAGATCTAAGTGTAAAGTGATCGCAGTCACAAAACTGTCCGTATTATCCCATTGTGGCGATGGAAGAATGTCTTTGACATGTCTCATCAATATCGCATATTTGGATGAAAAACAGTTTATTAATGAATTACAATGGTTTTTCAATTTTACAGATTATATGCGAATTGCGAAGTCGATTTGTCTAAAAGTGACCTACAATGTTATTTTTATCACATCCAATGAAATAATTACTAATTACTGTATAAAACGTAATGAAATATTAAGTTTTCTGCCTTAATATGATTAAAGCAAAACTGACTGTAGTCTTTTATGTAAAATTTCATGTCATACACTAATAGTTCTGTAATCAAAACTTTTTTATCTGGGACGATGAAATTTTGACCCATACTACTACTGCACTCGAAATAAAACCGCGAAATTTATGAGAAAGTCATCTTTGAGAAAAATTAATATATTTCCAAAATATATTACGCAATCTACATTTAAGTCTTTTCGATCTGAAACAATTGAATTTCCTTATGCTGATCTGGTAACCATAGCCTGTGTTATCAGTTTTCCTCTACCAAGGAATAAATATCAAAATCCTATCGTATATACTGCTCATTCGCAACACCTTTGTTTCGTAATGTGTTGCAAGCTGAAAATATTGTTCTTTTCTTCGTTGTTTCTTCTCTCCAACTCTTTTAATAATAATCATCATCAGCATTTTTGAATATCTAAAGTATTTCCATTCTGACTATTTTATGAAATAAAATTAAAAATGAAAATATAAAAATAATCAATTTATTTTTCGAATATTGTTCTATTCTGTCAAGCTTTTTGTCCAATTTTACGTCGACAAGTTCCTGTGTGATTGCACTAAATCTAAACGATCATGTAATTATGTTTTACTTCTTTACACAAACATTTTCCTAAGTTCATATTGTATCAGTAAAAATGCCCTCAAAGTTGTTGTCTATATCCTGGTAATATAGCCTCGGTGATCAGTTGAGCATTCCATCCATACCCTAAACCAGGGGTGCAACCTGCGGCCCGCGTGCTAAATGCGGCCCACAGAGAAAAATTTTGTGGCCCTCTGATTGTAATCCCAATCCATCTGCGTTACTAAGCCTATAACTGGGTTTCATTTATAATCTATGCCTATGACGTTACAATGCTCTATTTTGCCTGCAACTGAAAGTGCGGCCTACGTTCTCACCCAGTTATTTGTATTTGGCCCTTCTGTATTGAAGGTTGCACACCCCTGCCCTAAACCACACTAACTCTCTATAGCCATTGCAAAGTGTTAAGTTCCATTCGAGTTCCTCCGTCTATGAATTGGCTCGCATTTTTTTTCCTTATAAATACTTGTTTAAATTTTGATCAAATTTTTCTTGAACTAGCCTTTATAAAAAAAGGATGAATACCCATTCTAAAGTTAGTACTTTGGAAGTAGTAACTGAAATTGAAATAGCAACCCAGAATGAATAACAACAAAAATACGGCGACATACTAAACAAAATTTTTTTTACAATTTACGATTTTTGAGAATGCACAAAAATGAACTTGCGTAAATTTTAAATCAGGTACAATTTTGTGTATAATAGTATAGTAAGGGTAGTGTCATTCGTCTTGACCGGAAACATTTTTACCCACAATTTATCTAGTTATAATTCATTATTAATTTGATATGAATTTATTAAAATAGCGGAAATATAAGTTTCGAATTGATCTGTTCCGACAAATGTTCCAAGGTACCGACATGCTATAATCTTGAGTTTTCTGAGCCTTGTTTATAGTATAGACACTACTTTTGTCAATTTGATAAATATACCTCATGGTTTGCGCTTCTAACAAGAAGGCTTTCTCAAATACATATATGGTCTTGGTTACACTCATTGGTAAAGTTATGGTTACGCCAACTCTAGGCTATGACTTCAGTAGTAGTTTGGGCGTATGAATTTCTATTTGGTAAATCATTTTATTATTTTAATTTAATATTTTTTGTCTTTATTGTAATTTTTTATAATGTACAGACACCGCCATGTATTATTATTGTTGATCGGCTAATTCTATTCTCTTATTTTTTCTTGTTATTTTTGATTTATTATTTTTAATAGGAAAAACTATTGCGTTTGTGAATAAATGCATATTCGATAATCATGTCTTAAAATCATAATTCATAGAGGCGCTGCACACATACACAGCGCAAAATTTGATATGGGTATTGTTATGGGGCGGTTCATCAATATAGTCCAGATTCTAAAAGTAGGGCTAGAACTTTATGTTGTTACAGAAACTAGTTACAGTAATCGGTTATTGGGTTAATTTGGCGCTCCAGAAGTATGTGTACCGAGATGGAAGTAACTAATTTTGTTCGCCTACTTGACATCAAGTTGTGTAAAGGGTATATTTACTTGGCTAACACAGAAAGTCCCCGAACTCGTAATAGAACTAAAATAAGGAAAATCTGAATAAAATTGTGACTTAACCTGGTGGGCGTACAGTTAATTTCGAAAATCGTCAACGTACTTACTAGTCTCTCATAGAACTAGCACTGAGTCAAATAGTACAGCTTTTTTGTAATGGAATATGTGATGATGCATAAATACCATTGCACTGATGATAAAACGAGTTCAAGATGATATTTTTCTTTTTCATATGAACCGAAAGTTTTCCTATATGAGCAACAATATTTTTTTCAGTTATAACACTTTTTACCATGTATGAAAATGGAGGCCTTTCATTAGGAAGTTTACTTTTTTTAACAAAATATCTTTCACATAATAATACAAAATTGACAACTTGATTATTCTCTACCCCTACCAAATAGTACTGTTGGGGGAAAAATTGGCGTTTGCAGTCAAGATTATGTGGTTTTACACTCCTGCTAAATATTGGATTGGATTTCAAAATTTTTCTGGGAAAATGGAATGTGTAATGAGTTGATCGAACGATCGCTTCGCGTGTGGATTCCAAGTTTTCGTTTACGAGGAAACATGTTGCTAACGATAGAGAAGGTTGCATATTGACCGGTTAAAAATTACTGTTTTCACAAAAAAAGACGACACGAAAATACAGCTCTATTTATCACGGGTATGTCTGCCATTCACGCTCTAAATAATAACTCTGATAAAATAAGTAAGCCTACTGTAATTTATCATCAAATATCCAGACCGTCTTTTTTGATTTACAGGAACAAGGATGTAAAATCACCTCACTATTGATTGCATGATGGCATTACGGGTAATAAAATCGTCGGCAAAATAACAAAGATAGAGGCGGCAAGAGCTGATGTTATTAAAGGATACTATTGGTCTGTTTTCAAATCGAAGATTATTAGGGATGTAAGTCATTTACAAGAACCTTTGTGGTTTAATAAAATATATCTTACCAAGGAAAACTTCCATATATGGATGATTGGAATAGTAAAAATATTTGTTTCGATGAAGATATGTGTGATTCTAATCAGCAAATTGCAATGTTTCCGTATATTTTTCATCATAATTGTTTTTCTAGTTTTTATGATGACATGCTAGCGTATTTAAAAATTATTTCAAGATACCCCAGGAATGGAAAACTAATTTTTCAAAAACTTCACAATTCAATCCACCTCTTAGTCTGATCGAAGATGTTAAAAGCATTGATAAAACCTCTCGATATATACATGATAAGCTTTGTAATGCAAAACTTTGCCGCCCGCTGAGAAAATAGAAAAATGATCCAAAGAATTGTGCAGGAACTTAGATAATTTGTTGACATTGTATGAAAGCGTTTTTATTGCTCTATTGAAATCATTCTGTTCATTCCATGTCAAATTTACTTTGCGAGCAGTGCCCGCTAATGACCTGCTACCTGCTATATAGAATAAATAAAACACAAAGTCCAAAATGTACATTTTGTAATATGCATGTTGAAACTGTGTTACATTTATTTTTATCTCTGTGAATTTGTGCAGCAATTTTGGGAAATAGTTAACGCTTGGCTAACCGTTGAGTATGGATTACATTAAACCTTAATTTGACACATAGAGAAATGTTATTGGGGATAGGGCAAAACCAGGGTATAAATTGTGGCCTCAATTTTTATATATGATAAAAAATATTATAAACTGTGAAAAGACTGTAAATCCATAATAAACTGCCAATCCATAATAAGAAGTGGAAATCATTATGTGCTCGTTTTTGGACACGTTTAGTGGACATAACGATCGTTTCAATATTATGTTGTTATTGTTATTATTTGTCTCCATCATTTTTAAAAAATCGCTTTTCTTTTCGAATACTGGACCAATTGCTTTGAAATTTTCAGTGGTTAAAGATAAAATTTTTCTGCAGAAAGCTATTAATTTTTTTTGCTATGACGTCATCAAAATTATTGCCATCGGGTGGCGCTACGTGTCCATATATTTGAGCATAGCTCTCTTGTTTTAAATGCAATTGTATTTGTAATATTGTGGGTATATAATGTGATGTTTTTACTAATGAACAAAAACAAAAAAAAAATATCTTTAACTTCAGATGAAACATTGCCGTTCACATAAGTACGTACTCCCATAGAATATGAGCTATTTAACACTCGAATTTGCGAATTTTGTGAAATTTAGGTAATTGTGGACTATTTTTGCCGCGAACTGCCGTGCGTATAACAATAGGTACTTTTCGAATCGACGATATTTCAAACAACCCGCGCATTTTTTCTTCGCTGATCGATATTGTATTGGTTCCATCATCTTTGCACCCGCAAACTACACTCATGGACGTTTGCAGTTTAATAACAGGAATAAGAATACCAAATGAGAAAGCGAACTCCGAACTTTTCTGAAATGCAATTATTCGCGAGTGAAAATCACTGTGGGTGCAAAGGTACGCAGGTGCAAAAATACATGGGTGAAAACTTCTATGGGTGGAAATATATGTGGGTGCAAATTCCCACGGAAGCAAATGAGCCTGGGTGCAAATGTACATGGGTAAAAATTTCAGTGAGTTCAAATGTAGGTGGTGCAAATGCCCGTAGATGCAAACTTTCAGGGTGCAAAGTGGGTGCAATTGCAATATTATATTAAGTTTTGACCTTTTATACTGAATTGCAATGCAGTGCAATGATCGGAGGACTGGAGGATAATCTTTCCTGTCTCTACGCTACAAAGAAATTATCTGAACAATCTGCATGATTGTTACCATCAGTTCGAACTCGGGCCATCATATTCAAGCCCAGGTAATCGACCGAACAAGACACACCGTATTTGGCCCTGTTGAATATAAGGAAATGGATCGATTTTTCCACTAGTTGCCACATGGGGCGCAACTGCACAAATTTGCAATGGCGGAACTACGCCACAGCCCAGCTTTGCCGGTGTCTTTAGCGCACGGTCGCCGGTTTTGGAAATGTTTGCGCAAATGAATTACGACAAGTAGGCTATGGGAAGCTCTTCCAATAGAATGGAGAGAAACTTTATTGAGAAATAGAGAATTTGGTCAGACAAGAATATTAATTGACAAGTACAATGGGTCGAAAGGCTTATCCACTAAACAAATTTATAGGATTATAGCAATTTATAGGTACCGTACCCGACATCGCAAATTTTATTATTTGAAATATACTTCTGTCTTGTGTCGAACCCTATTTCCAATTTGGGATTGGACAAATATCGACTTAGTTGGAACTTGAGTATGTTACCCGCCTATCGGAGATCTAATTTTTGTTTTGGGTTATTCAAGCAGTTAAAGCGTTTTGTTTATTTTGCTTATGATCATACTGTCATAAATAACACTGTGATAGGTGCGAGGATATAAAGATTTATTAACCAAACTTTTCACTACCTACCGGTAGCCTATCTGTTGCATAATAAAAAATAATTTTTAAAAAATTGCCAATGGTTGTATAAATACTGGAATATAGGAATAGGCTAAGTTGGTGTATATGATAAATGAAAGTACACAAATCTGAAATCAAAATCTAGATAATGCAGTACTGCAGTACGGTATGGCTGTTACCTGTACCGGTACTTAGTCACAGTGATAGGTAATACAAATAAACAGTTATGTTGGAAGGTCATTTATACGGTAACCTAAGTAATCTCATATCCGATATGTACTGGCACGGTGATCCAGTAATCAAGTTGTGGTATGCCATATGATTAAACCGTCTTACTGATCGGCTTCCTTGGGTACTGCACTGTAGTTTATTTGAATTATCCCATATTTCAGTATTTAATTCTTCACCAATATCTTTGATTTTTGTATCAGAGTGTAACGCTGATGTTATTATGAAATCTATACTCTATCTATGATCATAAAACACTGCAGTGAAAGATGTATTCAAGAAGAACTAGGAACTCGAAGGCGAAAGAACCAGAAAAAATTGATATTGAGAATGAAAGAAAAGATGATGAAGCAAAGGATTGTGTTGTTGTTTCTAGACTCCGCCGCAGACCTAGAGATGGAAAAAAAAATAATAAAATAAATAAGAACAATTCTAAAACTACGAGGGAAATGGAACACAAGTCAACTCAAGATGATGAGAGTGAGAAAAGGCATGGTAGAAATCTGAGAATTATTTCAAATGGAAATACAACTCAACGGAAGAGAAAAACAACTTCAAAATTAAAAAATGAAACTAGTTCTTCTTCAGAAATGAACAATGAATCGAATTCCTCTGACAATTCAGTTAACACTCGTCTTTCATCTTCAACTGAAAAATCAAATAACGTTGAATTATCTTCCCCTATTAGCCCCTGTTCTGTAGTGCTCGATGAAAATGTTGAATATACGAAACATAAAAAACCAATCCCTAACATGGAGAAGCTAAATAACTCCAGTTCAAGCTCATATGATAAAAGTATAAACACCCATAATTCTATTACTAAACGCAAACACTCGGCTGAAGATATTCTTTCTCTTTTAGAAGTGGAACATAAACCTTCGAAAAGCTTCAAGGATACCTCTCAAAATATGAGGAAACCACAGAGTCATGAGAATTTATCTTACCCCGATAGGCCAGCCTTAAAAACTAGCACTGGGAAAACTAGGAAAATGAGAAGCGATTCCTCAAATAAACAAATAAAACAAATTAACAAGACTAAAAGCCAAGTTCAAACAAATAGCACCCCTACACTCGCATCATGGCTTTCTTCTTCCCAAATATCAACCAGAACCAACCAAAGGGAAGATTTTCTTACTGTATCACCCCCAAGTTTTGATAAATTTGGAGACAAAACTTTTGAATCCCATTTAAGTAATATGAAGAAAGCCAATATGCATACTCCGAAAGAGAGTTTACGTGAATCTAGAATCGGAGGTACGCTTCAATGTAGTTCCAAAAGCCCAGATCAAACAAAGAGCACCTCTACACTTGCACCATTGCTTGCTACTGCTCATAGATCAACCAGAACCGATCAGGGTGAGAATTTTTCTACCGTATCGCCCCCAAATTTGGAATTGCTTTCAAGCAATGTGAAGGAAGTCAATACTCCAAAAGAAGGGTTACGTAAATCTAGAATTGCCAGTACGCCTCGATACATATCACAATCTGATGACAGCGACACAGAAGATTTGTTTGGTTTTGAAAACTTACTTAATCCTGTCGCTGACGTTCTAGAAGATGTTTCTCCTATTATAAGTCACCAAATTCGGAGAACACGAAGGAGCAAAAAAGTATCACCATTTTATCAAGGCAATAATGGTCCAAAAGAATGGAATGGAATTCTAGACGTCACAGACTCACATTGGCGTAAGAAGCCATCCAAAACTGGAGCAATTAAAACTAATCCAAACACTGACAATATAGAAGTTGCGGAATTATCAGAAATTCATTTATTTGAAGATATTCCTGAGGAAAAAAATGAAAATAATAAGGAAGATGGCTATTATTTTGAAGAAGATCAACCATTATCTAAGCCAAAAAGAGCCCCGAGAAAGCCCATTAGGTCTCAACAAGATGAATTCAACATAGAAGAACAACTTCCATGGAGAGAAATAATGGAGCACGAACTTGTTATCGAATCTGTTTAGCCAAATTTATGTAGTTTTACTTCGTTATTTTAATGAAAGGTTTTTTTAATTTTCGAAATTTTTTTGTATCATGTATGACAATAGATTCACAAATTTTTTTTACGATGTTATTCTTTTTTTATAATATTATTGCCAGAATGGGTTAGCTCTGCCTGTTAATATAATTTCACTGCCAAGTTTGGAATCAGTAAATAATATCTCAATGTCAGCTTCTGCTTATTTATTGCTGATTTGATAGCCACCACCGCCTAGAAATGATTGTCTTGAAGACTTGAAGCTTTATATGGCATTCATTCTCAAGGTTGAAAAAATATTTCAAATATTAAATTTTTTTGACTGAAATTTTGTACTTATTGTCTGCTTGTTTTGCCATCGCTTTGTTTCTGTTTGCCAGGCAATAGTTTCTTTTGATACCTATATCTGAACTAATTTCATTAGTTGAATCATTACATTTGCATCATATGTTTTATGTTGTCAGTGTGTAGTCTGCCTTTGTAGTGTTATATCATGAAACAAATTGAGTATGATAGTCGACAATAGTATATTAGTTTTGTGTTACTTCCTATTACTTCCTTCCTTACTTACTATTTTTTCAATATTTCGTTTAAATATTTTCGTTTGGAAACTGTATTTAGATTTGACAAACTTTGTGTAGAACCATATCAAATTCTTTATTAGTAATAAAAATATGGTATATTGACATGACAGATTTAACAGGGAAATATTCTCACTGATAAAATTGTAAGTCTATGGTGGGGATGTCACACTATTTTTATACCCATACTGTTATTGTAGATCATAAATTACGCTAAAATTAAGGTTTCTTTTCTGTCTTTGAACTTAATTTTCCTTTTCTGTCTGTTTTTTGATATGAGTCTTTATTTCAAGCATTCAAAGAAGTCTGATAATAACAGTTTCGTTGTGTTTTTTGGTGATTTTTTAGTCACAATTTCGTATGTTCATATCCTTGTACAATGTATTGCATTTATTTTTCAATTTGATTCCTAAAATATTACAACATGCTCGTCTTCGTTCAATTGTTCTAGTAAACCTCTACGTTTCATTACAGATTGTTGACAATCCAATATTAGAATATTGTTACAAATTTAGTGCAGTTTTCTATTATTAATAAGAGAAAAAAAAATGTCGACAACTCTCAAACCATACCTGAATGCTGTAAAGTCTACTTTAACAGCTGCTACGTGTCTCCAGAATTTCAATTCTCAAGTCGTGGAAAGGCATAATAAACCAGAAGTCGAAGTTCGTAGCAGTAAAGAATTGTTGATGACGCCGTTGGTCATTGCGAGGAACGAAAAAGAAAAAGTCATGATAGAAGCTTCAATCAATTCAATCCGCGTCAGCATCGCCATAAAACAAGCTGACGAATTGGAACAAATTCTTTGTAGCAAATTCACAAGGTTTATGATGATGAGAGCTGAAAGTTTCGATGTTCTACGTAGAAAACCAGTCGCTGGGTACGACATTAGTTTCTTGATTACTAATTTTCACACAGAGAAAATGTACAAGCATAAATTGGTTGATTTCGTCATTCACTTTATGGAAGAAATTGACAAAGAAATAAGCGAAATGAAATTAGCTGTCAACGCACGTGCCAGAATCTGTGCTGAAGAATTTTTAAAGAAGTTTTGAATATAAGATGCTGTAGAACTAGAATTTCAAGTACTCTTTGCATCTACAATGAATGAACTGGAAAATGCCTTGAAACGAAGGTTTTTTCTCTATGAAAGATGTTTTAAATTTATCATTATATTTATCCAGTATAATAATTATGATATAGTCCATAATATCCAAAGTGTTTAGTCAATATCAATTTTACGAGAATGATATTTTTTCTCCGATTTCAATGATTTGAATCACTGATTAAATTTGATGAAGCCAAATAAAGGTAAAACTTGATAACAAAAAATTTCAGTTTTCTCTTTACATAATATTCATATGCTTGGTATATTAATGCTTGATTCTCCCATGTCTAACTATATATATCAACGATCTTAAGAGTGGATAGGTTATTTTTATTACTATATGCAGAATATCTAATTGATGCTTATTGTTATAATTGAAATAACCAGCTGCTTATTTTATTATCTTGTCTGGTTGGCTCCCATGTTCTATATCCCCGCATATGAGCCGACCCCACAAAAACCGCTTTGAAATAGTGAATTTATAAAAATTCTCATATAAGCTGACCCTACAAATCGTAACACACCGTATGCACGTATAACAGTCAATGATGTTCAATTCGAATTTAATATTCAAATATCGGTATTCGCTACCTTCTAGTATCGTTTTGTGTTTATATTAATATTGAATATCGCACACACATTCTAGCGCCCCTGTCCACGTTTTAATTAAAAACATTTTTCGATTATTATATTTTATGTTTTATCGTAATCGAAGACAGCCCATTGTGACGCGACTAAATTACTGCCGACATGAAAGGATTTATATCAGCGCCGACTTGCAGTACTTATAACACGTCGTGGATGTTTGATTGAAAGTATTTTACAATTATTATTGAATATTTAACATATCTGGGCGACCACAGCAAATTGTGTGATAAATAATTGTTTCCATTGACAGTGACCGAGAATAACGGGAAGTTTTTTCATTTCCAGCCTATTAAATAGCTTCTAAATGTTATTTAGTATCTATTGTTCAGTTTAAGTTTGCGGTATTTATTTATGAAATGTCATTTAGTTCAAGTGCGATCAGAGTTATGCGCTTATAAGCCGACACCTTAGTTTGACAACTTTTTTTTTAGTTTTGAACTCGGCTTATATGCGAGGATATATGGTAATTTGTTCTCATCTGACCAGGCCACCTCATTGAATTTTTCACAACGGTAGCCCTGACCTCTAATGCCAGCATTCATCCATATATACTGCACAGAGTTTTGGCGAAATGAATTGATTGTGGAAACAAAAACTTTAAATATATTTTCCAATTGAGATTCTGACTGACTTAATTTTTAGATTTCAGCTCTATTATGTTCCCCCTTTGTTTGTTTCAAGGCACTGCCTTAGGATCCTGTTGTTAAATATTAGGACCAAATATAGTTATGTTAACTTTTGTGGCCAGTATTTTCAGGGTAGGAATCGTTACCATAGTAACATATTATGCTATCATTTTTGGATGTTACATAACTGATATCAAACTTAATGTACTAGAAGGTATATTTTTGGAATTTTCAATATAGATAGGTAATCATTCGAATAATTTCTATTTGTTGTAAAAATTGACATAAAATTGGATTTTACAGAAAAATTACAAAATTTTAGGAAATCGTCTTTTTTTTTATGTCATTGATGGATCTTTGAAAAACATCTTTCTCAGATGCCATTAACTTTAAGCGAGCTGATGTAATCAATTTTAGTAAATGTTTCGAATTTATCGCAATTTTTTCGGGTACTAAAACCCCTGTTTTCCATGTTGATTAGGGAAACATCACCCATGTAACATCTATGACTGCATTACAATAGTTACATTCAAAATCTTGTTTTGCTGTTATATTAAATTCAATTAGTTGGAAAAAAGTTATTATTGGATATCAAATTCATGTTCTACTATTAAATGGTAATAATGATATTATTCCATGATATACTGTATTCATTAATTATGTGATAAACAATCGTTCTTGCTCTTATTTCTTTTTTCATTGAAACTAGCTGATTAATTCATTGATGATTGAACAATGTCGTTTTTCATTGTAAATTTTTTGTGGCAACTTTAAAATTGTGCATTTTCAAAATTTATCTGTAATGCAAATTATCAACAAAGCAAATTGTTTAATGATGGATTGTGTAACCAGCCTGGGTCTATTTTACTTATGACACACCATTAGCGATTATATTTACATGGCTTGGCCGAATATAATCCTCAAGTGACAACAATCTGTTTCTCGAGCATATTAGTAACTTGACAAATACAAGAAGGGCTGCTTTTTTTTTGCTATATGATTATGATCTTTCATCTAACAATGCTTTTGGGAGGTGAAAATTATTATTTGTTGAATAATATATTTAAAATTGTGTATTGGTTTGGTTGTAATTTCCATTTGTAAACGTATAGTAGTAGCATTTCTAAGTGATATTGGGTAATTTCAATTTGATATTTGTTGGACAATATTTCTAATTAACCAATGTGCATTTATGTTTTTTTATATTAATCAGAGTCTGCTAATTAGTATTCCAATAAAAGAAGCAAAATTGAAATATGAAAGGAATAGAGTATGAAAACCAACTTATGGAGATTGATGAATCAAATTTTACGAATGGAGATATAGAAAATAACAGAAAAACTTCAATATTAGTTGATGGACGTAACAGAAAGAAAAAAGATACAAATGTGTTATATCATTTCATCGATGGTTTTGTTATTGAAGAAGCAGACACTCCATTTACATTAGACACGGGTTCTTTACTCACAAAACAACAACTCCAAGATATCTGGAGGAAACAGCAGGAACTTATCGCTAAAGATCGTGAAGAAGAACGCAAGCTAGATAGAAAGTCTATTTTACCTGAGGAAACGAATGAAGCATTGTTAGATACAGTACATAGATGCGAATATTGCGGTAAACGTGGAAAAGGTCATCGCTCGTCTCGTTTTTGTACTCTACTTTGTTGTCGTCGTTATAATATTGCTGTTGCGAGAAGATTTCGAACCAAGGCAAATAAAATTGATAAAGATTCTAATGAGGAATCCATTGAAATACAGAGACAAAAAAATCATCATTTTAGCACTCCACCTCTTTCCCCCGTTATTCCCTACTTACCACACGTGAAAGATGAGGATGGTCAAATGGTCACTCTTAGTCCGAGCAAGTGGACAGTAGATAATGTTTGTGATTACATTTCGTCTTTGCCAGATTCAGAGAGTTTTGCAAAAGATTTTAGAAATCAAGAAATTGATGGTTCTGCTCTGCTTTTGATTAAAGAAGATCATTTAATCGGAAGTTTGAATATAAAACTGGGACCTGCGTTGAAATTGTGTTCGCATATTAATAAGTTGCAAGAATGACTTAATGTAAATTTATTTATAGTCGTAGATTTTGGTCTACTATGGTCATGGATTCAGATGCCATCATTCGTAATTGTCTCAAGTCCATACATTGCACTTGTTTGAATTATAGATGACCGTACATTTTTGTGCAGTTAAAAATATGTTGTAAAAATGCCGCTTAAGCTTTCTCTATTTACTTTTCCTGCTCATATGTGTTAGCTGTTCTTTTTGTTTATTGCAATTTGCAAAGCATTGTATTTCTCATGATACCACTATATTTTTTTTGTTGGTGATATGTCTTTGTGATTATCTACCCTAGCAAACACTTATGGGATTTGATATCAGAATTGTAATTTTTGATTTTCTGATCCAATATTCTTATACTTCTATTAAAAATGCCAAAGAAACTTGAAATTCTACTTTGATTTAAATCCGTTCATATATTTCGGAGTTGATAAAATTAATTCCTGGTTCAGGCATAGGATGTTACAGCCCGACAGGCATGATCTTCAGAAAACTCATTCAGATTTGGAAAAACGATATGCTGTACCACATAACATATAAACTTATAAACTGAACTATTCTCATAAAAATGCGTATTTCTTCAAAAGACTAAAAAAGATGACATGAGTCACATGATGTACTTGAATATGTCCAGACCTTGCTAATTGTACAATCAATGAATGTTGTGATTGTGATTAATTCAGAATGCTAAAATGAGTATCAGTGCATTTATTTATTTAGTTTATTACTATTTTTTGGAAAGGATTTTTTTAAAAAATGTCACAGAACCTTGGTACTAACTTTGTACAATCATTTTGATTTTTTTTGATTGTCGGTTTATTTATGAGAATCATGTTCACTTAGCTTATTTACTTCTAAATGTTTCTTCCATTCTCTGACTCTATATGTGATGAACCTATTTAATTTGATAGTGATTCAATCGTCATTGTCAATTGTCATTGCTATGAAAGGTATTTGGTATATTTAAGTAATGACGGTTGGACTCGTATATATATATATAATACCATAATCAGATCACTTTCATCATATTCAACTATTTTATCAATTCAAATAAAATAGAATATTTTTGCTACCTAATAATTCGAATATCTTATGGAGATCACAATGTTTCGTTCCTATATTCATTTTTGTATTTCTCGCTTTTTGGTGCTGAGAGTTGAGAAGAATTTACTATGTTCTCTTTGAAATGTGTGTAAATCAAAATATATGATTATAAGTGAATAAATTTGAAATGTATTCACATCATTTTTTTTTCATCAGGCACCAACCGTCAGTCTTTCACATGAATTGTATGGCAAGTCTGCTACTTGAAGACATTCCATCACTGCCAAATAGTTTCGTTTTTGGAGTGAGATAGTGATTTGGCTTTCGTTTGTTAACACATCACCTAGAAATATACACCTTCAATACTTATTTCAATACACCTATTTTTCATGATTTCATTTTTATTGAGATATATTTTGTAATGTGATTCCGATTTTCGTAGTAGAGATGATGGCTACTGCGTCCAAACTTTATTTATTTACATTATGTTGTCATCTATTTCATTTCAAGCAATTCTGTTTTTTTCTTTCTTTCTAGATTATTTACAGGTTTCAGCAAAGCTCAAATTGAACATGACTTTCGTTCACTTTCTCAATTGTATGGCTCTGGCTTATGCACCATACGTTGTTGCCTATAAGACGTCTATTTTATCAGAGTATAATGCTCTAAGCCGTGTCGTTTTCGCTGGATTTATTTATATGGTGACTCAACTTGGAAAAATGATGTTACTTGCTACGTTCTTTCCTACTATGGAAAATACGGGAAGTGATTTTAATGTGATGGCAGAATTTTTAAAAACTCTCGTTGATTTTATTGATCTTGTCGGAATTTATTTCATCATCAATCGAACCATTGGAAAACCCGAATTGAAAGTACTAATCGCTGGAATGGGATGGTCAGGTGCAGAAGTCGTTTTCACCAATCTAATTCCTTTCTGGGTCGGAGCGAGAGGCTTAGAATTTGATTGGAAATTCATGAGAATGTCACTCGATGCTAACATCACTCTCGTTCATGTTATGGCAGTTTCGGCCCTTGTATGGGCATATTTACGTACGGACCTAAACAAGAACCTTGTACCTGTTGTCACAGCTCTTCTCGCCATGTCTGTGTTCCGGAATTTTATTGTTGAAGTTATTTCTATTGCAGCAGGTTTTTCACCATGGGTTTCACTGTTGTTGAGAGCTGTATTTACGTCCGTGATTGCTACACTATCATTACAACTATATGAAGGTCTTGCGAAGGAGTCTTCATGATATATTTTCATGAATTGAAGTCAAATCAAAGATGTGTTTGGAGATCGAGGAAGACATTTGGAGGCAAAATTATTAAGGAAAATACTATTATTAATAAAGATGAACGAGTATTAGAAATGTGCTGTATATTGATGTTTATGATTGGTTTGTGTTTTTACCAGTAACAGAGTCATTTTGCAGCAAAATAAGTTTTCGACAATCTCAACTGATCACAATTATTTTCAAGTTGTCCCTTTTAATGTCGTCAATTCAATTTGAAAGACATTGAATCCTGGACTTTTATTGTAATTATTGAGCATAATTTCTATTTCCTAATTGTGGTTCTTTGCGTTTTTTTCTTAATTTTTCAAATCCAGTGGTATTTTAATAATTGTCATCTGTGGTATGTGTATGTCTGTATGATTATTTTGATAATTCTTTTCCATGATACACAATACACATCAAAATTCAGTTTGGGTATTGAGTTCCACAACATTTGTAAGATATAGATTTATGTTTAAATTTAATTAGGGTACCGTATTTGCTCGTTTTGTAGCCCGGGCATATATTTTTTTAACTCACTAACCGGGCCCTCATTCAAACTGGCCTTTATTCAAGCACGGGCGCTTGTTATTTTTAAAGTAAAATTATACACAAAAATATATAAAAATAAACAAGATCGATCGTTACAATAATTAATATATTGTCATTTCCAGTTCTCAAGTATGATTTAAACGAAAATTTTAACTTTTTCTACGCACCGCGGGTACAAATCCGCAAAAGAAGAAAAGTTTTGCGACGCCCTATTAATATTGAAACGACGCACTTGGGCGTCGCGGCGCCCAGTTTGAGAACCACGGTGTTACATAATCAATGCTATCTGTTATGTAATTGGACGCGAAGGCGTGAGTGTTATCTACCAGCGCTTAAAATTCCACAGCGTTGTGACAAAAGCGCTTCTTATTTCCTATTGTTCTCTACCACTGAAAAATCAGCTTTTACATCGGGCGGGTATTCAAGCACTGGCCCTTATTTATTTTTATGTTCTGTTCACACGGGAGGGCGGCTATTCAAACAGGCCCTTAATCAAGATCGGGCGGTAAAACGAGCATATACGTTATGTACAATAAAAAATATCTTCTTAGGGTTTTGAATTTTATAAGTTCATGCTGGTGCAAGGTTGTGATTTATGCAGAATTTTCATGGCTCTCTGACTTGGATTGAGAATAAAAGAGGGTTTGTATTTGGCAGTTTCATACAAAATAAGCAGCATACTCAATTTCAGATTCAGTATGTTATTATGAGTGAGCGTTTTGAATGTTACTAAACTTGATAATATTCAAATCAATTGAATAGATATTTTATATCATCAAATAAACTATCTCATATTCGATATAATTTGCCTCAGATTGGTATCTAATGCAACAATTGCTGGAAATCTAAATCATTGGCCTCATTTTTCCTATGTAAAAATCCTGTCATTTCCCAGCTGACAACATCAATTAATCCATTATTGTGCTGATCATTCATATTCACAATCTTTTTTGACACAAGACATCTGTGTTCAAATAGTCCTAGTAGAAATTCTTTAATTTTGTGCATTAACTTGTTGTTCAACTTGATTGAAACTTATTTATAATGCCCACCCCTATCGATTGTTTTTTCTGTTGAAAATTGTGCAAGTATAAGTAGTATTCCTAAAAATTGCTGTTATTTGTTAATTTATGTCAACTTTCTCTGATACGAGTGCAGTCATGAATGACATCTTTCAAAATTAGACCTTGATAAAAAAAAAACTCCTTTGCAATAATGTGTCATTAATTTCTAATTTAGACTTATTTATAATGTAATTTACAACACTGTAGTCGATTTACTTATGTTCATAGTTCTTCATGGTAAAATCCATTATTAGAAGTCAAGAGAACGAAACAATGTCTAGTTCAGTCGCTAGATCGACATCTATTGTTATTTTGGTGCTGGCTATGATCGCAGGTATGTAGGCTATGTATATTATGAATGTTTTGGTCTGATTACTTTACAACACACTTGTGAGGATTGTGTCATTACTTGTTGTTATGTAGTAATTATTATCAACTGTTCACCTTGTGTAATCTGCAAAATAATGTCTATATTGCAATAATATGAATAAATCTCAGAGGTTATGTACTGCTTCAGTTTGAACCGAAAAATCAACATCTTCGTTTATTATCAATTCTTTAAGCAGCAAAGGCTCAAGAGTTTCATCCAAAAGAAGTCGGAGAAGCTTTTATTCAAAAGAAGTCTGCTCACTCATTGGTCGATTCAAAGTCTCTAAAGTTCAAAGTTGACACTGCGAAACTGACTGTTTTTGTTCACGCTCTAACTGATGACAACAAAAACAATTTATCATATCCTGTGCAGATATACTTTCTTTCTGATTATTGTCATAATGTGAGTAGTGATTGCATCGATGTTATTACTGTTCACGTTCGCATGGGCGAATAGAGATCTCAACGTTTCATAATATTTTGTTTTAAATATATGATTATGTTTTGGATTTACCTTGTTTCTGAAATGTATTCTTTTAGTTAGTGAATAAGGTGTTATAATGTCATAATTATATTCAGATTTTCCTTTTTTCAGTTCCATTATGAGTTCGGGGACTGTCTGTGTTAGCCAAGTGAATATACCCTCTGCCCATAGGTTTCAGTCCCTTTACACAACTTGATGTGAAGTAGACGAACAAAATTAGTTACTGGGTACCTCCATATTGGGACACATACTTCTGGAGTGCCGTGAATTTTAATTGAAAACTGTTCCATTTCTAGTATATACAATCATAATGAAGTATATTCAACGATTGTTATCGCACAATGCTGTTTTACTGCACAAAAACAACTACCGGTAAAAATATTTGAAACTGGCTTAAATTGCTTGCTAAAAACTGCCCAAAAATCATATCTTTTGTTTTTATCATAAACTAATATCTCTCTTTAAAACGAGGTTTGTTTCGGATCAGTAATTTATTTGATCTACAATAAATGTTCTACTGATCTCAGAAATTCTGTTTACTTTATTTATAATAACATCGTATGAGATTTTTCATATCATTGTCTTCAATATGACTTTAGACAAGAAACGCTAGATTTTCAAGAGAGGATTCATTTTATTCACCATTGCCCACCTGAGTTTATTGCACTGTGGTTTATGAATGAGATTGCAGCTCTATCTACATATCAATTATAACACTAATTGAAAAAAACCACATACCTCTGATTGATTTTTGTTTGCTTTCAGTGTTCGTACTACTATGTGACGAATATAACAGGGATTCATAAGCACTATACAACGACATTTCTTGTAGATTCAAAGTGGAATTCAAATGTCATGTTCATGTCCAACCTCAGTAAATCTAACATATCGTGCAGGTACTGGATCATTTGTATAGTGTTTTTCACCCTTTTCAGTCTAGACCAGACTATTATTGAAAAAGAGAAACACAGTTTTATAAGGCACTGTTAAGAATCAATGATCTGAACTTACTTTTCACTTTTCTAAGATAAGATACACCCAATGTTCTTTCTTTTCTCTCGCTGTTGTTAGCTAAATATAAGGTGATTGCCAAAATTTTTTATTTTATTAGAGGGATTGTTGTAATGAAGTATGGATGTTCCGTGTATGTGTCCCCAAGCTAAGCTACCGCTACAAAAGTGGCGCGCGCTGTATAAATGCCTGCGGTGCTTAATTAACTAGAAACGTTCAAGGTAAATGCGCATTAAAAAGGTCCTTCATGTGCTGGCAGGGATGGCCATTTCCGAATACTAAACTATTCCGAATACATTCTAAAATAATGTTTTCGAATCTGGAATTCCGAATACATTCTAAAATCGAAAATAACACATTTTTGTTTAGTTTATCAAAACCCAGTAAATTAGGAAATAAGCTTCAATAAAAATAGCAGAATAAAGCCACAAACCAACAATATATGTACACAAGATAATTGATAGTTTATAGCTATCAATAAAAAATAATAGCAACTTGTGACACAGTCAGTTTATTAAAATTATTCAATTTGTACAAATGACCATATGAAAAGATAGCCAAGGAGTTGTCTGACGCTTTCTATCATTGGTACCATGATATTATGATAATAGTCAAGTCTGTTGACAAAAATACTACTTGTATTCAGATAATTGTGTATATTTTCTGAGAGTAATAAAATTTATTGGCAATACAGGCAACTGAAACAAGCAACAACAATCGAAAATCCATTATGCCTTTAAAAATTCTAATATTTAAGCATAGAGTATTCTACTACCCACCAGTATATTTGTATATTAATTTATGTGAACCATATTGTTATTATGTGTAACATATTGTTGTGTTTGAAATTAGAAATAAATTAGTAGAGGATAAATGACCACCACTGCCAGCCGCGCAGCCAGGATTTTCGAAATCGAAAATTCCCGTTGCCGCCTGTAACACCCAAAGTGACTTTAGTAACACCCACCGCAATTCCGCGCTCGTTAAAAGAGCCGTCTTTTCAGCGTATAATGATCATCGTGTTACGTAAAATATTCAATCCATGACAACTACGAGATTCTAAAATATCTTTATATATTAATTTAATGTGTCCAACGTAACTCGCGGTTGCTTCTTCTTACGTAAAAAAAAAACATTACTATTTGGTCCACGGCGATCTGTGACCTAAAAGACCAGATAAACTGCCTGATGTATTTAATTTTAATACGTATTTTTGCAATCTTGCCAACTCGTTATCGCCGTTAGAAAGAACTCAAATAATGATATAAAATCCTGTTAAGTGTAGTATAATTTAAGTGTAGTATAATTCATTTCATACAATGAATATAAATATAAAGTTTAGCAGTAAATTGAAAATACGTATTCATCGCCGCGATTATGCCACCTGTTAAAAGAGTCGACTTTTACAACAAATAATATAACAATATATTTTTCTGTTGTGCAAAGTGATGAATTCGTGACCGATACGGGCATATTTAAAATGTCTTGCTTCATTATTAATTTAATTGTCTTCAATTTAACCTGCGGTTGCGTCGACAAAATAAAATCCTCACCACTCTTATATACCATTGCAATCGGCGGTCATAAAAATAAAAATGTGTGTTAAACTGCCCGATTAAATAATGTTTTGATCCGTATTTTGCGAATTCGGCAAATATTTAGATGTACTTGTTAACAGTGTCTCCGCTCAATCGAAATGCTGCCACTCTGATTATTTTTAGATAAAACAGAAAAATCCGTAAATCTTCTGTAACATCTCGGAGTGAAATTTATTTCATCAAAATAAAATTGATTAAATATACTTTGAAAATATTCGACGGCAATTTAAAGTAATGGATAATCAGGCAAATCCCGCCCCTAATTCGTTTCTAAACGCCGACCAAACATAATGTGTGCCAGAGGCACACGAAATTCTGCGATTTTCACTGCCTAGAAAAGCGTTTTTCAAATTTTCGCCGGCCTCAATAAAACTTATATTGTTTACGGTTTTATTTTCAGTATTTTAAATTGCCGCTTTTCAATCAAAAAGTTGCGTTGTCTTTAGAAACTCGCCGCCGATGAACGTATTTACCAGATTCACAATTCCGTGCGCGTACAAAAATAAAATAATTGTCTTCGTTACGTGGAACAAATTTGTGGGAAATTTTCGTTTTAGAGAAAATAACAGAAACGTAATGGCGTTTACGGCCTAAATAACACGTTACGCTGATGAGTGATAAAAACAATCACGCGCAAGTTTCTATCGAGAATGTTTTCATTCAACGGAAACGTCTTGAGAGCGGCGTCGAAAATGTGTGACGTCACACAAATATCCGATATTCTTATGAACGCTAATTCCGATATTCGAATGACGAGATATTCGAATACATTCGAATACTTTATTCGAATTGGCCATCCCTGTGTGCTGGTGATTATTAATAATCTATGTTTCTCATTGTTTGTATTATTTTCATAGCGAGAATGTATCATATCATTTTGGTGAGAGAGGGGAATATACCTGGCAAATAGAAATACGAGATACAACAACCAATGCAAGTTGTTCATCCAATGGAATTACAGTTGTCACAAAACCATGGAACTCATACTTACGTAAGTATCTGTTTTTTATTTGTTTTTTTACTCGCAAGATCGTGCAATTTATGAATCTTGGTAACTAATTTCTTAGTTTCAAGTTTTTACGTTTTGTTTTAGGTTGAATTCAAATTTTTGAAGTTGAGTTTTTAGTTGGTATTTTATAATAATTTCTGATTTTTTTTTAGTTTTCTTTTTTATTCTCTGCTTCAAAAATGTCACTAATTAGTAGTTGCTCTTTGTCTGCGTCAGCAAAATTCCGGCCTAATGTTGTAGGAAAAATACCGAATGTCATATAAAGGTGTGCCCATGATATATAAAACCAACAAAATTTGGGTATATTGAAAAAAATAATAAAAAAACAGCCTTTTAGCGACTTTGTCCATCTTCAAGAACTTGAAATTTGAATTGGATTGGTCCATTGGTCGCGGAGAAAAGTGATTTTTTCACAGCTCTAATGAGAACAACAACAGCCACAATATAGCAAAGTCAAACCATATGTTCGCCACCATAAAAGCAGCTACTACACAAGAATCCATTGAAATCTCTCAATATTTTTATAATAATGTTACATCTAATTATAATTCTATGTTTTTATATTCCCAGCTATCCTTGTGGCATTTTGCATTCTTCTTGGCCTTGCAATTGTATACTCCATTGTTGATACATTTTATAGTCGAAGATTGTTGAATAGATCTGAATCAGTGGACAGATTTATCAATTCAGTAAGTATGCATGTATGGGTATCATATGCCACAAATTTCTATTTTTTTAAATTTATAGAACATCTCAAATATAGGTGTAAATTTTTGTTGTTGTTTATGTTTTTTATTTAAGGCACTTGAGGCACGTCTTTTATTTGCAATGTCAACTTTGCCCAACATTCTATACTCCAGGCCACTGTTAAGTCAAATTTTCCTAAAACTTTATAAATATGTGATCGTACGTATTATGAAAAAGCCATCGTGCAATAGTCATTTGCAATCTTCATCATTTTTTTCAAAGGATGTTCGTCTTAAAACATTGAAAGAAACTGTTATTACTTCTTTCTCTGCAGAAAATTACAATGTGAGCATAAAAGTTTCGCCATGCTTGAACATGATTGGCATACTCATGATTTTTGAATTGTTTTGGTATTTCTAAGAAGGGTAATTTTTCTATTGTTGTATAATGTCAAATTTCACATAAACTTACGCTGCTTTTTTTAAAATTCATTTTACTCTGTTTAGTCTATTTAGTCAACACTGAGTTGAATTAAAGACATTCAGACAAGTTATCCGATATTGTCTGTTTTGATATAATGTTTATAATTATAATAATATGATCATGACTTGTAATAAAAATGTACAATTTGAACATACTAAATTATGTTGTGTTTTCCTTAGAAATACAGACAAAAGCCAAGCTCTTGAAAATCGAATAATAAACGTGACTGAAGTAAAAAAATAGGTTGATAGATAAAGAGTTTTCCCCAATATACAGGCTGATCCAAAAACAGAACTCATAAATTTCTTAATTCTATGAAAATGTAGAAAATTTATTTAACTCCTGTTTGTGTATGATTGCACACAAAAGTTTTAGTAATCCAGGATCGTTTGCACAAAAGTTATGTTCTCGGATATCTTCCAAATAACTTGGTCATTCCGTACTCAAAGAAGAACCAAATGCTTTTTATTAAGTAGGCTATTTACTTAATGATGAAAAAAGTATCTTGACTGTAGTCACATGTGAACTTGGCAATGTGCACCTTTACTGATAGCCAGGTTTTGCTGTTCCATAAAAGTATATCTCATGTAAACAAATCTTTGTAATTAATCATTTCAGCAATCAAGAATAATTATTGCATCTTCATCACTGGGGTGGTTGTTTATTGGTGGATTTTCCATCCAGTGAATTATTATTTATGCACATTATTGAGATGTTTTATGGCAGAATTTTTTATGAGTATTACAACATATTTTAGGATCTTGGAAGTACTACCACAATGGATGAAACCATGGTTCCAGAACCAAGGCCTGCCAGAGAACGTATGAAGTCCGTAGATTCTTTCAGAGGGTGAGTTATTATGTTTTTCAATTATTCAACAAATTTATGATTGTAAAATATTTTTACGTTTTAAATACTATCTCTGTCAAAAGTGGATAGGTTTAGTTATTATTAGAGTTGTGAAGTGATTATTATAGCTGAGAATTCAAGGGAAATAACTTTATTAACAGTTAATCGGGTGAATTAACTGAATAACCAAATAAATGCAGTGTGATGTTTGACGTAATTTGAGATGTCCAAATGGTTCCAAAGCCTTGCTTTTTTAAATTTTTGGGTTCTCACAAATACAGTTAGTGGAACTTTTTTTCAATTCAACGCCACAGCAGATATATTTGCGATGGACTAATCATTTTTGAAGAAATTATACAGTATAAAGGTGATTTGTAGCCGAGATGTCAGTTAACGGTTAAATAAAATAAGTCGTAACCATTTACCATCTAAAAATGGTTTACCGATTAACATTCCAAGCTCTAGTGATTGTACATCAATACATGACTTGTAACCTCTCAACAAACTGTTCGAAAAATTCATCTTGATATTTCAGAGGTCGCCCATTACCTTTCTTTTATTCTGAGTGAGTACACATAACCATGCATTTAACAAATTATCTTGAAAATGTTATTTATGTGCTATATTTGCTTTTGCATTTCAAACTAGGCTGGCAGATGCTCACACTTACCGAGATGAAATATTTTTAACTTTTTAACTGTTTGATTAAATATTTTAGTACACAGACGATCAAATTTATGACACGAAATCTTCTATGGCGAACTAGCCTACTGAAACATAACAAAGAAATATTTTTTATATAATATGATTTTTACAGCATCTGCATTGTGATCATGGTATTTGTCAATTATAAAGGTGGATGGTATTGGTTCTTTCATCATTCACCATGGCATGGTACGTCCACTGATACTTTTATATTTATTAACTGAGTCTTCATATACTTTAGAATGTGTATCGTGATCATGATATTTGTCAACTATGGAGGAGGCTCTTATTGGTTTTTCGCCCATGTTGCTTGGAATGGTAAACCAGTGTGTGCCATGCATATGATTCAATAAATTTGATTCGAAAATTTGAATAAATTAATTATTCAGAATGATTTTTTGTGCAATCCGTTTTTTAAACCCAGAATCATGTGGGCTCTATTGACTGTATTTCTTCGAAAAATTATCATTTGTTGAGATACCTTTTTTATATTGAAAAATGGATTTTAAATATTTTTATTTGGTATGAAAATTATTCAATGATGGTAATTCACTTGCCGGACACATGAAAATTGACTTGAAACGCAAAAAAAATTAATATAAACACTTATATTCTATATAACTGTATAACAATTTTTGCTATTGTGTATGTTACAAATTTGCCATATATAATTCTATAGATTAATAATGTGATTGTTAAATGTTTTCAAATTTATGAAAGAATTCTCTAATACCAATATTTGGATATTTGCCTTATTTAAAAAAGTCAAAAAATGCATGTGATATGATTGAATATTACATGATTATTTGATAGTATAAATTCTACAATAAACTTTAATTAAAACTATTCAATAATCAAACAATGTTTTTGTTGGTATGCAGTTTGCGATATTTGCTTTATGCACACTGTGGCAATGTTACAACTTAACAAATAATTTTTTGTAGCCTTCAGTGGCCCAAGGTTGATTCTATTAAAATATCAATCAAATTCGATTCAATTTGATATTCTGGTAGCTCTTGTAAGTTGTAACTAATGATTCTCTTGTGAATGTTTCAGCCTCTTTCAGCGTTGTGAAAATGTTGATTCTATAGTGATAACTCGAAAGAAGCAAAATTAATCTTTTATATTTATGAATCTCACTTAAAATCTTTGCTGGTGAATTCGCTGAATGAGTTCTTACTGATTCTCAATCTTAGAGAGCAATTTAATTCCACACAGACAGAATAAAATAATATGATAAGCTCTTATTATAAGCTATTAACCGATGACCAAATGAAACAATTTTTGAACCTATTTTAGATTTATTTTCACTATAAAGGATATTCATCAAGTACTTATAAATATTTAATTCTATTAGTCTATGATGCATTGTTGTTCTCCTGTAGTGTGTGTACCAGGTTAGGGTTAGGCCATAATTTTATTCAGATTTTCCTCATTTTGTTCTATTACGAGTTCGGGGACTGTCTGTGTTAGCCAAGTAAATATACCCTCTGCCCATAGGTTTCAGTCCCTTTACACAACTTGATGTAAAATAGGCGAACAAATTTAGTTAGCTCCATATATACCAGTAGGCTATTTCTGGAGCGCCATAACGATGATTAGTTCTATACCGTTTTCTCTTACATTCTCTCTTTTCATTCATTTTTCTATATATAATTATTGAATATTGACGTATTTCATTTATACTTTTTCAGGATTAACTGTTGCTGATCTGGTGTTTCCATGGTTCATGTTTATTATGGGGATAAATATTGTGTTGTCGATTGATAGTTTAGAAAGAAAAGCAACACCAAAATGGGAAATTGCTTATAAGATCTTGAGAAGAACTGCGATTTTATTCTTTCTTGGCTTGTGTATCATCAACCATAACAGTAAGTGAAAAGGCCAAAGTTTTTTTTTTATATTTTCTTTTGCAGCTGGGGTCAGAGTTCAAATTTCTTTTAATTTTTGTTAGCTAGTAGTTGTGGAGTCAGAGCCTGGTGTAAATTTTCATTGGCTTCCCAGTCCTGGTTGTAAATGTTTTTGCTGAACACTTAGCTAGCATCACTGTTTAAAGGTCTTGGGTTTGATTCTTGGTTGAACCAGTTACCATTCTATGCCACCAATTTAGTTGGTGCATGTTAAACTTGAAATTTCTAGTTGCCCGGAAATCTTTTAATGAGGTGGTGTCTTGGAACTGTGCTGCTGCCCAAAGAAGTCTTGTTCAGAGAGACGAGACACTCATCGAAATATTTTTTTGTATATCACCAAAGTTTTATTTGTTTGATAACAATATTTTAGGAAATTTTGGTACATTGTTTGAATTCCGAAATTAAATTGTTTTTAGTTCTTCGTTATGAGGTCGCGACTTTAGGATGCTTTTTGGGGAATGCAATTTTTTTTGTCTGTGCATATTTTAATTGTATCAAGTATTACCGGTAGTATGGAGCAATTTTGTATTACACTTTTGTTTTCGTTTTGTGACTGCAATCACAGTGAGTAATGTATAATTAGTATCAAAGCTAGGGATGTAAGTTTCGAATATATATTTTTTTGAATCAAATTTCGAATCACAAAGTTCCGATTCGAATATTTCCGAATCTGATTCTATTTAGTATATCATCATATCATCGTCAACTATCTTCAAATTTGGAAGAAATATTGTATAAATTTTGATAAAATAACAATAATGAGCTTGAAGAATTAAGAAAGTTGCCAGAAAAACACACTGCATGGATGTATCAACTCCCAAATATATTACGGCTGAGATTTATTTTTTGTTACATAAAGGTATTCTCAGTTGCATATTTACTTACATACAATTATGTTTGCAAATAATATCGGATTTATAGCGATTGTTTCTTCTAAAATTGACCTTCAAAATTCATCCGAATGATAAACGCTAGTTAGTACCGTATGCGCCATGATTTAAAAAAAGCAATGGTAACGTTGGAAGCATCGCAGTCATGTTTATAAAGAGTAAAGCAATGATGTTTTATTATAATCATATTATGTAGATAATTTGAAGAAACGTTTATATATTAAAATGTTTGCGAAACTTTGTAAAAATTTGAGTAGTTGACCAAAATTGGGCAAAACCATTGGTCCCTCGAAAGCTGCTACCAAAATAAAATATAACGACTGTGGGAGTGTCACGGCTTTGTAAAGCTGAAAATAAACGCTTTTGGTCGATTTCAAAGCATCGCCGCTGTGTCAGGCATTTGTGCCTTGTGATATCTATAAAATTCTTTTTAAATCAAATCAAGCCATTTTTTCCTAAATTGCTTCGAATTGATGTTGATTCGAATCGCTTCGATTCGAAATTCTGGAACTTACATCCCTAATCAAAGCAACACACTTTTGAATGTTGTGTCAAAATTTGTTGTACCGATAGGATTTTTTTATGAACATACCTATTCATAGTTTTGTCATGCAGTTAAAATAAGACTAATTTCATTCTCATTATTCTGTATCTATTCTCTATTTAAAGAATTCAATGATCAAGATCAACATTACTCTTTTTCAAAGTAAATTAGCACATTTTTGAATTTTACCACCATGTGATTCTATTTGAATATTGGAAATTTGAACTTTCTGAATAGTTAACTATTTTGCTTTTTATTATATTCATGTAGAATAGTAAATATAAGAGCAAATACTTTTACAGCTGATTTTGTCAACATGAGAATACCAGGAGTTCTACAGAGATTTGCAGTTGCATATTGCATTGTAACGTTACTACATTGGGGATTCCATAAATCAGTTTCTGATATTTCAACCATGGTAGTTAATGCTACTTCAGGTAACATTTACACTTTTTTCATCATCAGCATCACTAAACATTTGTATATTAAAGCATAAGCAGATTTCTCTTGCATAGGAAAAACCATTTGATTATACTGCATCAATATCTCTTAGTTTTGGTGAAATCCATATACCGTATATGGGCTATTCCAAGAGACACTACGGGACAATTCCAGAAATTTTGCATGTTGTTAGATTCAATATATTTTCACATTTTCAGCTACATGTTTTGTTTCATTGTCCAATCAGTTGCTTTATTGAATATGTAAAAAATTGCACAAAAGTTACACCCAACCTTACTTAGTAGATAAAAAAAAGATAGTAAAATATAGCGTGACACTACAGGACGGCAAATCCACCATGCACTAACAGTACGTTGTGTTGTGTGCTGTAAATTTTTGCGATGGTACAGTAGGAGCCCATAATATTTTCTGGTGCAGTAGCTGAACTACCCCTCTATGTGCTGCTCAAGTTACTTAATGTAACACTGTAAATCCATGCCAATAATGTGCATATTGTATGTGACACTACAGTACGTGACACTACAGGACATTTTTCCACTTCGGAATAGCGGCATCTATCATCTCTTAAAATTCTGGTAATAAATCGTTAAATGGGTGAAGAAATGTTCTACAGCACTGCAAACATTTAAACTTTATTAATTTAAATCCAGTGCGTCAATTCCATATGAAATAACTGTACCACACAATCAAACACTTTGTGTCAGGAATCATCACAAAATATGTCAATTATACCAAAATTTCTACATTTCAGGCCATTTTTTAAAAACCATCAAAAACCTGGGTGAAATTTTAAATTGTTCGATGAAATGAATGCAGTCCAATAAAAGTCCAATGTCTTTGGTATCAAAAATAAAAAAAAAATTACTTTCACTACACTTTTTAAAAAATTGATTGAGTTCAACTTTTGCTTGGAATGGCCCATATTCTCACATATACAATGACCTCCCAAAAATGGTGAATTTATGAAATTTTGCATATAAGCTGACCCTACAAATCGTACGCTCTTATCGTGAGAACTTAGCATGGTTCGAGTTGTAGCTGCTGGAATTAAGTTAGCATAATGTCATTTCGTTTGAGTGTGATCAGAGTTATGCTCACATATAAGCCGATCCATTAGTTTGGCAACTTCTTTTTGAGTTTTAAACTCGGCTTATATGCAATGGTATACGGTACTTACGGTACCCTATATACCGTACTTCCGATTACAATTCAAATTTTAGTATTAAAAATTTCACTGATATCCAATATCAATGTGTAGGCTACTACTATTCATGGCTGGCCAAACTTAGAAGTCAATTGACGGTTTTAAAACTTAAAATACCGTATTTTTTACTGTGAGGTTCAACTTGTTTCACATGAAATTTTTTATAGGGACATTGATTGAAATTACTCCTGAACTCAAGAATTCAGAATTTTGAACATTTGATTCATTTTGGAAATTTATGAATTAGTTACTCTATAACCGACATGGACAAACTATGGCCCACGGGCCAAATATGGCCCATTGAGTAATTTAATCCTGCCCGCCTGATGCTGCCACAACCAAACTAAAAATTTCTATGTTTTACCTAAAAAATAGCTCACAAAATTTGCCGAGATTGTGATTTAATTTAGTTTTGGCATGAGGCTTATTGTTTTCCGCATTTGCTTATGTAAGACTGTAAATACTGCTCATGAAATGTAATATTTTACGTCACACTTATACAGCTCGTCAGTTTAGATGGGCAGAAGTTTTGGCCCCTGGTCAAGAAAACTTGCCCATCCCTACTCTATAAACTGTTGTGCTAATTAATTAACTTCTTTTTACAGAAGATGGAAGTAATCCATGGTGGTATCTAATTCGTGATATCAAAGTTTATTGGTTGCAATGGATTATTATTGCTTGTTTTGAAGTGTTATGGCATTGTCTTACGTTTCTGTTACCTCTCGACAATGGTTGTCCAACGTAAGTGATTTTCCTAAAAGTTTTGTTGCTTTGTGCTATTCCGAAAAAGCAATTTTAGATATTAGCTTTGTCCACTGCTTATTAGTTAATATCATGGTTGTGTGTGGTTCGGCTGACAAAATTTGCTGTTCTTAATTTTGATTTCAATTAACACTTTTAGTCCAATGCATGAAATTCTTTCCAATGAATTTAAAATTTCTTCCATCTTCTTCGTTTGAAAATATAACATAAATTCATTGCCCTAGATTCAGACTATGTGGTTTGAATGCAAACTGGAATAGGTTACACATATGTAGTTAGAGCATTCAATCTTATAAATAAAACACAAGCCAAAATATGATGATAAAGTGAATTACCGTAGCTATTTCATGAGGAAAGTATGCTTAGGAATCGTTTGTTTTTTTACTCAATAATTAATCTTATATTTTGTTAATTCTCCACTGGGTTTGTTCAAAGCTCGTACGGAAGTTATGTTTTATCTAGTTGTGGAAATTTCCTTTTTAACTTAATGTAGTTTCCACTTTTAGGATTTGATATGCTTTTGGCATATAATTATGATTTATAACTTAGATGTATAACTTGGTACAAAAAAATTTGTTCATTGTTTCATTCTTCGATTTTAATCATGCTCACAGCACACACTTAGAAGTAAAGAAAGCTCTACACTCTGAGCAACAATTATTTGAAACTTTATTAAATTGAATTCATTTGGACATGTTTGCATTGCTGGTATATTTATTTTTAGTTGTTTTTGTACTTTTCAGTGGATATATTGGACCTGGTGGCTTAGCAGATCATGGTAAAAATTTCAATTGTACTGGTGGTGCTGCTGCTTATATTGACAGAAAAGTATTTGGAGTAAAACACTTGTATGGTAGCACAACTGCTAAAGTAAATAAACCTTTATATTGAGTTTAATCATATTGTGTCACAAATAGGCTACTGCTGTAAAATCTTTACAGGTTGCATATGGAAATTTTGTTCTAGCAAACTTGTTTTTCATTTTACCCAAATATTCTCCTTTTTTGGCATTGTGATGATATCGATTGATGCCATAAATCAAACTTTTTGTTTTTGCCACTTTTATGAATTCTCCGACAATGCTAACTTTTTTTCACATTGTTTAAAATCACGATTGATATTTAAACAGTCGCATTTTGAACAAATAAAAATGCATTTTCATGTCAGACTTCCTTGCTTTTTTCTAAGGAGCATATGTACATACCATAATTATACTCCCTCAGTTTCTATTAACTTAGTTTTTCATGGATTATCAAAGTTTTAGTGCAGCTTGAGCGCTTAGTATAGAAAGCGTCTAATTTAACAGCCTTGACATCGCAAATTACACATTGGGTTTAAGTTTCATGACCTCCACCTCACCCAGAAGGCAAAATAATTTGGTCGGCATTGTTGAAGTTGTTAAAAGACGTTTCAAATGAAAATTTCCATCGTTACATATCACTCAGTGTTTTATCAAAAAAAAATTCATTGCTTATTTTATTTCAGAAAGTGTATTTCCCCCCTGATTTTGATGAAACTATTCCTTTTGACCCAGAAGGACTTCTTGGATCAATTCACAGCATCTTGATAGTATTTTTAGGATTGCAGGTAGGTTTCCATCATTGCTTACCCAAGTAACTCATAATCTGAATATTACCTGACTGTATTAAACTGGTATAACTAGGAGAAAATGTATTTTTGCTCAGTGGTGTGGCACATCATGCTAAGCGTTAGGATTACGCTCTCCACCACACCTCTGATTACCCTTCGTGGGTTTGCAGGTTTGAATCTTGTTGGTGATAATTAGATTGCTGGACTCCTCGCTGCTGTAAGGTGGTTCATGTTATCGCTGGTTGGTTACGTCTTCCTCCACCATCAAGATCATGCTTCTGAGAAGGGCTGGCTAACTAATCCCAAGGACTAATCAGCCATACCATCAATTCGCCATTTTCTTTCCTCTCCCCGGGGATAAATATGTAGAATTGTAAATCCGAGAGGGTAAAGAGATGAGGTATCCTTGTTAAATTTATGGTATTCATATATCAAGAGAGAAATGCTCAAATTTATATTTACATGGTAGGCCAAAATCGTTGGCACCGTTATTTCAGCAAATAATAATCCAATGTTGAAGTAGATAACTGAATGTCATAAACAAACATACCGAAGTCATATGAAGGTGTACTCAGTACTTATAAAAGATAGCAAAATTCAGCAATAGCCATAAGATTCATTTAAAATATGAACAGATATTTAGGTAAGCATTCCAGCGTCTTTCCCTGTGTTGGGAAATTTTGAAACAGCAATTTTGCAAAGCGATTCATAAATGTACTTTACATCCAAAAAATTAATTGTTTAATTCCAACACTTTGTTTATGTCCATAATGATACAGTATTCAATTTATTTGAAAAAACAGTAGATTTGATACATTTTTTATTGTAAAACATCTAAAAATTTGAGCTTTTTTCCTACTTATTTGGTCGTATCTTATATTGTGTGTATTTTATATGATTTTTTCAACAGTATTGGATAGTAACGAAAAAATTTAACACAAGATTATTTAAAACAGGCTGGTAAGATCTATTTGTACTACAAGGAACCAAAACAGAGAATTATCCGATGGTATTGTTGGTCATTACTTCTTGGTGTTATATCTGCAGTCCTGACTAAATTTTCTCAGTATGACGGTTGGATTCCAGTAAATAAAAATTTATGGTAAATATAGTTGACTGTTCATTCCTGTACTCAAATCATTATATATCAAGTCTAAATGTGGAAACATGGGAAATAATGTTTATAAAATGATATTTTGCTACACACTTGAAATTAAAATGCACAGCATCGAAACCACTGTGTTGGATAAATATTAACAAAGGCGATTTAGATATTCATTCTTAACTTTCTGGTAAATTTACTACTTTGAACTAAATCATCAGATCCAAACTTGGACCAAATTCTAAAGTAGATATTTTAATAATTCACTTCGCAAAGAAGGATGTTTTGAGGTAGTTTTATATTTTACATCATATAGGTCAGTGATTCCCAAAGTGGGCGATATCGCCCCCCGGTGGGGCGATAGGGGGCGATTTCGCAAAACATGGTTTTGTTCGGCGCATCGTGCACTTGATTACTGTACTCTGCGTGTTTTCGTAGGTTTGAATCACATGGGAAATTATCACACGCGAAAAGTAAAATAATCTGGCCCGGAACGCTTCCCTGAATGAATATTTCCCCGACCTTTGACCCCGGAAAATTCTTCCTATACTTTGCCATTTTAAAATTTTCGGTGCTTATTTTAAGAGTGGTTTCGCGAGTTGTCGCCCGTAACATGGGGTATTTCAAACTATCGTTCAAATTCATACCATTCAACAATCTGTTTTTTAAAATTACTGGTGAAGAATTTTAGCCTAGTCTATCACAGCTATTTCTACTCTAATTTTTGATTACTGCAATTAAACTGAAACTCCTAGGCAGACAAAGTGATCATTGAATTATTCGATTTTTATTTAAATTACGAAACACAACTAAAATCAAATGAATATAATTCAAAAACCGAGAAATTGAGGTAATGTTTACAACCACGCATGAAAATCTGTCTGAGCGAGAAAAGCGTCTGAGTGGATGCGAAAGGGTGCATTCTTACGTTTATTTTTGCATCTTGCTGATTGGCCAATGTCACGAAGTAAACAAGAAAGTCTATGCCCGGGGAAACATCCAATATACAGACAAAACAGCGTTTTGACGATGAATTAATTTTATTTATAATCTACGCTCGAGGAGTGAATTACATTTTTTACGTAACATAATTTATCTTCAGACAAATTTAGACTAAATTATATTATATCCTAACAATTTAGTAAACAGCTAGCTAATTGTTTAACCAGCCTACAATTAATTATAATTAGACAAATGGCAACACGCAGAAAAGTTGATGCTGAGTGCAGGGGTTCAATATCGCAGTAAATATTCAAATATTTTGCAATGCAATAAGGAAATAATGTTTATATTCTATTCGAGAGATTCATCACTGATTAATTTTTGTAAGAACGTAACTTTTTGAGAAAAATCTTTATCAAAATTTTACAAACCATGCGAAAATATTCACATCGATGTTTGGAAGTACATATTTGTGCGAACAACTGTTTTTGAAAATGAACATTACAAAAAACAAGCAAAGAACTAGGATTAGTTATGCCCATTTAGAAATTGTTCCTTGGCGTCGTAAAGCTATTAAAGCGTGATGCAGCAACAAGACAGTGTCACATCAAGTGTCATTGTAATGATTTTTTAATAAGACGACTGAGTTGAGTTCATGAATTGTCGCAGTTTTTGCGCGCTGTTTCGTTTTTACCTTTCAAAAAATATATGCGACCCGCAAAAGACTATCAACCCTTAATTTTGTCCCGCGAGCGACTTAAAATTTGCCGACCCCTGGGCCGTAGCCGATAGTCGGCCACTGCTTTTTCCACATCCGAGTCCATGAATCTGAAACAAATGGCTAATTAATTATATGGACGAGTTATCGGACTGGAGGCCATGGTAGGATGAGAAATCGAGGATGAATTTTACCGAAGATCGTTATATATCATGTATTTTGGTGCAGATCATCAGGCTGTAGGAATGAATGAAATGTACGAAAATCATTTTAAAAGTTTGGGAAAATTAATTTTGTTTTCAATATTTTAATGTGAAATGGGGTGAATTGAGGGATTTAAATGCTATAAGGCAACTACACGGCGGTTTTTGAGGAGGTATAACCCTGGATTTTTTCATTTCCGACCTCTTATATGGGGAAAAGGGGTTTTAAGCCTTGCTACCATTGCTATCAAAACAACGAAATCGCCTTTCCATCAGTAAACGGGGTGATTTTAGATTGTGTCTGACAAAAATGTCATCAGTTAATAAATAAAACCATTAAATAAATAAAATCATTAAAAAAGACTATAAAATATGATTTGTCTTCTTATTTGGTCTGTAATAAATTCGTTTCTGACTTTATATAAAAAAAATTTTGTAGTGCTGGGGGGCGATGAAGTTGTATAAACTACTGTAGGGGGGCGATGGTGCAAAAAGTTTGGGAACCACTGATATAGGTGATCATTACAAATTTAAATACTTTTGATTAATTCGTTGGTGATCTATAAAATCATGATAAAAGTCTTGATTTTTATCAATAAAATTTAGCATAAATCTTCATTTTTGCTGCAAAGTTGCAGTTTTACACCAACAAAGTGTCATAAGTACGTAATCTCAAAATTTCTCTTTGGAAGTTTAATTAATCCATATAAAATTATTTGTTTTGATTTCAGTAATTGGTCATGAATTTTTATTTTTCACTAGATTTAGTTTATTTTGTAATTTGGAGGATTACTTTTTGTATTTTTAGGTCTACATCATTTGTGACAACTCTTTCATGTTTTGCATTCTTCATACTACCTACAATGTATTACATTATTGATATCAAAAAATTGTGGACTGGTGCTCCATTCTATTTTGTTGGTGAGTAATGCAAACATAAACAGTTTAGGTGTTTCATTATACTTATGAAACACAAAGTGAGTCTGAACAACTACCAGATTATTCAATTTCAAATTTTTACTACATAAAGTCAGTAAAGGCCATTCAATTGATTTTTCTATATTTTCCGAGTTGTATATCGCCTGATATTCACCTTCCGATTAAAAAATAGTTCTCTGTTTAAGTATGACTTTCAAACTTTTTTAAATTTTTGCAGGAATGAATAGTATCTTCATATATGTCGGACATGAGGTGTTTACGGGATATCTTCCATTTAGTTGGGGTGCTGGTTCTACGTCAACTCATGCTGAATTACTCGCAATGAATATGCTGGGAACTACTTACTGGGTCATCATAGCTTACTATTGCTACAAGATCAAGTTTTTTGTCAAGATTTAATCCCATTTACTCTATCAAAAAGTTCCATTTGATTTTTATTATATATTTTTCTGGTTACTCTACTCCATGCTCAAATGTGGTTATTCAAATTGGCAAAGTGTAGTAATGTTATTCTGCATTTGCCACCGTTATAGGTCCGAGTATTGGTCAATGTTCTATATCTATAATTAAAATCACTACTCAAATTCTGTAAATTGTGGTGCCAAATTTTTTATTATATGTATTCTATGGATGCTTATCGCTTTGTTGCAGAACCCATACTATTACCGTATATATTGATTCATATTGCCATTTACTCTCCTAGTGTTCATATGCATTGATTTTCACATAATTAGTTACAATCATTAAAGATGAATCACTAGTAGACTAGGCTTGATTTAACTTTTCGAAAATGTAATCTCACTGGATGCAAAGTTTTCTTTTCGGGGGAACTTAGCTCATGGTTCAAATTATCTCGATTTTTTCAGGAATTCCTTAACATTAAGATTTTGACTATAATTTCAGTACGGGCCATATCACCCCTTTAATATCTTATCAGATATCATTAGCTTGTTTTCTTTAAAAACCTAGTTTTCCTATGATTCCATGGTGCAGTATTTGTTATATATTCATGTCACATGTGCAATATCTTATGCATATTTTTCCGTTTTTTTTTTATTATATATATTGGTCCATCTACAAGCAGTGATAAGGCTACATTATATTCCCCATAAAGTTATTAATTGCGAGGTATGTCAAAAATGAAATTTTGTTAAACTTTCTGGTGTGAATTTACCGCCAAATTTGAGGTGCAATTTTGCAAACGGTATGTACCTTATCACTGCTCAGTAATTTGTAACGCATTCTGAGTATTATATAAAAATTATCATTGAAAGCAGTATTGCATATTTTTATTTGCGGAAGAGCCAATTCAGTGTTGAGTTTCCTAATGTACCGGTACTCTTCCGGCGTTGTGGCGCATCGTTCTAAGGCATCTAAGCGTTATGAAAAGGATTGCGCAGTTGCGAATCTCGTGCGGGATAACTATGTGCGAGAAGATTGCTGGACTCCTCATCGCCGCAGTGTGGTTCCTCCATCATTAAGTTAATGCATCCGGATGAGTATGTGAATCCTATCGATTGAAAACAAATAATTGGCTAACTAATCCCATACGGACATGGACTGTTTGCCGGACGAGAGGTCGCGGTTAGCCATAGGATTAAGTCGTATCGAATTTCATCTCCCTGTGATAAATATGTAACTCCTAATGTTCCCATTGTTATCAATTATTTTGTTCAAGTATATCTTGTAAGATGAAAGCCTCAGGCGGGAGTTATAACAATTTGGAATTGGAAACATTCGAGAATTAATTTTATTTCCAGGAAGCAACTAACGCTCAAATATATGGACACCAAGTTCACTGTCAAAGCAGTGTTTCGTGATTTGAAATAAAATTGCAAAATTTGTGTAAAATATTGGGCCCTGTCTGCTTCAAAAAAGATTCAAATATAAAATAATAACCTAGCGGCTTATTTGATTATAGAAGCACTGAAAATTTGAAATTTTCTGGTTTATTATTTAGGAAAAAATCTTGTCGTATACGTTTAAATCTCAAAGTATTGTTCACTTTCCCGATTCTTAATTTTTTTTGGTCCAAACATTCTTTTTGCGTTTGTTGCGTTTGTATATTAAACCAATGACATTAAACAACATGATGCGCAACTCCGGCATTTTTGGCCGAAGATCGTATCCGATAGCACGCTCCAATGCACATACTTGACGAGACGAAAACGAGCGGATGTGTACAATGACATTAAACATTAAATTTATGTCATTGATGTGTACTGCTTTCAAGGCATAGCACGAATGGTGTTCGTGCCTGATTTGACAGTTGTTGTCGATTTGAATGATATTTTGGAAAGTTGAGGTAAAAAGAAATCGTAAAAAGGTAAGGTAAATACTATTGTTGTATATCACACCCTCGCATCGCACTGTTAAGTACATGTGGGAAAGCCAGCTTTTGTCTCTTGTCAACAACTACTTATTAATTCAGTACGGTAAGTAGTTGCCCATTTGCCGGAATTGCATAGTTACTTACCCCTTATGGTTCCAAATAGTTCATGCACCTCCATTTAGAATTTTTTAATCAGTGAGGATATATACTCATTGTAACATACTATTGCGCATTCACTTTTATTTGCGTATTGAATCAAAGGGTTAACAAGTTCACCTAACATTCACTCATACCGGTCTATATTGTATAGTCTGATCTCTCAAGTATTTGGAGCCACGAATGCTTGTAATTTTCTGACTAAACCCTTTATTAGTTGGTTTATATACCAAATTCAGTAAAACATTTTTTACATAAAACATGAGATATTGGATTTATTAGCCCATTCTAAATCATATAGACTGCTTTATTTATTCTGAACGAAAATTAATAAATCTCCTCTCTTTCTTCAGATGTGAAAGTTGTGGACAAACCTGTCTAAGCATTGTGAGACTCTTGCAGCACAAGAGGCAATAGCAAGAATAGTAAGTATATCAATCAAGAAATTAAGCCGACATAAAGCAAAACTTTCAACTATTCGTCTAATCTCAATTTCCTATTATTTATTCACAGGACAACTATTGCAGAAGGGGAGATATCAGAAGTCTGGCGACATATCAGTGACAGTGTGATTCCAAGAAATATAATTAGAATACTCCATAAATGTTTGCAATAGAAGAACAACCTATAGAGGCATGAAAAGACATTTGACCCTCCGGTAGAGTTGTGTATGGCCCCCACATCCTGAAGGGCTTGAGGAAAATAACTAAAAATTCTAGGGCTTGAGGTAAATAACTACAAAGCGTAAGATTGCATAAGCGATCTAATTTGTAAAAAGGCACAAAACACGCCAGACACACTTAAAACAGCTTTGGAAAATGGTTCTTTGGTTCATAAACTTTTGGTAGTAATATAGAAGAAATTCAGGAAAGGGTATAATCATGATAAAATACTGTTATATATATTTTAGACAACTTCAATCTAGACCAGGGATGTCAAACTCGCGGCCCCAGAGAACTTCCACTGCGGCCCTCGAACGCTTAACAATAATTGTAATACTATTTTGAAAGTTTTTTTTCTTATCTAAATGTAATAGATTTTTTAGAGTGAAATTGATTATTCACACAGAAAACAATTTACTGAAAGTAGTTTCGGAAAATTAATTTATTTTTTGTTTCACATTTTGGCCCAATTAAGAATACACATCAAGCTAGCAAAAGAATACTTGAATAAAACACTTGAGTGATTAAATTAAACGCAAAGTACATGAAGAAGGTGGCATTTTCGAAGAAAATGGGAGTTGCAATATTTCTGCATTTCACAAAATTCTGAAGCACATTGTTTAATTTGTCATATTTCCATCAATACAATGAAAAAACACAATAAGCTCAGCAGTCAATATGACAAATTCGAAGACCAACTTCGAACAGAAAATTTCCATGTGTTTGTATATTAATATAATTATACAACGACTTAGTTACTAAAAATCAATATCAATAATAATTCAAGCAATCCTATGCCACGCAATGTGGCGCGAAATGTCTTGTCGAAAAAATCTGTCATTTGTTTTTTTACTGATCTATACATGAAATGATAAAAGTAACTTTTTTGCATTACCGGAATTAATCAAATATTTGCAAAGATCCAGATTAACCCATGATCATGTGACCTCGTTAGTTAGAGTTGGTACTATAAAATCATTTCAGCCTGGCCTTAGTATGCTGGTGACACAAAAAAGATGCCAAACGTCAGGACAAATGCAATTAAAAAAACATTGAGTTTATACTGACGTATTATTGTTAATTTTAGGTCCATATATTTAGATCAAGTCATTTTTAGTGTATGTATTATTCTTTCATTATCCAAAGCTTGTTCAAAAATGATTTTGATGGTTGTACATAGAGTTTTATGATTTTTTGTAATAAATACATTAACTTGCAATAATAGTGGAATGCAAATATTAATATGTAATTGCATCTGAAATTAAAGAAAATAATAAAACTTGATCCAACTGTCTAGTTGCATCACAATATATGTCACAAACTAAAACTATCTTAAAAATATCTTTCAAGTATACATTATCAAAAACTGTTTGCGCCCTTTTTACAATTTCCAACATGCAATGCGGCTCTCGAAAACCCATGAGTTTGACACCACTGATCTATTCCAGACGAAATTCAAAGAATTGCTTTGGGAAATAATTCACTTCAATTAAATTGAAAAAAAGCTCGCTGTATTAAATACAAAATCGTTTGCTATCATAAAGGTAAAACCAATTTAGCCACGCGAAATATATTGGCCTTCACAAAGCAATGGAGGCAAGATTGAGAGTTCATGAGCTATGAACTTTTGTTCTTTTCTTTGCCTTAAACTTTTCATACTCCACAGCCCCTATTAATTTGTTTTTAATTTTAATTACCATGTGATGGTCATACATATCTTTAACTTGTATTTTCTGTCATGATGTATTGTCTCAATGTGTCAAACTATTAATTAGTGTGCATACTTTGTTTCCAGATGAAATAAATGTATTGTCTTGTTTATTACCTCAGCTTGGAGTATTGACAAGAAAAAGATGCCAGTAAATTACGTAAAAAATTTTTCAACTCTTTGTTATAAACATTATTCACAATTAATAGGAATAATAAACAGCCAACAATCAGTGAGAATTATATGCGAAATCTCTCAGAATAAATTTGTCTTCTAAAATCGGAGGAAGGCAAAACATGTAGGTAGTTTCCATCCACACAAGTCTTTCAAGAAGACTTACTCGAGCCAAACTAAATGATCATCGTCAGGTGATCGGTAGGGCTGCAAGTTGAATTCAGCCCTACAACCTCCTGCATAGAAGATAATATTAATTAGTGAGCTATGAGCTAAATTCCTAAATTTAAACAAACTTATCTACGAGGCATTATGTACCAGCAATGTTACCTACGATTAACTGAATATGTAATATGTCTAATAAATTCACCTACTAAAGCAAGTTCGATAGGTGCAAACTTTGTGTTATGGAATTGTATCACAGCACTGTTAAGAAAGGTAAAAACAGTTTTGCTGTTTTGTATGACACCCTCTTTAAATGAAATTTCAATGTTTAAGCGCTAACCTTAAAATTACTAACTTTGAACTTTGTCATTATCTGCAAAATATTCCACACAAATCCTTCCGCTATCGCGTTTGTAATCTTCTCTGATAAAAAAAAATTGTCTATGATTCCAGCTTTCCAAGTGAGTAAAACTTCTTAGATATAGTGAATATTTTCTTTCGTTACAGGTGCAAAAAGGCAGGTACTACACGTAAAGAAGACGCAGAGCAGCAAAAGCGAGCTGAAAACGGTCGCAAAAGGCGACGAGAAATATGTGCATTGGAGCGTATCATGAAGTACAATCTTTCGCCTTTCGATACTTCTCATGTTTTATAGGTTTTGCTTGCCCTCCAGGATTCTCTATTTTTAATGTATGTTTGTTATGGAGTTTGCGAAATATTTCTCGATTTTGGCCTCTTTAGCGCCACAAAAAAAATCATCACGGAAATTGAACGCTTATGACGTTGGATTTGTTTTGAAACAAATTTCAGTTGATGGCTGACGCCGTTGCTGCAGACGCATTGCGACCGTTGGAATACTCAAAACAAAAGGGATTTAAACGTTACACATTTGTCGAAGTGATGGCACAATTCCGAGCAATCAGATATAGGCCTAGTAGCCATTATATTATTTGCAGAGAAGGACAGCTTAAGGTAAATATGTATTGCTGGATTTTGTCTTGAGTATTGGGAGTTGACTATTAATTTTAAATACCGACCTATTGTTTTTATACGTTGTTCTAATATCGACTTCAATCAAATGAAAATAAAAGTTTCGAATGGTAAATCAGTAATGTCATACCGGTAAAGATCAGCAGTTACCAGTTAAGTGTAGTCATCAATGTTGGTTTGTAGGATATTACCGTACTATACTGCTATATGCTGTATATGTATTGAATGCATTCTCATCATATTTACATTTGTGATATCATAATTAGGGATGTACCGTAAGTTTCGAATATTTTATTTTCGAATCGAATTCCGAATCGGAATGTTCTGATTCGAATATTTCCGAATCTGATTCTATTTAGTATAACATGATATTACTGTATTATCGTTAACTTTCCTTAAATTTGGAAGAACTATAGCATAAAGCTGTAAAGTGTGATGAGATATCAATGATGAACTTGAAGAATGAGTATAGTTAGTAGAAAAACCCATTGAATGGTTGCATCAACTACCTAGTGCTAATATATTAGAGAAGTTTTGTGTAGTTTGTATAGTGGTCGTTTCTTTTAAAATTAACTTTCAATATTTATCCAAATGATAAACGCCAGTGAAACATGTGTTAGTACCGTTTGCGCCGTATTTTTAGAGGAAAGCAAATGATACCAAGGGAAGAAATCGCGGACCTTTGTTTTAAATGAGGAATAATGCTGTTATTATAATGACATTACATAGGTAATTAATAGAAACGTTTATATAATGTTAGATTTGTAAAACTTCTTAACATTTTAAATAGTCTAAAAAACATTGTTTTCTCTAAAGCTGTGACCCATGTAAAATACTCCTAGTGTTCCGACTCGGGAACGCTGTAAACATAGGGAAAATAAACGCTTTTGGTCAATGATGAGATGGAATATAACAACCCCCGAGTGTTACGACCTGGGAACGCTTTAAACGCAAGGAGAACAAACGCTTTTGGTCGATGTTGAGACTCGTCCCTGCATTGTGCAATCGCTGCGTGTTATCTAAATTATCATTTTTTTAAAATAGAATCAAGCCGTTTTTTCTTAAATTGCTTCAAATCGATTCGAATTAAGTTTGATTCGAATCGTTTGGATTCGAAATTCTGAAACTTACATCCCTAATCATGATACACCTGTACCGCTGTACCGTGAGTCATACAGTCATAGGTCGGGAACCCATGGCTCGCGAGCCATTTATGGCTCTTTTGGTGACAACATATTGCTGCCACAAAAATTCAATATTCTAAAGCTAAGCTTACTACTGGGAACAGATTCCTCTTTTATAGACAAATTTGGCTGAAAATTTGTCAATACATTTGAGAACGAGCGCTTCAGCGCATGTCAATGTTATACGAGGAAATTGCCAGACTAGCAATGTGACAAAACTAGGAATCTAGGATTCTGGAACATATTTTGTGATATCACGAAGCGTTAGAGTCGTGGAACAATAAAGGAATTAAAGTATTTTGTCCGCTTGTATTGTTTATTTGTAATATTTAGATTGGACAAAGCTAATTTTTAAAGCACTACAATACTGAGATGCCCAAAAGAAAGAAAGGTGATGAGTATCGTGGATTTCAGCTTGTGCTGAATGTGGACAGTCCTTCAAGCCCCTCAGCGACATATTATTAATTGTATATTGATATTGTTTGTTCTAATTGTTGAGTAGAAATTTAAGACATGATAAAGTGATGAAAAAATGTTATATGGCTCGCACCGAAATGTCATTGAATATACGTACCTTTCAAGGCTCTTTTGACCAAAAAAGTTCCAGGCTCCTGATATAAGTTGATATAACTAGTAGTATATAACTAGTTAATATAATGCAGTCTGCTGTTGGGTATTCACATTTTCATGGTATCTGTAAATAAAATTGAGAATTTGATGTTTCTACTAATTGCATTTTATTCTCCAGCTTCACTAACTCTTCTTTTTAATAACTTAATTTCTTAACTGATATTTCAGGTAACCTATAGTTTGATAGTGGAAAAGTGTGTTCCATTACCTGTATACATACATATTCTGGAAAGGATTTGAAAAAAAGTGACATGGACTGGAAATCCAAATTGAAAAATGCTTTGCAGTCACAAGCTACATCAAGTACTTCGGCTGAAACAGAAGAGGAAAAAACAGCAAAAGAGTTGAATCAATTTACTGAATTATATACAAAATGGAGAGGCAGTTCAACCAGCAAATGTGAAACATACAAAACCATTCCACGATTTTATTACAGGCTTCCTGCTGAGGATGAAATTTTATTGCAAAAATTAAGAGAAGAATCCAGAGCTGTTTTTCTTCAACGAAGAAGCAGAGAATTGCTTGATAATGATGAGTTACAGAATCTTTGGTATCTTCTTGATAAACATCATACACCCCCTACTACAAATGAAGAACAAATGATCAATTATGAAGATTTTCTGGAAGTTGGGAAGAAAGCAGGAGAGAAATGCAAACAATTTTTTACAGCGATAATTTTTTCAAAGTTAAATCAAAAAGATTATATGGGAAGAATTTCAATTTTACAATTTTTTAATTATGTTATGAGAAAAGTGTGGCTTCATCAAACAAGAATTGGTTTAAGTTTATATGATGTGGCCGGACAAGGATATTTGAGAGAAGCAGATTTGGAGAATTACATACTAGAACTCATTCCTACTCTACCTCAACTTGATGGGCTTGAGAGATCATTCTATTCATTTTACGTCTGTACAGGGGTTCGAAAATTTTTTTTCTTCCTGGACCCGATGAGAACGGGTAGAATTAAAATTCAGGACATACTTGCTTGTGGATTTCTAGATGATTTATTAGAACTCAGAGATGAAGAATTATCGAAAGAAGTTCAAGAATCTAACTGGTTTTCTGCACCTTCCGCTTTACGTGTTTATGGACAATATTTGAATCTTGATAAAGATCATAACGGAATGTTAAGCAAAGAAGAGCTGGCGAGATATGGAACAGGGACATTAACTAAAGTATTTCTTGATCGAGTCTTTCAAGAGTGTTTAACATACGACGGTGAAATGGATTATAAAACTTATCTCGATTTTGTTCTTGCTATGGAAAATAGAAAAGAACCTGCTGCGCTACAATATCTATTCAAATTACTTGATGTACAAAACAGAGCGTATCTGAATGTATTTTCTTTAAATTACTTCTTCAGAGCTATTCAGGAAATGATGAAATTGCATGGACAGGACCCAGTATCATTTGCTGATGTGAAAGATGAAATTTTTGATATGGTGAAACCTAACGACCCATTGAAAGTAACATTGCAAGATTTAATCAGCAGTGGCCAAGGTGAAACTGTAACAAATATCTTGATTGATCTTAATGGATTCTGGACTTATGAAAACAGAGAAGTTCTTGTTGTAGATTCTGCAGCAGATGACGATGTCTGACAATTAGTAGTATTATCTACTGTGTTACGTTTGCAATTTCTTCACAAGGCATCTTAATAATCGGATATGAAAAAATGTTGTTATGCGTTGTGTGGGGCTTACATGATTTACATATCAGTAGATGATTGTGGAGAGCCTTGTTTGGAATGGGAGTATGCAAATATAAACAAAATGCTGATGAATACACAAGGAAGACATTTGGTGTGCGAGACTTGGTTTATACAGTAATTGACTTATGCCAATCACCTTGCCATAGTTGGGGTAGTTGGAATTTTGGAGATGTAAATTTGATGATTTTGTGATATTATGATATAATTATATCTTGGGTGATCTTGAAATTTAGAAGATAGGCCTAGGTATCTTCATGAACTTTGTTCGGAGTACTTTATGTATTCGAATTTAGAATTTTTGATTCATAAAAATTTTAACTTGGCTTTCAAGAGTTGTGAAAGCTTGTTTTTAGAAATAACACATTTCATAATTTTCTATATTGTATAAACTGGAATTTCTTAGAGTTTTTGACTAAATTTCTATTTTTCCAATATTTCTATTTCATTCAATTGCTATCTCTGAATTTCAAATATCATCATCATTCATCATTATGAATGGTTGAAACTCAGAAATGATTTGCAGAGCAGAGTTTTGGATTACCAAACAATTTTAATATGAATCCACCAACCTACAGTATCATAGCCATTCATCTGCTTACTTTGTTTTTATTATTTATACCAACCCTGTCTAGCAATCAATCTGCGATCAATTTGGAAACCAATGTTCCAGTTCTGCAATTCTGTTCCCAACCTAACTGATCATATTATATTTTAATAAAACAGGGCCATTCCCTGCCATAGCCGCAGGATCCTCTATTTGTGTTATGAACTCTTTTTTTAACTTTTTTAACACATATTTTTTGATTTCTCATATTTCTAGGTTGTAACATTACCCTACATTAGTTGTTAACTCCATCAACAAAATGCCATCCAAGTTATGCGATTACGATATTCTATATACCATCGGTTCTGGTTCATATGGAAAATGTCTGAAAATCAGACGGAAAAGTGATGGAAAGACACTGGTTTGGAAGGAAATGGATTATGGTTCTATGACAGAGCCGGAAAAACAGCAGTTGGTGTCAGAGGTCAATCTTCTGAGAGAATTAAAACACAAATACATAGTGAGATATTACGATCGAATTATTGACAGAACCAGTAGTCGCCTGTATCTTGTAATGGAATACTGTAGCGGTGGAGATCTGGCAAGTATAATATCGAAGAAGCGGAAGGAACGATCATTCATGGAGGAGAACTTTATTTTGAGGGTTTTTGCTCAACTTGTACTTGCATTACAGGAATGTCACAGTCAAAGAAAGAAGTTAGGCCAAGGAAAAATTCTTCATCGTGATTTGAAACCAGCCAATGTATTTTTAGATTCATCTAATGATGTGAAACTGGGAGATTTCGGTCTGGCACGAGTGCTGAACCACGACACAAGTTTCGCAAAAACTTTCGTTGGAACGCCGTATTATATGTCACCAGAACAGATGAATAAATTGTCTTATAATGAAAAATCTGATATTTGGTCACTTGGATGTTTAATTTACGAGCTTTGTGCACTTTTGCCTCCTTTCACTGCAGCGAATCAAAGGTTATTAGCTGTTAAAATCAAAGAGGGTAAATTCCGTCGTATACCATCTAAATATAGTGATGAATTGCAAGACTGCATTTCACTGATGCTAAAAACTTCTGCAGCAAGAAGACCAACCATTGATGAAATCTTGAAAATGGATTTACTGCAAGATACTCTGGAAAAATGTGGGCTCACACCTCCAGTTAGCCCAGCTGCATTAAAACCTCAAGGAGGAATAGAGGTTATAGAGGATAAGAAAATGGAAAGAAGAAAGTCATCATCATCTACTGATAGTAGTGAAAGTGAGAAGAGAGAATCACCAGAACCTGGAGGTAAAACAAAAGAAGAAGAGCTTGAATTACGTTTGAGAGGAATTGAGAAAAAAGAGAGAGAGCTAAAAAGGAGAGAAAAACTTCTTGAAGAGAGAGAAAGAATGGCAGAAGAAAAAATGACAAATGCAGAAACACTTATCAAGCAATACAGAGAGATGAAAGCTGAAAAACAAGATCTTGTATCAAGAGCTGGATTGTCAACAGAAGCATTGCACGAAAAATATGAACGCCTTGGTATTTTACCAAGCAAGAAACAAGTTCACTTTGCAATGGAGTCAAAAGAAAATAATCCTGGATATCATGATGATTATAGATACCGAAAACTCAGCGGAGTTGGACCAATAAGTGATAAACATCTTGGAGATTACAGACATAAACTCCGAGATTTGAGATTACAAAACCAGGCAAATATGAGATATGAAAACAATATCAAAAACAGGCATCTGCTAGGAATGAGATAAATTGTTCCAATATTTGATAATAAAAATAATGGAAACATGATGACTTGATGTACAAATATAATCACTCCTTTACCAAAAACATGAAACACAAACTATATCAAGAATGTATTGGAATGTATAATGCTGTTTTTAGATAATTGAATAATTTTGCGTAGCTGTGAGATTATTGTGCTGGATTTTACTTATTTATAGAGCACTGTTTTATTTTATTTTCAATTAGTATCATGTGTGCCAATGATTAATGTCACCAAGTTACTAAATAAATCGATTTGATTCTCAATCGGTACACATTGTTCAGATTAAGAAGGTCTTTTCATCCTTGTAATAGTCCTATTGATCTAATTTTATATTTTCTAATTTTTTTTTCAAGCGATTTTTAAAAAAAAATTTTATAGTCTTGGCTGCTCCATTTTTCTTTATACTTCTGCTGTTACTTGTTTCATGCTCATTTTATTGGTTGATGATTTGCCTTGCCGTACTACTGTTTAAGTTTAAACTGTGATATCAGAAATTTAAAAAAAAAATTACATTTGAGGCAACATTTATTGGAAGTTGCTAATAGTAAATTTCAAGAAGGAAATTCGGCATCCAGTAATACCGAAAAAGCGATTTATTTTTTCTTTGTACAACAATTTAATTATACACAAATCTATGACCATTATTTGCATACTTTCATTCGTTCACATCGTTTTTTCATACAGTGGAAATTTTAAAATATTTTTTTGCATTTCTAGCAACATGTAATTAATATGTCTCTCTTCACGTCTCACTCAAATTTCACTTATATTTGTCTATGTGTATTCTTTCTATGCAGTGCACGGAATAATGTTTGAAGGGATTTACAAGAATTTATTGCTGACCAAAAATACTTACAATTAAGATCAACAAACCTCTCAGTCTGATATTATTGAGAATTTAAATAAGTTATGTTTTCAATAGGAATTTAAATTTTTAAAACATCATATGCTATTCATTTAGCATTAGCAATGTTAGAAAATTATTTTATTCATATTCATATTTTCTGTGTTTTAAAAGTGGCGGGAATTCAAGTTTATGTCATAATCCTTGTATTTTTAGTATGCTGTCCTCAATCAATAGCTCAATTTTTTGCTGCTATTATTTCTTTATTTATGTCTATACTTTTCAGTTGCGTAAAATACCCATATGAATCACAATTTCACATTTCTTCTTGCTCACAGCACAAAACGGTTATTTTTTATTGGCAGCCACACAACAAACAAAAATAGTTTCAAGGAAAAATATCATCTTCCCTTGCAATAACATTATAATAATGATCGTGGTAATGATCTATAAACGTACATATTAGACCGTTTTCTTGTTGCTTGTGCTTATAATTACTATTTTAGGATTAGTCTTGACTCGTCAGTCGTCACAGGATTTATCATATAAGAGTATGCCGATGACATTTTTCGTATAACTGCTTTCATGCATTTAACACATGACATAAGCAGTCCCAGGATATTACTTTATTATGCCGTGGATCTTTTTTAAAACTGAAATAAATGACCAGGATAATAGCAAATCATGTACTTTTTAGAACGTAATGGTGAGTTGTTTATGTATCCTGCATTGGAAGTATAATTGCGAGTTGCTGAACGCATACGATGAGTAAGAGTATAGTCGGTAATGTGCAAATGTTTGTAGGTGTTAATTAATGTACCTTGGTACGAAGGTCCTTTTATCGGAATTTGTTGAAGGGGATGTGCCGGGCAAGAATTACATTTTGCCGACGCTCCATTATGACTAGAGCAGGAGTGGGCAACCTTTTCTGTTCTTGTGCCAAAATCAAAAAAATTCTGTAAACTGTACACGTGTAAAACTTTAAAACGTGTACAGTATTGAAGTAATTTTCAAGAAAATATCAGACCGACAAAAAGATATTATATGTTACTTTTCCTATTTTCCATCGGTGAGATTTCCGCCACTGCATTACCTCCAACAGAGATTTTCGCAGTGGCGGCGCGTGGTCATTTTGACAACCGGGGCAAGCTACTGCGGGACCAAGTCTCACCCCTATCTACGGGGACAGGATGAGCGCTGTAAGTTCTCCCATCATTTTATGAGTATAAAAACCATTCCATCGGTAACAACCAATCGGCAAAAGCGACAATTTTTAACGATAAGAAAGTGTCTTTAAAACCGGTCCAAGTCAAGGGATTAATGAATATAGACATAGTTTATTTTGAAACCTCTTTCAAAAGGAAAGGCAATATTTACCCAGATAAATACAATGACATATTAACAGAAACTTCGGGAAAGCAGACAAAACCTAAAATAAGGTTTAAAACGTTACTATGAAGAAAGGAAAGCTAATGCAAAGATAAGGACATGCTCACTCATAGATATATATGCTGCTAGACTTCTACTGCTTGAACATATATGCAACACGCCGCGGTTTCTTGGAAGCAAAATGCTCAATACCGCGCTGATTAAAGTCATGCATCCCAGAAATAACGTCTCTGTGAATGGATAAAACAGCCAAGGAATTTAATCTATCTTGCTTCATTGTGTTTCTGAGATACGTTTTAATACGCTTCAGCGTGCTGAATGTTCGCTCTGCGTCGGCGGAAGAAATAGGCGTCGTCAAAATGATGTCCAGAAATTTTGCAGACGCCGCAAAGGTAGTTACTAGAGTGTTATCTATGAGGAACCCATAGAGCGCGCAAGTTGATGTGATGTTCAAAAAAGTTTGATTGGTGTATATACATCGCAATTCATTTTCCAATTTACCCACGTTTATCATGGGGTAAAATTTGGAGACAGTAGCCAACAAATGGATGGGAAATTGACGTGCAAATTTTGAAAAAATTTTGGGGTTCATCAAAGAGAACGCGGCAAGGTGTTCAGCGCGCAGACGATCGCCTATTTCAGGGGTTCTCAAACTTTTGGTGTTGCGGAGCCCTTGAAAAGTTGACTATCATTCACGGAGCCCCAAAATAAATGTTTAAATTGTTACTTTCCGATTAATATTCCTGAGTAAGTTAAACGTACTTTACCTAACTTAAATGCTAAACCTTTTTAAAAGGTTTAATACAAGTCATATATAAATGTCAATTTCAAAAATAAATTAAATATACTAAAGCTGTAAATTTGACACTTGACAAACATATATATTAATAAATTGGGGGGTCGAATCTTTTACTTTTTGACATTTTCGGAGGACTTGAAAGGCCACTAATAATGTGCGCGATTGCATTTTGTTACAATCGCCGATTGTTTTCGTCAGCATGGCGTGTTTTTAAACATCTTCACGTCGGTGTTTATTCTCCCTAAATCAAAAATTTCCTTCGGCATATATATACATGTATTGTTCTACAATGACGACGATAATTGCTTATTTGTTCTCGTGGGGAATTATGAGTTCAATGTGAAAAACATGTTACCGTATTATAGTCATCTGCGACGAAATGCTAAAAATAATAATTATTAAAGAGGTAAATCCGCAGCTCAAATTTCTTGATTGAAAAACGGCATTCTAAAATATTAAACTTGAAATGGAAAATCACACTATAAGTTTGGTTTCAGCAGACTCACGTCAGATTAAAAATGCTTTTATAGGCATTGTAAATCACAAAATTTGATGTTTTGTTAGTTTTTTATTGGTTATTCATCGTAGTAACTGCGAAATTGAAACACAGTCAATTGTACGCATGGTGTACCTTTTTTCATTCTGAAACTACCAACGGAGCCGCATGCAATAAAATAAATTTCAATCATTCGTATTTTGCCCAGATCTTGTGATTTTTCAAACAGCGATTTATCTTGCTTAAAAATAATCTCGAGTGCGAAAAAACAAATCAAGTTTGACAAATGGCAAAAATACAACTCCAATTTATTCATAGTTGGCAGTTTATCACGTATTTTATGTTATTTTAGAATAGTATTCTTTCCTTTCAGCAATCCTAATAGTAATTTCGAATGAAACGTGAGTAAAGATGAGCAGAATTAAATTATTACGACAAGACACTTGAAATACTCGCATCGGTCATGCAATGAATATTTTACGCAACAGAAATCTCGTTATCCGTTTTTTTTTCAATTGCTAATGAACCCTGACTGCGCTCCAGCTCATAAATAACGTCATTTTTAATTCCGCATCTTTACCATATTTCAAGGCTATATTACTGTCAAATTTTATCAAAGCTGTTCTTGCTTCTTTGAACAGTTACAAAATTAGCCAGTATTTTGAAAAGTAATCGAATAGCTCGCGGAGCCCTTGGGTTCCTCTCGCGGAGCCCTGGGGGTTGGCCCTATTGACGCGCCGCCACTGGATTTTCGTAAGGTTTATATTGTTTAACCGACAGAGAAATGGATATTTTCATCAGTCAGGCTACGCCTATTAAGAGACTTATGTAATAAAATTCATAGCTGAGAACAGAGAATCACAAACATGTAGATGAAAGCATGGTGAGTAATGAAATTTTCAGCAATGGCATTCCAAGCCCACAATAGTTCGTTTTCTGAACTTCTCTCTTGTATTCCCTTGTATTTTTCAATATTTACTAACTCAACTCTGAGGTCGATAAATTTTTGATACCCTGAAATTCGGTCACCCACCCATGGACTCAGAGGCGTATCTACGTAAAATGGCGCTCATGGCAAAGTCTAAAAATGCGGGGGATTAAAAATTTATACATTAACTCCAGAGAGTTTCAATATGGCTTCGACAGCAATAAGAACATGCCCAATTCAACACCTCAGCCCTCCTGCAAACCATCACCACTAGAGGTCGATATATAGGCACTCAATATCAGATATAAATCTCCATCCATATATTGTAGACTGTAGAGTAAAGGCACATGCGGCTTTAATCGTTTTCAGTAACAGATAAATTAAACAAAATATAACGTTAATACATGCATACGAAATAGTATATAGAATTTAGTGGCAATGACGTTTAGGCGCTGGCCATAATTCGTGCGAAGAAATCACGTGATCAATCTCACACTGTTGAAATTAGGCTGCCCTGTAGTTGTTTTGCGTGTAATGAGCACATACTTTTTTACCCGGAGGTTGAAAGATCGTATAATTCATCTTCAAATCATGTTTCGCTACACTAAGAAGGATTCTTATTTACAGACGGCAGATGATGAGGAACTTAGTCTAAACCTGAAATCCTTTTTTAGAATCTTGATACCCTTTCACACATCTATTACGTTATGCGCAACAGTTTTTTTAAACAGTTTCTTCCTGTACTTTGGTGTCGCCTTCTTCAACTTGCACTGTGTTATTTGAGGACCTTTTGTGTGTCTTATCTCCATCATTTGTATACTTTTTGTTTCGCCAGTGGTTTACCATACACGTTCCCACGCAATCTCCATAAACGTTTAGAGCTGTTTTGAAGCGATCGCTGCAAAAGCATAGCGATATTAATACTTGAAACCTGTGTCCACCAAATTGGTATTGTGTGGTTAACAGAAAATGACAAGCTGCACTTCCCGGACATAAATACTGTTGTTAGACAAAACGCGTATTTCCTTCAGCATGAAGCAGAATTTTTTATATTTATCCTAGTAAAAAGCTATAATAAAAAACGGCTCAATTATATTGTGAAATACCAGCTACCGCTCTATGCCGGTTACGGAAGCCGGCTGAGGGAGGAATCAAAAATTGCGTTAACCACCCAGCGAAGGCGAGAAAATCAAAAAGCGCATGCCCACCATTACATCATCATGAGAATTGAGTCCCTTCTCAACTGCTGGTCGCCGCGAATATGTTAACATAACCGATGGTAGAATACCTTGTTTAATAGACTAGCTATATCGACCTGGGGTTTGTGAACTTTTTGAGCGTATTATAGAACCTTTTCTTACTATAACGGACACTATTTTATTTCTAAAATTTACGCCAAGACGTTTCAGAACCATATTGATTAAATCACAAAAACAAATCGGAAAAGACTGACGCATAGATGTCATTCTATTTAATTGTGATAAACTTACATGAACCATTCAATCGTGAACAACAATCCAAGTTCTCGAGTAGGCAGTTCCAACGATTTTAGAACGATCAATGCAGCAGTTAAAAACGACTGTGGAATTGCTGCAGATCCAATACTTGCAAAGGCAGAATATAGTACGATTTTCATAACTTGACCTGTTAAATAGAAATTTCTGGTACCATGATACAAATAAAGAAAATTAATATTGAAACCGCTGGGTTGGATAGTAGACTCAAGCTTTGTTTACGGCACCTCGTTACATATATATGAAGAAAGTATAAAAGACTTACCAAATCCCAAGGTAACGTTATATAATCGAGAAACATAGATGATGAATAAACTCATATGTATTGCTCCCGCATCCATATTAACAGTTGCCCCGATGGGTAGAACAAGTCTTGTTATTTCTTTGCTAATTTTCACGTTTTCCTCCAAGCAGTGAATTGTTACAGGCAACGCTGCGTAACTGTATATTATAATATAACAAGTGCTGATCTTTGAGAGCAGTGAGCAAAGTTTAGACTTTCATGACTTACTTCATGTAAAATGCTCATTTAATTTTTTTTATCCAATATATACCATTCATTATTTACCTAGAGGCAGTTGCCCAAGCCATCACCAATGCTTCTTTTGTTTTAGCGATCAAACGTAGAGGATTTCGCCTCAAAATGGCAAAGTAGAGTAGAGAAACAAATATTGTATGTATAAAAACACCAGTCAATGCTAGCACACTGAGTAACGCGAGCTAAAAAAATAAATACAGAGTCAGTTCCGCAAAATAATGCTACAGTGTCAAATTTTACATGCCTCGCATGATGACGCGTAGTGTGGGACGCACCCAGTGGCGTGCCAAACTTTTCTGCTGCCCAGGGAGAGTTTCTGATAATGATGCCCCTTATACTTGAATTCAAAAGTAATTAAGGGGATAAACAAATAGATGATGTTATACCTGAGAATGCATGAATTTGAGGTAAGTAAGAGTAAAATGTTTTCTATTATCAATGAAATCATTGAACTTAGCAACAAACTCACATATATAAAATGTAATACCTCGAAGTCTACAGCTCGGATCTGTTGCGCCCTACAACGCGTACCGCCGGGGGCCACCGCCCCTATGGCCGATCCCTGCGACCACCCTTTGGCGCTCTGCGGTCGTATGAGGCCGTGGTAACGATACTGAAATGCACTGATAACATTGATGGGATGACAAGTCCATACTTGGCAAAGTTGTGAGTGAATTTATTGTTTTAGTTCTTGCATCAATAGTCGGCAAACTTTATGTACTACTGGGCCAAATATGCACACTGACAGTCGCGTGCGGCCACATTAAATTTTGCCTATAAACGATTGCCACCTTGAACTTCAAATTATGACTCACCCGCCTATTTTAAGTCCTATTTTATGTTAATTACAAATACGTATGTGTGCAACTGATGTATCTGACGCTTGTGCTTACCACATAACAAACGTACAACAGCGATTGTTACGACCAACATCCGTGAGCAGGTAATAATAAATTTATGGTTATTTTGCCGCGGCGCACCTTTTGGGAACCGCTGGTCTAATCTAGTGGTTTAAGTACTGCTTTTTCTTCATTGTTACGTTTAGGTGTAGTTATATTATGGTCCCAAACGCCGTTACCAGCAAGCATCACCCAATACCATTGATAGGGATCAATTAAGCAGTAAGTGATTGTCGCATTTACATTAAATAAGATCCTGGCGTTGATTCGTTTTTCCATTCATACATATATATACGTAACAATAAATGCTATGTCTTACTTTTTTAATTGATTCTTCCAACTTTTCAGCCATTGCAATATTGCCAGCAATCAAGAATAGAACGCCTATGGGTGATGTATACATAATATAAGTTATCATTTTCATTACGACGTGGTTTAATCCATTGATGCTCCTTTTCAGTATTTCTCCCTATAATAAAATCAAAAATTGTTCATCAAAATAGAAATGTTAATTTTTTTATATAGAGAGAATAGTTTGATAAAATGAAAATCCTTAACTATAGTGCGCATGGAAAACTGCCCTCAAAATCTAAACTGAATTAGTCACCGCAGTTTTATTTTTCAAAAAAAAAGAATTAATTTCATTTAAAAGTCTAATTCATTTCTGTAATATGTAAAATGTTGTAACACCACTGCTTTACCTGCTTTCCAATCGTTCCCAAAGCAACTCCGAATAAAACACTGAAGCTTATAATTCCAATAAAATTTACGCTGTCAGAATACGCGATATATCTTTCAAATTCAGCAATGTCAGTTTGATTAGTATTCACATGAATATTATCTAGAAATTACAGAATAATTCGTCACATTTGCTTGGTAACATAAATTCATTACAACAAAAGAAGTAGGCGAACTCACCCGAGTTTGGAACTCTATATTTCGTATTCTCTGTCTGCATAAAAGCTCTAACTATGTTGTCTGGGACAAGATTTCTGGAAATGCAATTCGACACCATTGTTTTATTAAAAAAAAAATTGCTCGGACGACCAATAGCCGAATTCGATTATGTGTTCATACCGAGCCAAATTAAATTTTTGTACCGCAATTTCTCAAATAAATACGGGTAAAATAGTGGCGCTCCAGAAGTGTGTGTACCAATATGGAGGTAACTAATTTTGTTCACGTTTGTTACATCAAGTTGTGTAAAGGGAATGAAGCCAATGGACAGCGGGTTTATTCACTTGGCTAACACAGACAGTCACCGAACTCGTAATAGAACTAACATGAGGAAAATCAGAATAAAATTATTGCATAATCCTAACCTGGTACACACACGACAGGAGTACCGAAATAGTTGCTATAATCGGTGTACCTACTGCGCTTGCAATAAATACACTATAATTTTACTTTCATTTTGTATCAAAGGAATATTTTCTTATTTCAATTTTATAAAACCATTATAAAATGAACAGATTAATGTTATTTTTTATGTACAATAAATAAATATCCTGATATTTCTAGTAGCCATTCCTGGGCTCACCTAAATATGTCGACGACAACATCTCCCATTGTGGTAGAAACTTTTCGTGTATCACTCATGCTACTTCTACTTGAATTATTGTCGCCATCATTTCCTAGACCAATAAGCCCAAGAGTAACACCTGGCAACAAACGTAGTAATTCTTAATAAAAATATTTGCCTACATACATGTTGTTTGTAACTCAACAATTAACTTTTAAAAATAAAGAATAGAGTCCACGTCTATAACATCCAAATTCAAAATATTTTATTTGTTTTTACATTTTTAGTTAGGGATTTCATGATATAGATATCAACTACTGCACACTGAAGTTACAAACTTTTAAAAAGGAAGTGAACATTCCTCACAGAATGTGGCAACGCCTTTTTTATGACGCGATATTGAGAAGGCTAAAAGCCTTACAGAAAAAAAATGCCGTCTGGGTCAGAGCTGTACAATATCATACAGATATTATTATAATTGTCTGAAATTTTATAGACTTACCAAGACCCGACGCAAATACAGTCGTCGCAAGGTAATATACAGTAACCAGGGCTCCAGCAGCTCCCACATTTTCGCTTTCTACTCCAGTCAGACCACTAATGATACTAGAAAGTAACAGAGGACCAACCATCAAGTACAAAGCTCTCATAAAAAGGTCTCCTGGTAGGGCAACGATTTCCAATGTTCGCTTTGGTAGCTTAAATGGACGAAGTATTAGTCCTAAAGCAATTCCGAGGAAGGACCCGATAATCGTGGCGATAAGCAGTAGATTCGCTCGCATCCATTTTTTGATACCCTCGCATGTTGGTTTTTTAATCCTCGCTAGAAATGAAAAAGACTGATAATGTATAATGCAACTACTCCGAAATACAATAACAAATATTAAATCTGCTGGGAATGGCTGGTATAATCAGGCTAATCAACAAATTAGTTAACATCAATGTCGCAGTTAATGATCTTGACGCCTCCTATTTAATTTCAAATCATAATTATTTTATGATCTTTTGTAGAAAGACCACTAATGCAAAAATGTGAGATTTGCGAAGTTTCAAAATGAAAAAATAGTAATTGTTCAGTTAGGGTTCGGGTTGGCAATGATTTGAAATTTTGAATCTCTAGCACAGCGTTTCCCAACCTTTTTTGTTCGCGGACTATTTTCTCACTGGCAAAAACCTTTGCGGACTCAACGTGCGTTTATTGCAACCGTACTATGTGTGAAGAAGTTTCAAAACCAAACACAACAGAATTTTAACGACTTTCAAAATCGGAAGTTCGACGCAATTACGCGTTTGTTAAAAAAGCCGACTTTTTTAGTGTATAAATGGCCTTTTCTGTCGCACAATATTCAATCTATGACAACGACGAGAATTTAAAATGTTGTTCCATTTTAATTTAATTGTGTTCATGGTCACTGGCGGTTGAGGCGACTTATGACAAGATGAATGCAGTACATCTTGAAAATGCCACGGCAATCTGCAAACATATTAATGTGAGAATGTATTGCCCGATTATATTTAGTTTTGATACATATTTTTTGCGATCCTGCGAATTTGTTATCGCTGTTAGAAAAATCTTACTATCTGCTATAAATTTCCAGAAAGTAAAACATGATTTAGTACTTATTTATTAAAAATATATTTAAAGTATATTCGTGAATCAAAAAAAATATTCATGGCCTTTCTTCAATATTAATTTAATTGTGATCATTTTAATATGTGGTTCTGTTGACGAAATAAAAGCATTACTTCTCAGAAAATATCATGACAATCCGTGGACACAAAAATGCGTGATATAGTGTCCGATTATATTTTGTTTTGATTCGTATTTTTGTGAATACGACAAATCTGAGCTGTTCATGCAACACTTACGGCGCTCCAGTACTGTACGTACCAATGTGGAGGCAGTAAAGCAAAGAATCCTAAGGAAAATGCCAGGCTTGTCCATGGAAATCCCATGAGATAGTACAGCACCCTTTTGTATTTCCCATGAAATAGTTCTAAATTTTTAAAGTTAACAGAGTCAATAAATTTTGTCGTTTCGCTTGTCTTTGCACACGCAGTTCCCTATGGAAAGCCTGGAAAATGCCCTGATACGTATACTACGGTAGCACCAGAAAATTTGCGATTTGCAATGTCTGAAAAGCGTGTTTAATCGGTCGCGGACCATCATAAAACAAAACTTTGGTGTTCTCCGGTTTATTTTTAGTATTTTGTATTGCCGCTTTTCAATTTAGGAAATTTAGGTTGCCACCATTTACACCACCTACCAGAAGAAAAATTCTTCCTTGTTGTTCGAGCTCGCGAGAAACACCACTTAGGTATCTCCTACTCGTGTTTTCGTCGGAAAAACAATCGTTTAATTCAAGTGACCTGTCGCGTCACCTGTTACCAAATTTTCGAATAGTAAATTGCTATTCTAATAGTTGAATATTCAAATATATACCCCGTCCTACTCAGTATCCAGTAATTATTGACTCGATTAATGTTATGTGTTTTATGTAAATTCTAACGAAAATCGTAACTTGGCTGATAGTTAAGTTTCGCAAAAACGTTTGCGGCCCCAAGTAAACTCGTTGCGGACTCACTCGGGTTGGAAACACTGCTCTAGGACAATCTGTATTTCTAACCCCAACTGCATAATCACTTTTTTTTCTATTGAGGAGGGGGTTTTCGACAAAAGATGCTTATTTTAAGCCATAATACGAAACGTAATCCATTTTATTTCAAAAAATAATGTCATACCTGGCATCCTGGATATTATTAAGGTATTAGAACTCGAAACTAAATAGCTCAATGTGTTTCACCTTGCACGTATTGCTGTTACTTACAACTTAAAGCGATTGTGTGGTTTAAAATACTACACGGGCATTACTCATCGCTTGACATCGTTCCATGCGACCAGCTGCGAAACAGCTCAAGGTGGGGCGGTTAATAGATCACATACACGAGTCGTGTTAACTTATATTATGCTATTTTCTATGTATAGTCTACTATTGAATGAACTGAACTAAGCGTCAAACTTAATTCAATTTGTACAATTAACATAACATATATCTCTTGGGACGGCCTGACTGTAAATTGAATGCATGAAATGCAAGAAATGAAGGTGGTACTGATGGGATATAACGACTCTATAAAAATGAGTACCTATCCTATGCTTTCCTTCCATCACGACATTTCGAATTTGCTATTGTAGCAAATTTGGAATGATTACTGTGGGTTTTACTAATATTTATATTATGTTATTATTATATTGAATATATTTAAACTCGGCTATTCTGGTCCGTTACCTTGATATTGATTTATCCGCAGTAAGCTTCTATGCAGTGCCGCTGCGTGGCGATAAGATTGAAGACACATTTTTGACCTTCTGGAGATTTGAAAAAAGAAAAATTTCATGTATTCCTTGTTACCCGCTACCTTACGTAACTTGAATTTCAACTGTAAATTTGTATTATAGTGTAAGTGTATATATTACTGTATTATACTGTATCTCTTTTAGTTAGCGATGATGATGATGAAGTTTATCTCCGTGATAAATAAGATATGTATCTTATCCTTTTGTAAATGCTTATTGACAATCGACGACACAAGGTTCGGAATCAAGTAATAAACAAAATAATTTGAAATGCGTAGTTTATCAAAAGAATTGTCAAATGTGGCAGATTCGAAATAACGTGGTGTAAAAATGTGCAACACAAAGATATTTATTCTTCGACTGACGAAAATCCTTGATAACGATTGCTGAATTAGCAAAAATGCATATGTGCATTTGTGGAATGTAATCCGTTTTTTCTTAATATGAAACAGATATGTATTAAACCAATTCAGTCCTATTTTTGAAAAATGATTACGTTAGTATGCGATCACCTTTTGGTACCGGATCATGTCGTAGTTCCGCCGACACGTTTGTTCTGGCAAGTTTATGTCCCGAACAAAAATTTTACGTGTTTCGTAATAGTCATTGCAAAAAACATATCAATATTCAATTAATCCCCTACTTCCATCACTTCACATCGTAAACTGGGAAATGGGGGTGTCACAAATTGACTATTATATCATATCTTCGTTCTGCCATACCTCTCAGTCTTGTGTATTGTTTGTATATATTAATTTAGTTGTATATTTTCGTTATTTAATGTATGTTATCCTATTATAACGCAGCAGTCCTAAACTGCTGTTATACTTGGAAAGAATACATGTCGCACAACTGTGTCCCATTATCTATCTAATGCAGTGGGTCTCAAACTTTTTAATATCGTTACCCGAAAATCGAATTACCAAAGGCTCAATTACCCCTTTGATACCAAATACGGTAGTATGCTAAAATTGCGCTAGGTCATCTTTTCGCCACACAATCTGTACGGCGAAGTACTGTTATTATGACTCTACGAAGACGAGATGACATTGACTAGATGTGAACATTGAATATCCATCATTTCTGCAGATTATTCAATAGTACGGGTATTAAAGATGAAATTGTTAAAATAGTGAACGCCTGGATTACCCCCTAAAAATTGCCGAACTACCCCAGTTTGGGAACCACTGATATAATGAAACAATTACCAGCGACCAATGGTAATGGCCGGCGATTAGTAGATGTTTGAAATTGGAAATGCAAAGTATCCTCCGAGAACGACTACTAATAAAATGAGTCGATACACGCGTAACACTGGAATTTATTCAACGGCGTTTCGCTGTTAATGGCACGCAATTTTCAGTTCTTCAAACGCCTCGTGTCGCACTTTGCACTTTTGGAACACTGTTTTGAGTTTTGATTCCAGTGTTACCTTCCTCCGATAAAAATTCTGACTAAGCCACTGATCGCAGTTGCTATAAAGCTCATTTAAATTGCCTCTACCATAGTCTATTGCGTAAGACGGTGGTATGTTTATAAAACAATAGTATCGGTATTGGTTTCGAGTGTATGCAATAACTTTACCATAGTTTATTGGTAAAACGGTGGTTCGTTTATAAAACAACAGTACCGGTTAGGGCTACCAACCGTCCTGGAATGACCGGCACAGTCCCGGAATTGACGTATTGCGTCCCGTGTCCCGGAGTGGGCTATACGGTTGTCCCCGAATTTAACGACAACCAAGGCGTTCTAAAATAGAAGTACATTCTAAGCGTGTCGGCTTTGTTCAAAACTGGAAACGGATGTATTTCACGCAAATATATTTTTAATAAAAATGATTACATCTGTATGGTTTATTCAAATAGGAGTGAGTTGAAATTTGTGGATAAGACATGTTTCGTCAACCGTGACCTCCTGATGATTATAACACTAAATATGCAGAATGGATGATAACATTATATACAGTAGTAACCTTAATTTGATAGGATCAAATACTTAATCCAGTGAGATTTGTTGAAAAATTCAGTCAATAAAGTTGCGGCACGTAACAATATTTTGTGTTTCTTATTTTAAGTTGATAATGCACTGTTAGTGCGTGGCTCTTTTATGAGCATGATTTCATTATTCAATCAGTTTTCAGGCTTGCATAACCGTCTATTTTAGGACGGCTTGCTGACAGTTCTTAGCGAGAGTTCATTAATTATTATATTTCCGTAATGATTACAAATTTTAACATAAACTTTGTGAAAACTCACAAAGATCTTTGTATAGCGGCGAAATCACAATAAAAATACAAATTTAAATACCAGGAAGAGTAGTTTATTGTGTTTTTTGTTAAATAATTAAATTTACTTAGCACAAGTTGTAAATTTCCACTGTTTTAAGTATTTTTTTGCATTTATGCGTCCACATTTCACAAGTTACTTTGATTATGACAGTATGGGCAAATAACGCTGCACCACGCGCAGCGCGCACTGTTGCTTTTGACGTGCTTCGTGTTTTACAAGCTTCTGTTGCATCAATTTTCAAATTCCAGACATTAAGGTGTCCCGGAATGGTTTAACACAAAGTTGGCGACCCATTGTACCGGTACTGGTTTTAAGTGTATGCAAAAAGTCACTACTTGATCCATACATTTGGCGCACTGGCTTAAGAAACACACGGTCGATTTCTGAGGGAAAAAAGAGACTGCGAGTGCTCCATTCTTTCGCTAAGTACATTAAATAAAAAGAGGAATAAAAGAAGAGTAAAACAGAGCCCATCTTCTCGTATACTACCATGAAAATAAAATTATTTTGCAGAATCGAACATTTGTATCCACATTGTACATTTCGTAACTTGTAAAGGTAAAACTAGAGAGACATGTTGCATTTCAAATCAGGCCAGGTATTATTGATATACTGTAATGACAATTTCATAACAAAATGCGTATCATTTGCTACTGACTGTTGCGGTCTTGAAGAATATCAGCCCAGTATGCATATTCATTATACTATATTTCTTTTACGTCGTACGTAGGCATGTATATATTGCACCTGTTGCATTATTCTAGATCAGGGGTGGGCAACCTTTTTCGATTCGCGTGCCAAAATCGGCCAAATCCAATGACAAAACTCTTCAATTAGTGAGAACATACTACTGACATTTCAGAGGAATATACGAAGATCCTTGAAGAAATGACAAAACGTCCTTTTGCAAATAATGCCGTCTCGTGTATAATACAATGAAAACTCTAATTGGGTGACCAACTGGAAGCTCGAGAACTCGTCTATTTGTTACGTCATAACACATTTCTTCGTAGCCATGTGCCACAAAAGGACAAGCGAGTTTAATTAAATACCGGATCGCTAGCAAACGAAAACGATACTTTTTATCGGAAGGGAGAAAATCTTGTTTCCGAGGCCGAAGGGCCGAAATCTTGTTTGCAATGAGCAAGCTAGAAAGTCTGTATTATGGAATAGTTGCGCTACCAAAACCCGAAAAACTCTCCTGCCCAACAACTCACTGTAATATGTGCTCAAGAATCCGTTGATAAATTTCCCATGACCGCAAAAAACATATTAATAAAACATATTATTGCATAGATAGCATATCATCTAAATATCGTTGCTCAGAATAGAAGATCTAGACATCGAAATACCAGGCAAAGCAAAATCTCTTACTCCTCAACTTATAACCATTGACAACAATATATTTTTAATATCATTTATTAACGACACTTCAAAAGTATCATCTTGATCAGTAATGCTGAAACGACATAGAAACGGACAGGAGCCCAAGCTTATAAAGATAAACGAAAAAAGATATAAATTTCTTTAAAAGACAATTTCGGGAAAATATATCTTTAAATTTATATATTATTTTTTAGTTTTTTACAGAACAAACATGTTTTTTGAATTCCAAATGAAAAAATTGATAGTTTTGCAAAAATGAAACTAGATGAATTCAATAAATGAATTTGAAATAAGAAAATTACCTAATTTGTATCAAAAGATAATTTTTATCAAAAAAATAGTACGACAAATCTTCACGAACAGCCAATGTTTGCAGATTGCCAATTCAAGTTCCACTGAAAGCCTGATTATCAAGATTTCGAATCGAATATACCCTACGAAATTTGTTCATTTTATTAAAAGCTCTACACCTTTTATGACTATGCGCTATAGATAGGATTCTGACGAAACCATTATTGGTGATGATATTGAAATCGCAGGCATTGTCAAAAATTTAAACTTCTAAAAAAAAAGAAAAGGCGCCATTTTTTATCAACATTGTAAATATATTTAAAAAAAAAGAAGTACGGACGAAAAATCTCAGCTCATAAACAGGCAAGAACAGACTTTTGCTGCAATATTATTTTTTATATAAAAAAGAACAAAATGACAGAGAAAAGATATATCTCATAATAACTGGACAGAAAACGCACATGTTGAATTTGAATTTTTGTACAAAATAGACATAAGTATTCTAAGAAAATAATTGTCGTGGAGTTCATTATTAAACTTTGCTTCACCATGCCGAATAAAGTTTCTTTTGACGTGGAAGCTATGAGTTTTCCAATCGATTCAGTCACACGCAGTCCAAATACAAACTTCAGGATACTGGCTTCATTTGAAGTTTCCCATTTTGCTACAGCGATTCAATAAAACTTCTCGCTACGGTTACATTACGTAGTTGGTTGCTTTTTAAATAATTCTTTCCTGTCATTGTCAGACAGAGAAATACCTGATTGTTTTAATTTATCTTCTAATATTTTAACATAATTCTTCATCTCTTCTAATTGACCTTGTAAAACAGCATTTGCTTCACATAGTCGAGCGTTTTCTTGAACTAAGGGTGTGACGGCCTGAAAAAAATTTTTACGACTACTATTATTTTTTCAATGGCTCATCTAATATAAAAGTGAATTACATTTGAAAGGTGACTATATTTTGGTCTAGACTACCCATTTTTGGTTTAACAACTTATCATCTATATGTCGTGGGCTGATCGCTAGACTACCGTGGATTCGAACGCAAAATCGTCCTACATACTTGAAAATCGGAATTACGGACTCGGAAACAACAACATTAACTGACCCACATGGGCCAATTAGAACCACTATAAACCACCAGGTTTGGTGACTATATCAATTTTCAATGCAATATGATAAAAACTTACGTCATTGTCACGGATGAGTGAATTTTTAGCCGCATTCTCCTCGTCCACAAAATTTGACGGAAACTTGAAAGCAGTTGCACTGTTGCTTAGATTTTTGCCCAATAGAGGTGGATGTAAGGAACCGTGTTGTGTCTGCAATTCTGACAACAGAATTGGCGTGGCCGGGAACGACCGATCGGAAAAGGTAAATGAGGAACAACCACTTAGACCGCTGTCTCTTCTTGCGAATACACTGTAACCGGGATTCTGGTTCACCGGGGTGTTTTCTGTTGGCGATACCACTTCGTGAATGGCTGAAATGTTTAATGGTTCTATTGAGTATTGCCGAGAAGGCATTTTTCTTTCATCTTTTATATTGAGATCGTTCGTCGATTTAGTGAGGTCATTGACCTGGTGTGTCGTCACGCGATTGATGGCGTGATTGTTGTTCGCAGTTTGATGCACGTGAGTTAGGGGAATTTCGTCAATGTCTTCGCCAGTACTGCCCAATCTGCCGTTAGGTAAATTGCCGTTAACGACAATATGTCTTGGGCTAGATGTAGCGGGATATAGAAACGATTTCATCACAGTACCGGTTAGTTGTACATCGACCCTAGAAGGGGACTGTGGTGGTGTTTGTGTTGTTGCGTCTATAACCGATCTTGATTTATGCGAGTTGAGTTTTGGAATGATTTTTTGCATCAGTGACCGCCTGCCGCTTCGTCCACCTGAATCAGCTGATGAACTTTTACGCACGGGAGGTGGGGTCTTGGAATGTTGTATTTGACGCAAAAGATTACGTGACGTGACGTCGGCCGACGCAAGGGACGTAGAACGACGCATGGTTGACGGAGACGATTGATATGTTGATACGAGTTCCCCTGGACTGTCAAATGCTTCGTCGTCTGCGGAAATTGTAGTAGTGTTGGAAAGTATGGTAATGGTATCTGAAATAACAAAACATTTCATAAATTGTTGGTTTTTAAAGTGGATACCATTGGCATAAATATCACTAGACACAATTTTCAATCAGTGCCCGAAAGAAATTTGCGTCAGCGCTACTGACATTCTTATATCTGAAACCCAAACCCAGAACAACATTCATCGTTCAGACTTGTACCACACGAAACGTACTATACGTCCACACAAGGAAGTGCGTCACTTCACTTTTATGAACTAAAATTCCAAGTATAATTTCGGACAATCTCTATATAGAATAAAATAGTCTAACTAGGAACTACGGGAACACAAAACAGGTCATTATAATAATGCTCTCTAATGGAAAAAGCTGTGAATTTGGTAGATATTTATACGTTATGACTAGAGAGAAGTTACTACCGGGAATCAATCTTAATCAAATGGAATTAACACGAAGAAGTTCCCGGTAATAATTGTAAAATATAAACACCATTTTGACAGTAATACGTGCGCGTTATTTCGGTAAAGATTGACCATCTGTACCGGAATGTTTATATTTATTAATATTAACTCTTGCACGATAACCATATCACTACTTATATTGGTAATGTCAAATAAGTTTGCTCGCATTCAATCGTAACTTTCACAAGGTACCACAAGCACATGAAGGTCGATGGTCATTCTTATTCTCAAAATTTTGTGTGAGTGAGCGCTAAAACAGATAAAAGCACCGTTGAACGCCATAATAATTCGTTGAATTGGCATACTATGGGAATTGGAAATTTTTGTAGTAAGTAGAAACAATGCAACGTTGATAATGGAGCAAAGATCCAACGAAACTGAAACTGAATGCGTAGGATAGTAGAAGCGATGTATTGGGAATAGCACTATCGCGAAATTATAACCGAGTCGTTCAGTTGTAGACTGACTGTTCGTGAAAGCTTTAAGATTAGAACTCTTGATTCCAAACTATATAACAACTAACATACACTGGTTGAAATGTAACAGGCAAAATAAAACGCAACTACATGGACTGATAAAAAGACATGGTGTAATCAATAGTAATATGATACACTATATCAATATTAATAATGTTAACGAAAAAGATACATATGGTGTCGTCATACTATATAAAAAATAATTTGTTAAATTCAGGTTAACAATTTGTTGTTGATAATAAACCTCATATGTGCTTTAAATGAAAACCCATGGCGACAAAACCACGCAGGCAACACATGAAAAACGAGAAATTTTAGTTCAATTTTTATTACCTAATCGCAACCAATTAAGGTCGTTTAGGCTTATTGTGGTACAAGTAATGCATCAGTAATATTACCTAATTTAAATTATCGATTATGTCAATGTTTTCATTGTGTCGTAATTTATTAATATTGTTACATCTGTCCCCCCCAACAAAGCAGTGTTTTCTCAACAAAGTACCGCTAAATAGGTGGTCAATGCCACAGTATATAATTTCGGTTGAGTTTAGAAAACGCAAGATAGTCAGTCCACTGTACACACTCACAGATCTTTAATTAGTTTTAATATCAATAATTATACAAATAGATTGATGCTATTTGATTGATTATGTTGGAATACGTGTCCCTGTTTTGGTGTGTAATTTCTAATATAAATTTAATATATGAGTCTCATAGTTTTAAAATATCCAGGCTTACCTCCGTTAGCTGAAAGGTCCGACTCTGACGATACAGACGATTTGTCTCTTCTGCCGTTACGTTTTACAGGGAGTTCACTATTATTTGAGTGTTGCTGCTGCTTAGGACGGCATTCTTGAACTATACGGTCTTTACAATGCTTATGACAATTTATACCACAACCTGTGTGAGAGAAAAAGGCATATATGATACATTCAATAAAAATGGCCTATTTTAATATCTGATATATTAATACTGAAAATCCATATTCAAATTTGTAACTACATCGAAAAAAAGACAAATGCAAGGAAAAGAAATTATACATGATCATGATTAAACGAATATAAACCAATCTTGGCCAAAGTTACTGAAGTTCATATTATATTTCGTTGGCGTACTCCCTGCTTCAATAAACAATTCAATAAAACTTCTCTGTAATGTGGTCGCCTGCAAGCTGCAAGTAATTTATTAGCGCTCTGTCATGATGACACATGATATTTTTCATGTTATAAATTTTTTCAAAGGTTTGCTCTCCAGAATTCTACATTTTTAATTTGTGTCTATTATGGAGTTTTCAAAATAAACTATCTATCTTTAAAGTAGGATCGTCTCTTCGCGTCTAAACTTTCTTTTTTATCAATATACCCTGATTCAAATCTGTTAGTTAAACCATCCATGGGGACACACACGCAGAAAGCGAGAAAAGTTTAACAAGCAAAATTATTTACGACATCATTCGGCCTGTATGCTAAGGTCATTTGCGTAAAACCAGTGCATAGACTATCTAACACGCTCTTACTAAACCGAAAGACACAATTAACCTAGCGATAATAAACATCCTTATTGTAGTCTGGTCTCGGTTCGTTATGATCGTTATACTTTTAAATTGGACTCATGTGACGTCACATACGCACGTATATTTCATTTGTTTCTCCAAATATGCTTAGACTGTTTGAATAAGTACTTGTTTAAGCTTGGGGTGTGGATATTTTGCGCATTAATACAGCAACTTATAAACGTATCAAGCTTGAATACTAGATATCATAAATTCATGTAAGCGATATTTCTAATTGGACAGATATATTGGAATTCGTTTCATTAAATTCTAAATTAAAATGTTGATAAGCCACGAATTCGCATAGTTTTACTCATTTCTGTGCTAACAAGATTATATATATATGTAGGTATTACATTTTCCGTCGGAATACTACAAACAATATTAGTAACAATTTTTGGGGTTACATGTCCGAAGATTGTCCAATATAACCAGTCTTATAAGTATGCAAATGAAATGTAAAAAAAAAACTGAAAAGTTTTTAGCTCAGTACAGATTTATGAGTGGAATTACATGTAGTGTGAGATAAACAACAAAGTGCGAACACGATGTCCTCATCTAGTTATGTCAACATTTTACACTAACTCGCTTACCAGATGAAATAAAATGAAAGTTGTATAGCTTATTTGACAATCCGACAAATTTGCATTACCTAATAAATATGAAAGGATGAATAATGGACGTTCCAGAAGTGTGTGTACCGATGTGGAGGTAACTAATTTTGTTCGCCTACTTTACATCAAGTTGTGTAACGGGATTGAAACCTATGGGCAGAAGGTATTTTCACTTGGCTAACACAAACATTCCCCGAACTCGTAATAGAGCTAAAATAAGGAAAATGAGAATAAAATTATGGCCTAACCCTAACCTGGTACCACACGCTATGGGACTACCGGATAATGAAACCATATCATACACTCAAAAATATTGGCGGTTAAATCGCTGTAACGATCCTCTGAATAAACCCAGGTCCGCTTCATTACCAACAAAATTACTACTCCAAAAAACAAGAGACCTAAGGCTAAATGTACTACTATGTTATTTTCTCACTACTCATTTTATGATCTGCTATTTTTACTTTTTTTTAGGTTAGATTGGAATAAGCTGTGTTAGATTAGAATACTCCTACCTTTTTCTAACTTGTCTTATCCTAACCGTAAATATGCAAAGACATCAGATCGGATTGTTTTTAAAAAGAACGGCGTAGTCAGATACGCCATTCACTTTCTAAACTACGGTAAGTTGACGAATTTCCATACTATTATTTTTCTATTGATACTAGACATCACTCACTAATGACCTGTTGATAACTGGGAAAACACCAACATTTGACGCGACAGAGTCAAAGTACAAAAAATCCCATGTACTAAACGTCAACTTTGCAAATATTTTAACCAAGCTTAAACATGTATGAGCCAGACGTAATGAACTTATACGTGGTTTCCCAATAATACAAACTTTTGCTATTACTAATCTTTGAAAAATAAGTCAGATCTACTAATATTCCGACGTTAATAATATTTTGAAACGTTCCTGATTTTAATTATACAGACAAATCGATTTAATAATGTTAACAGTTATAACTTATATTTGATGTCGTAAGAGCAACATTTTTTTATAATAAAATATAACTAGTCTAATCACCCGGTAAATTACAATTTTGTTACCTAAAATAAATAAATATAAAAAGTCTAAATCAAACGTTGAGACTCCAACAAAAAAGCCAAATGATTGTCATTGCCGCATATCATAAATTGGATTGAATTCCCCGTATTTTTTTGCAAACAATTTTTGTTTCGTTAACATGTTTTGTCAGACAATATAGAAAATATTTCTCCAAATACTATTCATATTTTTATTGTTGTATTGCGTTAAAATATATCAAATATAATCACACAATGAAAATGATAAACTAAGCGTTTTCGGTGCTATTTGCAATACTGCTATTTTATCTGTGAGGGGAATTTACATGCTGTATCTATTGTTCTTTACTTCATTACAAATGGCGTAACTTTGGCCTGAACTACATTGGCACATGAGTTTAAATAGGCCTCCAAAGCTTATCTATTTTCGCCACCCTATTGTATTCAGAATGAGTCTATTTCAAACTATACAACTAATAGGGTTTATACGAATAGATCAGCTGATCGTTTCAATAGTGCCTTATTCGAAGCGAATGAATTATACACTTGGTACATACCGATTTCGACAGAATTATTCAATAATATTATGCTGAATTCCTCATACAACAAAATACCATTCGAACCATATTCTGACAAATAGACTAACTAACGTTGGGGAACTCGTACTAGCCATCATAATTGCTGTATTAGTGTCATTAGTCATCCTAGCGTTATAACAGTAACTGTAATAGTCGGAACACGTATTCGCTAAAATATTTTTTCTCGCAATTTGCTATTTTGTCTATTTGTTTTTTAACCTAAAAGGGGATTCTATAGACCATGATTGGTTATTAGAAAACTGAGAAAATACGCTATTTTAACTGATATTTCGGAGTAATGAGGACATGAAACAGGAAAAGATAAAATTAGTCTAAAAATTTTCCAATACTAGCAAACATTTCACACCACTAAATACGAGTTGATATCGGTCCTCACATAGCATAAACATAGCATAAACACAATGTAAACTAGTAAATATTACCTTAATTTTAACAGTATAATATAATCAGAACGCATGCAAATGTATATTATTTAGGATTTAATACAATTACAGGTTTGCGTGCAAACAATAGCAAAACCAATTAGGATAGATTCCAAAATCAACAAAATACATTTATATATTTATAGTTTAATCATGATGTACAAATAGCTCAATTTGATTGACGGGAATCCAAGTCCGAAATTCAACCGTCAAAATGATCGTGTCAATTTAGGATAAAAGTATTTTAATGGAGGAACTATTATTAAAAAAACACAAAGATTAATACTGAAAAACAACGTAATTGTGAATTTTGAAAATTTACGAATATCCCAACTGTCAATATTGGAAAACAGCTAAGCCTCAAGAATCTATCAGAGAAACGTAAACTTGTTCAATAACTGAATATATGTCCATCAATTAATATTATTCTGTATTCAAAATTCGAATGAGTTGGCAAAAGTAGAAAAAATTCAATTCAATACGAATTCACAAAAGCATTATACTGACCTTTGCATTTCCATCCTTGCTTTACAAGACCCCATAACTGAAAATATAAAAAAGTGAATTTTAATTTAGGATTTCTATTAGACCGTAGAATGTGTACAACATATTGCTTGTGACAGGTTATGGAACAAATCATATTCTGCATAGCAGGAATGAGATGTAAAAAGACCACCTCGTCTAGATATAATTTTCCTAGCCATGTCTATGTTTAGATGAATACCATTTTTCGTCGTACGTAATATGCAACCCTCGTGTGGCTACCCTCAAAATTAATCAGTTGTCAAATGGTAGCCGAATACGGAAAAGAACACTCAAATGGCGATTGGCACCATATATCCATCCCTACTTCTTACTGGATTAAAATAAACATCTTTCATTGTTCTGTCTAGATTCTAATCTAGAATAACAGATATGAATTTAAAAACAATCAATGCCCATTTGTAATAGAATATATATTTGAAATCATTAGGAGAATATAAAGGCTTTTCGTTTAACACTGCACTTTATTGGCAGCGCACATCTTTTGCAGCTGCCATAAATCCGCAATCAATAACGTGCGGGGTCGATGGCGATTACGACTACATGTACATCTCTATTTTTAACTATGTACAAAGTCTATTTTCTTTTCTATAAATTAAAACAATGAATTAAGATTCTCACCAATTTTTCACATTCTTCACAAAACGTTGGGTGAAAATAAGTACTTTCCGTGAATTCGTGGGTGAAATTTTGACAAAAATCGTTTCTTCGAACGGCGCTTGCTTTCATGAAGTAATCGCACATTTCTGATCGACTAATAAGTCCGTCTCTGAATATATAAGAAAAAAATTCAATTATCAAAAATTTCATAAGCATTTGTTTTGTGAATTGTTCAATGGGATGGGATATGGGTCTCCATCATGCAATAGAACATATCAAGCTATGAATGTGAAGCAAGGTTTCACTGCATTATAAAAGTAGATCTCAACGTTTAGTTGAAAAATTGTGAAATCGTTCACAACACAAAAATACAAGGTATTTAGTTGCACATTTACTATCAATTCACGGATGTTAAAAAGTGAGGTAGGAAGTGGCCTATACAAATCATTAATACATAGGTGCGCGCTCCAGTGTTAGTTTTGAAGACCACGCCTCGCAAAAATACCGTTATTTTTGTATCGGTTTGTTGTTGTGTAATTGAAGGGTACACTAAATTTGACGGTAGGGGTCAAAAGGCGAAAATCCTGATACAGCTATCTCGTTATTTAAGCCTCTTTTATCCTTTAAATTCCCTCAAGACGAAAACACAAGATGGAAATTTTTCAAATCACTTATCTATCGGAATATAAAATAAGAAGCACTACTAAAAGTGAAAGTTTATTTTCCTTCGCTAAGTATCACGACGTGTCAGGGATCAAGACTCGCTATTTTGGGGTACGTAATTGCGTGTCTACGCATGCGCTAATGCGCTGCGTGACTCTGGAATTTAAATTAGCACGCAAATGTCTATAAACTTTTGCCTAGTTTTCTTGATGTTTATTTGTAATTGAATCAGTTTCTAAATTTAAAAGAGGGTTCTTGAAAATTACGAAGCGGAAACTTTAAAGAACGCTTTTTCGCCGTTCCGATTTGACAGATCAGATTTTCTCATCACCTAGTCGAAAGTGGAATAATCAAGATAAAAAATTATGCAATTTCGACCCAATATAGCTATCACTTCTATTTTTCTATATTTCTTATAGTGTAAAATCTCTACCATAATGTTGCGTCCTACAGCACTTGACATTCAGTGTGACGTGTTGACCATTAGCGCGATATTGATCATTTGCGCGATTGACTGCTTTCGTAGCAATTTGAATATTGCTTGAGTATATGGTTATTGATTGTAATCAAAAACTGATGTTGTATTCCCGGTAAATTTTGGTCGAGATATTCGCGCAAATGACACAAAGTATTTATTCAATCCAAAGAAAAAATTTTTTCTTCTTACAGACGTTCAATGTGTTAGTTAGCAAAGATTCGTATACTTTTATTTTAAATATTTGAGGATTATTTTGTTTAAAGGTTTTAGTTTTTGTGTCAAATTTTATGCGGCAAAGCTCGTACCTGTCGACGTCCATCGCAGAAAATGATTCCATCATTGGAAAATTATCGGTAAAACTATTGAATTCTTCTTCAGATATGAATCCGTCATTATCGTGGTCGTAAGCTTTGAAAACCGACTGAAAATAAAAATATTGTATTAATTCACAAATCTAGAGTTTTGAGCATTTTTTAGATAATTGTGAAAAAAAGTAAGTAGTCCGAAATATTTATACTTTTTATAGAATAATACGGAATTGTTGATGGCGTTTTGGTTATAAAATTATCAATATTACAAATTTTGTGAAATTTTTACAAATGAAATTTTGGTCTTATTCTCGATTCTGTTGTGAATACGAACATTCTGTAAATTATTTAATTATTGCAATTTAATTGTAGATTAAGCACAAAAAATTTAATTTGAAATACACACCTCTACCATGGCTGTTACGTGTTGTTTGACAGTGTCGTTATCAAGCTGACATGTGAACCTTGTAAATTCAGCAAAAACCATGTTGTTCATTTTTGACGGTGAATTTGCCTGAATAAAAAATAATGAAAAATTTATTTTAATACCAGAAACTAGTTTAATTAACGAGAGGAAGTAACGGAATACGAAAAATATTGCACCCTTAATGTTTTTTCAAACTGTGAAAAAATGAAGAAATATGAGATTATTTCGAAGTTTTTACCACTAAAAGGTATACGGCAGTGAAGCTAGTGGGCAACAGTAGTATCTTTTAAACACAGAAAAATTTTGCATTTTAGGCAACACTTGGATCGTTTCACTGTTGTTTTGAACACAATAAGAATTTTGTTTTATAAAGGTTTGAATCTTTCATCATATTCAATCGAATTGAATTGTATCTTGTTACAAAGATATTACTTTCCAGAGTTTCCTCTGAACGCCCCCCAGTCAGACGTTTTAGCCAAATTCTGCTTGTTTTATGGATTTGTACCTTGAGTGGGTCTGCGCTCAACGAACAATGCCGTTAATGGAGGAGTCTTGCCTCTACGTACTTTGTATTTCTTCCTTGTCATATTAATATAATAGCAATGGATTTGTATATACTAGACAAGAGTATATATAAAACATGGCACGTCTCTACGTGATGTGTTTATATCCGTGTTAAAACATGTTTTTGTAGTCGTTCATATTAATTAAAGTAACTCTTACCCATTTAGCGCATTTTAATGTGGGAACAAGCTTGGCCAACGAAAAGTTACGCAACAATGTTACCCAGAATCCTATTTCAAGCGACATGTTTACCCTGAAGCTGATGAGAAAATGAGTTATGTTAGCCGAATTTCCCTACCCCATTACGATAATGTAAGATAAGACTGTGAAGCTGGATTTTGGAGCCTTATGCATAAATAACTTTCCCTTTTATACTATTATATGCAAAACTATCTTGTGCGTCGCATGTGCGATCATATTACGATAACAAATGCTGCATTAACAATTGTAAGTATAACCCAAATTTATATGCAAATGAATTTTCGAGATGGGTTAGTCATGATCTGTAGAAGCTCGCATCGTTTGTTGTATATATATATATTATTTAGCAAGGTTAATATTAGAATTAATTAACTAGTAAATGGCAGAAAATGATTGTGTTGAGTACTAGGGAATTAAATTGGTAATTTTAAGGAAGTTTAAATAAATACCTCATGTTATAAATTATTTTTATACTTTATGACTTGGATTAAAAATGTTATGATTTTTAAATGATGTCGAATGAACATATGGTACCAATTCCATTTGAATTGGGTTATTACATGCCAAAAACACGGCAGGTCTGGTTTTTGAAGCAATACTACATAAAACAAATCAAATCAAATGCATACTACAAATAATCGTCTATTTCAATCGAATTTTTATTTATTTAATTACATTCTCCCAAAAAAAAATAATGAATGAATTTTTGACGTCAGTTGGGAGTTTGTTATAAAAAATAAATATTAAATATAGCACAAAAAATGGCATTTTTTAATATACGGACAAATAATTGTTGAACGGCGACCTGCTTAATAGTTTACCACCCGTACGCACGTAACGAAGCAAATCATTAGCGAAAGCAAGAAAATAGAAAAACGGATTTATTTTTGAAAAAACTATTTTGTAAATCAAGGATATTTTAAATTAAAAACAAAAATCAATAATTAGTAATTTGACTAAAAATACAATTATTTATAAGTGCAATAGCCCAATAGTTAGAATATAGTAGGTTGCAAAACTTTTAAAATAGTAAGACACTTACACTGGAGACGCTATTTTTCATGTCGCGAGGTTCCCGTTGTAATGATAGCGAGTAAATTTCTTCTTCCGTATAATAAAGATATAGAGATACTCTCAATGTATTTACTAAATCTTTATTAACTTCGAATGGAAATGGAGAACGTTGCAGATTTAACATTTCCTGTATTTAAAGAAAAATAATGTGTTTTAAATTACTCGATAATTGCAGTTAATATACACTAATTTCGTAAACAGGATATAAGTGCTAACGCACATTCCAACCGAATTTCAAAAAAACTTTTTTTAGCGGTATGTCGCAGTTAGTCCGAATATTAAGCTAGTGGTGGTCTCCAACCTGTAGCACCAACAAATATATAACACATACCTGAAATGTGGATCCAATAGAAAGCATCTTTTTTACGTTTATTAAATTATCGCCAACTCGATCTGGCAATGCTGTATGTAGGCCAATGATATCCTTCATATGAATACCACTGTAAAGATAAATACACGTTGGTTTTATAAAATAAAATTAACTTTTGAAACGGCATTTCAACCACTTTCAATACGAACAAGATACCATTAATACAAGAAGAGCTATTTTAAAAAAAAAAAAATCTTTCCGGTACGACATTGCCTACTGATCTTAGTACTCAATGGGTAATGTGGCGGGCATTGGGTTTAATTCGGATATTTTCAACTTGTAATGCCAACGCTCTAAGGAAAAATGGATTCTTCAATAACTGGCAACCGTCAAGTAATTAGAAGCCAAATTTAAATTTGAAAAATGAGTGAAGCAACAAATTTGAAAGTCATTGAACATATTATCAATGCTGAGTTCAGTGTATTGAAAAAAAGCAAGTCCTGGATTGAATGCTTCAAAAACTATTTCAATCCATCTAAACTACAGTAAAACAACACGAAGAACAATGAAGTCAATTGGCTAGGGATGTCAAAACTACAGAATCCGAGATATTTACATGTTTTAAACGATCTATATTTTTGATATACATATTTTGCCTATGATATAAGTGTACATACATGATGGGAATTTTGAATGTATTTCCTTCTTGTTGCTGAGCATAATCTCGCCGATAAGCTACATAATTACTTTTCGAATCCAGTAATTCTACCAATTCATCCAAAGCCTGTAATGAGTTTAAGAAACGATAAATAAAAGATATTTTTATGCAAGACGAATGCAATATCAATTCAAATAAGGATAGACAAACAATATAAAAACGAAATTTAATAGCAATATTTGGAAGGTTATCGACTCTTCGCGTATGAGTTAACGTAATAATTACACATTGACGAACTATCTGTGTATTATTTAAGATACGAATTTATATTCAAGTTCTCCAGTATTCATGAAAAAATTTCCGATTTCTACGTACATGTTTCATGTTTTTGGTACAATCAAGACTTTCCACAGTCGTCATTGATACTGATGAAAACTCCGAACATGTTGGAAAAAACAAGTCTATTCGTTTTTATACAATTTTATTTATAAAAATGGGTATATTCTCCAGTATATTCTCTGAAGCTCTCGATCCCCATACAGTTCCACACTACCAGATTCTATTATTAGTATACAGATCATTGTTTAGTATTGTTTCATCATAAAACAATTACAAGGTGATGTGATTTTTATTGAAAAAATTTTTAAAGCCATAATTGGGTATTTTATTTCATTAGGAACGAAAATTTCCGCACGAGGACAGAATCGAAATAAAATTTCAAATTTTCCTATTCCAAAAAACATGACTAGTGTCATCAATTTATTCTGTAAAACTAAAAAAGTTTAAAAATAGTACTTACAACGCCAAAATTAAGAATAAATTAGTAGAAGTGTTTAAGTGAGGTGAATTCCAATAGCAAAATCGCGTCTCATTCTTATTACACCGTAAATAAAACTGCCCCAGGTAATATCGGAGGAAATTAGTAATTACTTGAAAATTTCGACTGTAAATAATGACAACTACAAATAATATACAAATACATTGTTTCTGGAGTAATCACAAACAGTATTACCCAATAGGATCACATATCATAAAATTTTCAAAAATGTATGTAATATAAAGTATTAAAATCAACACGAAACCTCGATATAGTTCAAATTTAGCTCTCAACAAAAGTATATTTCGATTTCAATATGATTATGTAACTTTTTCTTAGTACAGTTTGGTAGCCAAGCCCAAGTGTAGGTATCAGTTGACACCATTGCACCAATATAAAAATAGGAACAAGGTTTTAAATTCTATTTTCAACAAGTTTCATTTTTTGATAATTTACTATGGAGGCCTTGTATATAGTTTATATATTTACATAAAAAATATATATATTTAGAAACTAAGAATCATCACTCAAATGACGAAAAAATATTTTAGCCGACAGCAAAGTTTTCGTAATACCTTAATTTTGGCCTTCGCCGGTACTAAAAATAACTACATTTGATATTTACAAAGGCGTGCTTGAACTAAGGAAAGACAAAAAATATTATATTTTGCGTCATAAATAATTCCATTTAAAATTATACAGAAAATTGATAAATCACTATAGTTTTTATTACTTGAAATAAAAGCGAGAAAAATGTTTGTTTAAAAAATGATTCACATATTCTTTTTCAGTCAGGCAATACAAGGAGTTAGGTCACCGGTTCTCGACCAGTCAGTCATTTTCAGATAGGCAACAAATATTTTAAAAGTTGCTAGAGTTGTTAAAAAATTTAGTTGAATTATATGGTAGTAGCAAGGATTGATGATGCTGTGTTTTGCTACAAGGTGGCAATTTTCATGCTAATTATTAAAGTGAATTCGTGTCCTTTTGCAGGTGGAATTGTATTTTGTAGTTTTTCCCTTATATTGAAAATCCAATGGGCCACAAACTTTTTGCGGAACAAAAATGGCACACGGAGGAAAAAAGGTAAAGAAACACAGAGTTAGAAACCATATTTAAAAGTCTGGTTTATCTACACCGGCAGTGAGGTGGTGGAGGTGTGAATTTAACCGAAACTTTAATCCGCGATGCCAAACATATTTAAGTTGAACGTGCGACCACGCCGCGGTAACTAACTACACTAAATTATTTTTGACGCCACCTTGAATATCAAATTGATAATATTTTACATGTGCGATGGATTCTTCAATCTAAAAACACAGACAATTTACCTTTATTGAGTCTTTTGGTAGGGCCGACATAGTTTTCTTCAATCTGGCGATCGCTGTGTGTCTTAATCCACCGACAACAGCCATTAAAGTATTATAATTTCGCATCTCCCGAAGTTTCTGGAATAAATAATGACAAATAATAAGCGTGAGTTTATAAAGGGGATATTGAGTTTTTGCAACATCACATCATTCACATACTATATATTCACAAAAACAAAGAGTACAGTACATAGGAAAATATCCTCATTGGTATTTATATATTAACAGATTTTTATAAAACACACGGGTGCAAAAGCTAAGTGTTCAAACTGTACAACTTTTTTTTAGCTGAGAAAAAACGTATTATTTTTATTTATTATCGAGTTGATTTTTTGGTATGTAATATTTATATGGGGTTTCAAATTAACATGTACTATTTTCTGCCATCAATGTACAGTACAAAATTGTAATGCCAATCCAATACACTCGTTTTTTCTACTCATTCCAGAATATTTACGGAGTTATGGCTAGGCTTTCAGTAGATATAAATAAACCATAGGAAATATTTCAGACGACTATTTCGCCAACCCTCTTAACCAAATTAAATTTGAGGTGAAAATCGTCGGAGAATTTTGAGGTCAAATTGTGAATGACCTCTGTCAGTATTACTTTCCTCTTTGAAAGATTTTTGTCCCAAAATGAAAGAGAGTATAATAAATAAGTGTAAATAGGAGTGGACACCCAATTTAACCATTTCAAGGTATGCCCATCCAAATAATTGCAATTTTTTATAATTCTGTAAAGACATCCGGCAGATAATAACATAACAATAGATCTCCTATATCTATCTAATGGTAAAAACGATAACAGTGCAATTTCTTAATCATCAATGTTTGTGCATGGGCCTGAGATGGACTGCGCATTCGAAGTTACTGACCATACCAAAACTTTGTTTGATTCAAAAATGTCTCCAAATTGACCAAAAACACACCTAAGTTACAATTTTAAAATTACTTTTAAAATCGACAAAAATACAACTTGAATAACATGGTATAATACCTGAATTTAAATTACCTGAGATATTTTTATGTATTTGGTGATGACTGATGCTCTTTCTTGTGGTGTATGTTGGCCCAATACCATGCATTGTACCCATAGCGTGATGTTGTTAAACAAGAAAACAGCCCGTTCTAACTTAGCATTGTTTTTGATTGTTGCGCGGATGGCATATTTGTGAAAATCTTCAAACTAAAAACAAAGAATGGAAAATAGGTTTATTTATCAACATATGACTAATAATTAATAAATCTATTTCGATATGACCATGTCCATTGATAAAGCATCTAAATATCGGGTATTACGGAAAACAAGGTCGGAAAACAAGAGTTCTTCAACAACAGTCCTTTATCACTGAGTGTAAGGTATAAACAAATCTGGCTATGTATTGAATTAGTAATTCACAACTAAAAAAACAGCCTACCGTAAGTCTTCTAAAACATTTAAATTCCAAATATGACATATGTATTGCGAGTTCTTCTGGTTCTAAGTGATGAAATACGAGAGAAACTTTTCTCCTTTTCCTACCGGCACCTTGTGGTGGTCGCACTGAAAGACGATCTGTTCTCATCCATTTATAATTTCCCCTGAAAAGCAAATTGTTTATAGATTTTCAATAACAGCTAGGGCATTTGAGTACATCCCAAAACTTCTTGTACAATAAATAGGTAATTTTGAGTAGATATACAAATAAATCATGATCAGAATATAAAATGTTTGAAAAATGTCGTTCTAACTGAATCCGAAATTGAATGTGTGCTGAAAAGTTCATTTCAATATCGAAAATAGAGAAAATTTCTGTTTTAAGGACATTGACTGAGCAAAATTGTGCAAGAGTGTGACCTGGCCAGGCTTTACAAGACAATAAAAATGACAAAAAAATATGATGACAAGTTATTGAGAACACTTAAATTGATATTGTTTTAATACGTCAATGTCAATGCTAATTTTAAATTTCCAAAACGCAGCCAATATTAATCAAGCTTATACGACGATCATATATTTAGTCCCATTGTCTTTAGTTGCTTAAATTATGTTTTAAAGGAAAGTATCAATTGGGTTCACATTACTTTAACATGCTAAATAATAGTATTACGTCAAACTATTAATGACTAATAAAAAAAATTGGAATGTGCATAAGATGGCGTCATAACACTCTGTCAACTCTTTGGACTCGTGAACTCTTTACGCAAAGACTGGATACGCTTATACGCGAGGGATGGGAGTTTTCAAAATATTTTTTTCAGAGTAAATATGTTTACGTTCAAATTGATAACAGTAATTTTATTTTGATTTAGAAATCTGATACTTTCGTCCTCCATTATTACTAAATATGGACATATGTGCGAATTATCGTTCTATTCGTGATTCAGGGCATTACAAAAGACTTTATTTTTGAAGAAATAAAATGATCAAAGCTGGGATTTTGCATGAAAAAGTAATTATTTATTTTAAACTAGATCAATAATTCGATATGTAAAGGTTAAAACAACCCACATTCACAAGGGTTACAAACATTTGTTCATCCGCCTAGCGATAGCCGAATATTAAAACAAAACTTGGTTACTGCTGGATAGCTGAATGCCATTAAAAGTTATTAAAAGTAACTACACTGTTTACACCGATGGCACCGTTTGCATCGACTGTGGTTTTCCATATTTTTGCTTGAGAAATATTTATATATTACATGAATATTACATCATCTGGCTGTCTGGAATGTGGTTTTTATGTTGTTGTCAACAGGTAGCCTGCTTTCATTTTACATTACTCCAGAATAAATATAAGTTTATGCAAACCAGATGAGAGAATGGAACATTTGAATATATAAATTCATCCAAATCTGACACTCTACATACAATGTTCAAAAAACTATTGTAAATAGGATTAACTTTACTCTTGAATTTGGGTATCACGCTTAGTAAATATCAAAACCAAAATCGTTCGAAATTTGAGATATAAATAAAGTAATATGAGGGCATTTCAATTGAATTGTTCCTTTATATAAGGTTCATATCAATGCTTTGTAAACGTTCTCAAAATGTGCCTGAAATCAAACCATTGAGTATTCTTGCATTTAATCATGAGAGTGCGTTTGCATATCACACATTCCATGCTATGATTCTTATGATGGATAGATCGAAACTTGCGTGGGTATTTTTAAATTTCTTTGAAACAATATCATAGTTCGAATTATTTGCATGTAAGACGATGCGCAACTGATATTTGGATGAAAATGCCGCATCCTGTAATGATTCGCATTTAGCATGGATCGAAGAATTCCAAATATGATATCAGTATCAGAGTATGCTTTATCATGGTTTTCCGACGTGGCTATTTCAAAGCATAGTACAAAATTGCCACATTCTTGCGTAATAATCGAAGAATGAAACGTGTACTTTGAAGCGTTAAAATGAAACCATTGGAACCAAAATATTTGTCATTGATATAATTGTACAAGAAGTTATTTCTACATTCAGGACATTTTGCTAGACGAATTGGACTTTTAAATCTATGTGATTTCGTATACAATCAAACCCGTCAAAAAAATAATAGTTCGTTTTAAGCTATATATATATATAAGTCAGGCCTAACGGAAGTTTGAGAATAGAACCTTTTGCATAAATGAAAATGGTAATTTTGTATCTATCTGTTCCAGGATGGTACTAAGTTTTATTAGAGAAAGAGGCCGATTAACAATAATCAAGTTTGTTACATTTCATATTTTATGGTGATACTTTATACCAGTCCAGACATGCATTTGTAAAATATTTTTTGTTTCCGGAATCAGCCGAAAAGAGACATGGCGTTGACAATGTGTTTACCTGATACTTTGATGTGAATATCGTTCCATTTTTATCAAAGACAGCACAATCACAACAATAAGATGTCGTCTATCAAGATTGCATCGTAAAATACTTTATCGAAAATCTTCAAAGAGGTTTGGTTAAATGCATCATTCAATGGTTTTAATCAAGTTTATTATCAAATTAAGCACGGCGCATATATAAATTTAGTATTTTTAGTGGGTATCTGAATTGGAACAAACATGGCAAATTTTTATCACACCTTGTTTACGTCCGCCAGATTATCAGCGAATGAAACGAATAAGCCAAGGACACGCCCTTGAGCTAATAATCACAATTATTTCAAACGAGGATTCTGTGAAGCTTCCGAAATTTTTATTTCATACGATATTCCCTCGCCAAGAATAGATAACTCCGTGCCCGGTTAAACAAAACCCTCGGATTAACGAGAACCATATTGTATTGAACAGTTATTAACTGATGTATAGTAACTTAACTTAAACATGCATAGCACACAAATATGACCCACCCATACCAATTTCATGTTTTTGATATAAGTAAAAGCCGATTTCGCAGTTTTTCACTTTTAGACAATTGCCAAGCCATCATGGCAATGATGGAACAAGCATAAGAAGTTTCCTATCCACAACCAGTAAAGTAGATAAACAAGACTGTCGAAATAATTCTACGGTCCTAGAGCAAGAACCAAGATCCATCAAAACGCTGTCAAAATGCTCAGCCGATTTTCAAAAATTTTATTGGGGTAAAACAGACAATCCTACATGGATTCAATGCTATTTATGTCCACTACGCAATAGCAAACAAGGAAATAGTCACGGGAAGCAGTGATATTTTTATAATGCAGTCACACCACAACTTTCTCCCGACACGAATCTGAACTAGGAGACAATAATTTACCGCATTCGAAAGATTATTTATCTTTTTTTTACGTGGTTGATTCAACTCTGTGTCGGATCGGGTTCAGGTATAATCTTATGCAGACGGTTTAACATGCCACTAAGTTAATATTTAGCATATGCTGGGCAAAAATAAAATGAGCAACTCAAACGCCAACAGTATACATACATACATACATACATACATGTAGGCAAATCAGTCTAATATAAGACAATGATGCAATAGATTATGACATTCTGGAGAATGTGGGCAAGTAAGAGTTACATAATTATATTTACGGAGCCCTGTTAAGTCCTACGATACATACATGTTGGTTTACAGATTATTTTTAAACAAGATGTTGTGCTTTTTCTGGAAAATTGAAAGATTCGAACTTGATATTGGAATCACGTTGGTTCAAAATCATTACAGCTTTCAACCCTGATCTCATGACATGCGGGTTGAATTTTCTGAGAAATGCGGATGAGTCAGGAAACATGATTTATGTACTACAGGAAATGAAAATAATAAACCAAGCAGACATTTACGAAACAAAAATGTTGAAAACTCCGTCGAATTTTAATATTATATCTTATGATTCAGCTTCCACCATGTATACATAGTATATATAGTTTATGCAAAGCCAGTCCTTTATTTGGAAAGGAATAACTACGATTTGGTAATGCTTATCCGCAGGAATTAACCGTCCATTCATTTAACTGACAAATTCATGTCGAATAAAAACATAAAATCATTTATTATATTCCTACCTATTTGATAAGTCAATGAGTGAACTGTCGACGTCTTCGTTTTTCGCTGTCATAAATTGCAAATTTTTTACGGCTTCAACCAGAGCCGCGTCAAGATCAAACGCATGAGGAAACTCCTTCATCCAGTACCTAAAATGTTTATTAAAAAAAAACTTTTTTAATATAAAATTTATTACTCTGGACACACATCGACGTTGTATTATGGGATGCTGATTTTAAAAAACTGGAAATCCTATAGTGAATGTATATGCTTAACTGTAGAATCAATTTGGTTTCATTTCCAATATTCGGGAAAACTATACCTTGCATACCTTATTGCAAAGAAAATCTGCCTTTTCATTTCCACAGTTGTATTTTCGTCCTCGAACAATTGTGAGAAGAGAACTACCAATTGTTCTGACGTCATAAACCACGGATGAGTGAGGAAAAGAACTCTTGGAAATTCGGAATCCCCACATTCGCCATTTTCATCTGTGAAAACGAAACATGAAAATCATGAATTCTTTAAATTATTTGCATAAACATTCATTGGCCCATTGGGTATGTTTTTATTCACTCTTATGTATAAATGGAAAGAAAGGAAGGACCAGTGACTAAACGAACCTTTTAAATATAATTCCAAAAAAAGAGAAAAAAATTAGTTAAAGATCAGATTCTTAAGAATATTTGCTCAAAACAACGTCACGCGCATTCACTCATAAGTTAGAAAACTCATCTTTGAGGAAAGTTACGATAGGCCATTGAAAGTTACTTAAGTCTTCAGCCATATTGATTTATGGTGGTGTATTACGCAATAAAATTCGTTTGACGTGAGTCTTTGCATAGCATACATCACATATGACAAATCCATATTATCCAATTAAATAAATATAATATCTTAACCTATATCTTAAGTCATAACTCATAAGTGAGTCAAAAATCATTTGATGAAGATTGCAACATTATATCTTAATCCCAATTGCAATTGAAAATATGACTCGAATGTGTGTGGGCTTCTATTTTGAACTTTTTAGGTTCATCTTATGCAAAAAACACTCGTAATGCAGTAAAATATTTTTTGGAACGATTATTGATGGAGTTCTTCCATGTATCAAAAATATTATTTATCGATACTCCAGTCGTGACAAAATAGCTACACTTTGTACAAAAACATACTTGAATTCTTTAATTGTCTTTCAAAATTACGACGACTTGAATTAAAATTACCCTCGTATTGTGAATACTGTACGGACGAAATATAGTTCGGGTTTACTATGCTGGTGGTAATCAATACAAATAAATATTAGAAATATTCTAACCGTTTACTTACCAAAATAGGAAGCGCATTTTTTAACTAGAAATTCCACTGAAGCTGGTTGGTGGAGACTGCTATCGTAATCCGAGTTTTGTTGTGGAGCTCCATCTTCGGACGCAGATAGACTTTTCGTATCACTGATTTTTTTAGAAACGGGAGAACGTTGGCCAGAACTTCCACTCCGAAGTCGATGGTGTGCCATGACGATAAATCCAAGCGATGAACTTCTTCTACGTTCTTTTTCAGTGTTTGCTTGCGGTCGTTCAATTTCGTCAAAAGATAATCGAGATCGATTTAAACGAAATCGACTTAGCAATCGGAAACTCCGTTGCTTATTTGGAAAGACCGGCAAAGATCCACGACGGCTGAAATATGATTCCATTTTAAAATAAAATTAAAGAAAACAAATTCGAATTTTCCCATCAGTTGAGAGTGGACAAAATAGGCGACTGGGGTAGATTCCTGCTATTCCGAGGACAATAGCGTCCTTGGGATGAGGTCTTTTCGTATATAGATAGAGTATAACAAACCAGATAAAAATTGCATAAAATACATTACGGTAAATAATTTTTCAATGTGATGTTAATAGTCTTCGAAGATTCATTCCTTCGATATGATACTCCATTATCCAGTTAACAATATCAATTTTACGTAAAACTCAATACTTCATTCATTTTAAATATATGTTGAATATAGACAATAAGATTTCACCTTCTTGGGATAGTCTTTGGATGCTCCTCAAATGTAGCTTGAGTTGACGCTCTTCGACACGCTTTTTTGTGACCGCAGCTGGCTAGTAAGCTTTCCAATGAGTTCCGTCTTGGAAGCTGTGAGGGGGGTGTTGATTTGTCTATATGGTCTTGTGTTCTAACATATGAAAACTCCTTCGATAAAACGACGCAATCTTCGTGGATTGGGTCCTGAACGAACATAGTACAAGATGAAAATATATATCCCCAACAAGCTTAAAAAACGAGTAATAATAGTCGCTTCGATGTACAGGCTGTAAATGCAAATGCAGTGAACAACTGAACCATCTATTTTAGCGTCATTAGGAATTGTCCTAATATATAAATCTAACTTTGATCAAACATGAGTGTCGGATAAGACTTATATCTACTGTGCAAATTATTCACAGCTCATATTTGATCGAATATATAATAAAAAAAAGCGAACCATTATGACCGGGTTAACATTGTTATGATGACATATAACACGTATGCTATGACAAAACACCATCCGGCCCACTGCACTATCGATTGGAATTGTAAAAGTACCAACTCCAGCGTGAATCAGAAAGTATGTCTGAGGATGAAAGTTAATAGAAGGGTAAGCCAATTTTAAACCAATGGAAAGAAAATCATCATCAATATTTTTAGATCCAATGATTTATATGTAATCGAATAATCATATCTGTGAGATAAACTCAAGTTACAGTTTAGGTTAGGGACAGTCACCACTTAAAACTCTGATACACAAGAGTTTACAGACTTTGAATCATGATTACCAACACTTAGCACGGCGGTTCGATAACTCAATTGTCAACACTTAGAAAAACGATCCGATTCTTTAGAAGTAAAAGATAACGAAAATGCAGCAACTTGTGGACAAGAGTAAAAGTGTGCCAAACCTGTAGCTGATAGCCTATCAAAGTTAAAGCCATAATAAAGAAAATGGATAATTTACCACGGTAATTTGAACAAACTCTTGGCTATCATCGCCGTTCAAAACGCCGGGTTCAAAGTTCATGTGCAACATCTCATACCTTCCATTACAATGTGACTTACTGCCTACCAATGGCTTCTCCTGTCTAAGGAATAATATTTACCACATATCCAAGAAAAAAAAAACTCGTTGCGGACATACCATGAAGTTGTTTGGCTTATGTAAAATATATTGTTAAATTTGGGCAATTGAAAAGCCATGGAAGATTGATGAATCGGCTATTTCAACAGCAAACAACCAATACTTGACAATACAATAATTGAGTACGATGCACAAATTATGCAATTTAAATTAGAATACAATGCCGAAGTCCAGGCAATATAATGTAAAGCGTAGTTTCTCAGTAATTCCAATTGTGCTCAGATTCTAAACTGAATTTTTTGATATTTTACTAAGTGAGAGTCACTACCAGTTGTTTATATTAACTGCTGTACGCGTGTTATTCATGCTTGATTGGGCAAAATTCTGCCCTGGCCACATATAACGCAAATACAGTGTGCGGTATTGAGGATTTGTGTATTTGAAGCAACAGCAGCTCGTGTTTAATACTCACTGTATCAGACATGACGCTTCTCAATCGAGGTCTTCCGTATCTTCTCATATTTGTGGTCATAATAATTTCTTTTTTAAAAGTACGTTCCAAAGAAGCGTTTTCAATATTATAAGAATTACTTTTGTATGGAAGGCAGTTATTCTGCTGTCCCATTTCAACACCACCTAAGAGTGGCAAAGTATTGTTCTGTATAATGTAACCGAAATTGTGAAGCAATATTCGGTTAAAGAATAACTCGCATAACCCGCATCGAAATCCATAGTATGCCTAAGGGGAGGATTGTTTTTATATCTGTGTAACATCTTTTCCATTGTTACCTACGGTGACATGTATTATATAAGAACAAAACCTGAATAACAACAGTTTGAAAAATGCTTGACTATGATACATACACATTTTCTAGTTATTTAAGATGCAAAACGTCCAGCCTTAACTTTGCCCAAGTCTGAGTTAGTTCACTAATATGTACATCTGCCTAAGTTGCATTTATGATTAAAAACCAACTTGCAACACAATGTATTCCAAAAATAATTTTCAATTTTCACGACTCTGGGTTCTTTGAGAACATCATTCTGTTCTGATGTGCATACCAGGTTTATTATGAATAACAATGCGACTACCTCGTCCGAACTATCCTTTCACTGCTTTTTAATGCATTTGATCCACCTGCACTATCGTAGCGATACTGACTACACCGTCCAGGAAATAAAAATGATAACCGGTTCGAGGAATTATGACTGTATATCGAATATTGTACACAAAGTACAATGACGAATAGGTCCACCCTGCTCTACTCACTCTTTGTCACTGTTTTTCGGACTGTTGTAAACTTTCTCCTAAATTTGACCCACGAATAGCCATGAATAAAGCTCGCATTTTCAACCCGTATCAACTATACAAAACGAACGAAGTTCCATCAGTAAAGTTTTAGAGGGAAAACCGTTAGTGGCGAAAAAAGAAAACACCTTTGCTATACCGTGAATTCCACCGAAAACAATAACAGCACGAGTTTGATGACTCACTGAAATGTATTTTACATAAAAAACAACGCAATATCTATCAACAATATGCAATTTTAGGTACTTGCCAAGCGTCCCACGAGACGATGACGTTTATCATAAGATTGGTTAGCAAAATGAACCAAAAGTATAAAATTACCCAAAACTCTGGAGTTAATTCAGACTAATGATAATTCCCATCGGGTGTGCCTTCGACACCCAAAATGCCATGAATTGTAATAAAAATAATGTTATATGGACAACCAAGTTTGGTTAAGTAAGCGGCGCACAGTAACCCAGAACGCTAAAGCGGCAATACATGTGTTACCTTTGTATAAACGAACAGATCAAGTGTATCAAATACATGTCTCATATGAATGAATAATAATACTGAGCCAAGTATAAATTTTATTTGTGGGAAATTTCTGCGGGTATTGCAAAGTGTAAATATAAAAGTCTTAGTTCGGCCACAGAATAGGAGAAGTCGAAATTTCGTTTTAATCAGTTCCATTACTAGTAGGAGTGCGTTACCTCCAATATTTTAATATCGCACGCATATTTCTGTACTTCCGAAGACATTTAATCCATTGCTAACGACTAACAACTGAACGCCACTAAACAACTAAACGTCACTGCGTTTTTTAACGACTCCACTTTAGTATACATACGCAATGATAGTATAAACATAACACTAATATGCCTTTATAGTAAAACAGTCGAAACCAACCCAGCTACAATTCCAAATTGAGTACGGTATAATGCGTCTATCTAAGTCCTGTCTTACTGTGCCTCGTACTTAACTTCGAATAGAGTAAGTATCATTTAACATTTCAGTGATGTCCAATCAGTAACACAGCTTTCTAGTCTAGAACAAAGTGTAAAGTCCCGTGTGGGCACTGCGCATAATAATATTGTTCTCTGCTACAAGAACATGGAGGCGTTGTTGAAGATATGCGAAATTGGCGAGTTTCGATCACAACAATGAATAAGCCTTTATATACTATAACAATGTTTACTGCATATGGTATCGATGTACAACTCTGCAAGAGACACGTATAGCAATTTTGCACGTTCAAATAGTCGAAGCAAGCTGTGTCTGAATAGAAAGATTTAATTGGGTGCCGAGAGTACCATAATGGGAAATTTATTCCACAGGCTGCTATTTCGCCAATGCACACAACTAAATTATCATTTACGGTATATAAAGTTCCAGTTGTACTGAAAAACATTGGTATATCGTATGGTAGGTGCCCTAAAAATCAAATTCGCTGTTTATATGATAGTCCAGTATATGTCTTCCAACTGACAGTGCATTCCCACTACTAATAGTTGTGCAAGGCAACATCGTCTGTCACATTTCTGATATCGAAGCAAAGCCCATAACGTTAATTAACGAGAGAGAGGTTTGGTGAGATGAACAAAACGAAATACTAACGAAATAATTGTTGTAGGCGTGGTATATACGGAACGCCGTAACGACTACGACCTCATTGTATATATGATTTGGTGTGGCAGATTTTTCTGGTAGAAATAATATGAAATCCATTTTGCGACTGCAGGTTTTGAGAATTGTTAATATATGATGACGTTGAGATACGGGGGAGTAAAAAAATTCCCATTCGACTTACAATTGTTATTTCGCTTTGAAGTTTAATTTCTGGCAATGTCGTCTCAAATGACCAGCACCAATATAACACACCAAAAGTCACGCTAACGCTATTTACGTTTACAATATGCAACCCGTCCTCTACTAGAACGTTTCAACCTATATATAAGCCGACATCTAGCATCATCTCTAAACAACCAAACTGGAAATTTCACAGCGAAGCTCTCAATATGTCTAACGATAATATATGGTCGAGCAAAAAAACAGAAAAGTACATTTATATTAGCTTCTTAATAATCGCGTTTGCCAAAAAGCATCATTTCCACTACAATTTAGAAGTTATCATATTTTAAGATCATATAGATACAATGATAGAATTATAATTTTCCTGAAGTAAATTGCACATCTACAAAGGTCCATCGGTAGAAACTATAAAGAAAACAAAATCATAAGCGTGTACCTGAACTCCTGAAGTGCAAACAAATTGAATAACTAACTCTCAGATGCCATTCGTTGTTTTTTCCTTTTACCATAGTGAGTTATCTTTGGTGTACTGATTCTAATATAAACCTCTGACCTGACAATAAGGGAAGTACCGCTAAATAGAATACAATGTAAATGCATAACACATCCATTTTTAACCCGAACGCTGACAATTCTCAATAAAATGATTGTATTGTTGTTGGCGATCGAAAAGTGCAACAGCTTCAATAGAAGAATTTGGCTGGGCGTGGAAGCATTTCTCGTCAATGTTTTTTACTTTCTCTTAGCTATGAGGAGATCTCGGAAAATCTAGTTTAACGATGAGCTGTTTTTGAATATACGTAGTGAAAATTTGCCAATATTTAAATAGTAAAGTAATATAAAATTCTCGATTGCTTTATCATGTAATAATAATATACGCCACATTTTTGCCAATAATTGGGCTAATTTTTGTTTTGTAAGCCAATAATAAAACCATTCATATAAGCGCTATATAATATTTTGCATACATTTTCATTTTTAAAATTCAGTTATCATTTTAACGAAGCAAAAGAACAAAATATTATAAATGTCAAGCCGATTTTTCGATTTTGAAATAACGATTCAAGAATAACAAATAAACAATTACTTTTCCCAGACCAACAAAGAAATCTAACATCTTTTCCACAAAATATTTCTCCTGGTATATTCATTCCAAGATAGCAAAACTAATTGCCCCGTCTTGTATTATATGTTCACCCATATAACGAAGTTGACTTTAAGCTTGTCTTCTAAGTTGAATTTCTGATATACCTGATCTGTAGCTACTCAGATGTTCTGATTTCGAAACCTATTTGCATTCTATCTATTGAATTGTAATACCATAAGTTACTATATATTGACGTCATCCGTTGCAACAAATAGCCGAATAACTCGATTTACATTCATTCATTCTTAATGCAAAACGTGTATGCATATGTGAATCCTTGCGATATCGTAGACACCAACAAATGAATGAAATATCAACCCATTTTCGTATCATTTTTTTCGATGAAAAACTAAAAATAATCATCATAGCTCAAACATGGGATGCAGATGTTTCACCGGCGATATATATACGTTTTATGATTGTTCTATTAAGTGTTCTGCGTATCCCTATAAAAGCAGTAGGTAATTGAGCTACGCGGCTCATTTGGAGCAATTTTCTGTATGAAATTGACGGGATAGGCTAAAGAATAATAAACACGGGAAGGGAAGCTAGTAAAATTTAAAACCAATATATAAAAATTACGTACGAATAAAATTTTACAAATGATAATTACACTAAAATTGAATTCCGTAATTGGGACGGTTTAAATAATACTGAGAGCTGACAAAAGGAAACCCCATTAGGTATATACTATATTGATTTTGCAAGTCATTCAATGACAACTAAGTTTTTATAAAATGAAGTATACTCATTTTGGATTGGTTTTAACGCGGAATTAAACAACACTAAAACGACGACAATTCAAATACCTATGCGCCAAGTTAGACTTCATGAATAACAGCTACAATTTGTTTCATATAATATTAGAGCATTGTTGGGGAGTGGATCGAGCAAGGGTTGTCAATATTTGGCAGTATGCATTAACCACAAAATGTCAGTAAACTTTTCATTATTTTCAAAGGGTATTGATTTATTTCTACGATAATATCTTGATTCCATTTTCATGTGCTACTCGTGACAAGACGGATAATCGATACAACGAGATTTCGGTGTAGATAACAAAAACTATGTTAGTTTTCCCAAGTTGTAACATCGGGGCCTCCAAGTTTGTATCGCAAGTTCAGATCGGACACGCCATTTTCAGCGTTTAGTATCGAAAAAAATATTGCTGGTATTTGGCGACATATAGCGGTTGTCCGTGTCGCAGTCTAAATGAAGCTTCAGTGTCGTCATAGTAATGTAAAGTTTTAAAATTTGATGTATTTCATCCAATAATGACAAGCGACCAGAAAACCAATTCGGTCTAAAAGCATACCCTAGTTACTAGATCACTGATTTTCAATCTTTTTCGTGGATCGGAACCTCAATGAAACATTCCAGAGGCTCGAGAGACCCCTGTGGAACCCCTTAACTGCACCCCTGT